CTGTATGGCATTGTCTTTTCACTCGGCAAGGGACAACCGCGCGATGTGGTTTGTCAACTGCTGTTCTTGGTGTGACATTTCCCTGGCATACGGCCAGTACATTGTAGTTAGCTGTGTGCTTTCCATTCTCGGTTCACACCCCTTCTGACACATCGTGCCCCCCTTAACCGAGAAGGGGCGTTGGTGCTGCGACTTCGCTCACGCAGGATTCTGTCAATGCTTGGTTTTTTTCCCGCATTGGGGGATTGTCATCAATCCATTCAGACGGATTTATATACCCATTATGTTTGGGTTACCAATGTGGTATCGATGACCATAAGCCACCATCTTTTGTCTATGGCACATGTGATATATGATGAGCCTCTGGCTGCTCCATGGCGCTGAAGCTGGTCAATGAGATTAACAATAACCCCCCTACTGATTTGGGCCCCCAAGCTGGCGTTCAGTTGCCTTATAAGTGGCTGAATTCTATGGTTGGTAGATATAACTATAGTTAATGGATGTTAATGGGCTTATAAACCAATTTATAACTGGGGGGCACCATCCTGTACTCATCCAGCAATAAAAAACATACCGTTGAGTAAATCCTCTGTGTTGTAAAGTTTGATCATATGACATCCCACAATTTCCATTACATAAAGTACAAAATTTGCAGCATATTCCCATCATATCCACATTCCATCAGATTTCCAGCATATTTTCCAATCATATCCCCATATGGATTCTCATATATATATATATGATCATACATACAGTAATACAGCAACTGAGCGTTGGAGAAGATTCCGAAAGGTTGAATCGCAGGGGCTGCCCCATTTCAAGAACCCTCCATATAGTGGAGGTAAATACATCGCCAATCTTTGATAGTCCACAAAAAATAGGGTAAACGTGTTTTTTTTCTTCTGGCGATTTTTTATTTCCCAGATTATTTTCCATAAACATGGTTATTTTTCCATAAGATTTTCCATTTAAACATTGCAAACCACAAAAAAATTAAACGAACTACCCATCCAGTTGGGGCCAGGCCTCCAAGCCCGTCGATGAGATGGCGCTGCTGAAACAACAGAACGAGACGCAAATGAAGGCCGCTTTGCCCAGAACCCTGGAATCCTTGAGTAGATCAATTCATGTAATGGTATGTAATGTGTATATATATATATATTGCGTATATATTATAATACATAAATATAGATAGATATATTAACATACGGTATATTATTGTATATGTATACATAACAATATTTCTAGAGAGGTGTTTTTTTCAGAAAAGGGATGACATTTTTTTTCTCAGCTTATCCGCCCTGGAACCGAACGGTCGCAGGAACTTGCGAAACTGGACGTGGAGAAGGCAGAACTGGAGAAGAAACTCAAGGCGCGGCAGGTTTCCCGGTGTCTACCTGCAACGGTGTCATGAAAAATGGCTGGAAATATGGGGAATTTTGGGAAGACTAAGGGATTCACCAAGTGGGGATCTTCTGTGGGACGGGATTTGCCCATTATTGCCATTTTAGTGGGGAGAGTTATGATTCAAGGTTTTTTCCGCCCATTGTTGCAGACAACACACGTGGGATGGAAACACCAAGAGATAGTGAATTCTTTCCACTTTCCACTTCCACAGAAAAAATGGAGTATACAGGCAGACAATGGGGTTAGAATCAAGATACAGTTGGAATCACCAATTATGGCACTTACACCAAGCCCTCATCAAGGTATTGTATTTGTACCGTAGTTTTGCCTGTATCCTCCATCTATCCCCATCCTGGTCATCAAACTGTTTTCCCTATGACACCTGCCGGGGGGGGGGGGTGAATTCATTTTGCGTGGAACCCCCCCAGCCACGGTTTCGCCCTTATGTACCCCTGAACTCACGACTTAATCATACTTAATCATTATCACTAGACTGGCCATGTTGTTGGCCATTGTTGGTTATATAATATATATATATAACATAATATATATATATATAACATAATATATATATATAACATAATATATATATATCATATATCATATATCATATATCATATATCATATATCATATATGATATATCATATATCCATAAAATATCCGCGTCTTTGTTGGTTACATCCCTACGAAATTCAGTGCTAAAGTTCTCCAGTCAATTCCTGGAGTATCCGGCCATGATATTAGATCATCAACTCAGGCGGTAAAAACATGGTATACGGTAAGACTTGAGTTTTGGCAAACTATATCCATACTTTCCTACATTCTTTTCTCATGTTTCTCAGCTTGTTTCCCATATGTTCAGTAAGTCTCACCACATGTATATTAATGTATATCCAATTGCTTCACATGTTTTTCTAATCTTCTCCGCAGTGCCAGTTCATCGCAGAATTTTGCTATTTAGTATTCAATCTTTCCCATCTTGTCCCAATTTTTCCATCTTTTCCCATTTTTTCCCATTTTTTCCATCTTTTCCCAATTTTTTCCAATTTTTTCCCCATTTTTGCCCATCCCAATGTCCCTCCAGGCGCTGGAAGTCGAGCATCAGAAAGCCCAGGAGAGGTGCAGCAGCACCGAAGGGAAGATCCAAACGACCAGCAACACATCGAGGCGTGGAAACATCGGGAGTTACCCTCTGGTAATTTAACAGTTTGCTATTGAAAATGACCATTTATAGTGGATTTTCCCATGAAAAATGGTGATTTTCCATAGTTTTTTGTATGTTTACCAGAGGGTAAGCAAGGCAAATGATCAAACATGGTATTTAACAATCAATAAATATGGGAGTCGACCATAACTATCGTCGCACAGAGTTTTTTTGAATGGAATGAACCATGATTTCATGGGGATGGGATTTGACAAGGGCCTTTGGTTAGCTTTGACTCTACGTATATCATTGAAAAATGAGCGGTCAACCAATGAAACTTGGGACGATGGGATGATGCCTATAGCAGCTGTCACGACTATAGATGCAGCTTCTACGTGCGTATTATGTAGACCAATCATGTTCTATTCATCTACAGATACAATGGATTTCTCGGCCTCGAAGAATGTTTCCCTCTTCCATGTCTTTTTCGCACCACAAAATATGCAATTCAGAACAATGGAACTCCTAAAGAGAATTATCTTCCAGGGTTTTATTATTTTCGGGGGTTTCCATTTTAGTCTCTGGTAACCCAACCTGTCACAATGGAAAATTGACCCAACTGCACCCTGTGCTCATCAAACATGGCTGGAAAATCCCCCTAGCCATGGAGGTTTAGTTCGCTGGGAACATGATCGAACTAAATCAATGGGATTTTCCAGCCCAATCGCCATGTGATTGATGTCAATGGAGGGTTTTCCGGTGGGTACAGTAGATGATTTTTCCTTGGGCTCCTATATAGTGTGTTTTCCTGTGCCAGGTTTATTTCGAGGGTAGCCCCTGAGGCGTTTGGTGCAGTTCTTGCAGAAACTCAAGGAGGATGTGAGCCAAATGCAGGCGCCGCCAAAATGTCAAGAGGTCAATGGTGGAGGCCAAACAACATCGGTGAACACTTGGAATTACCCTCTGGTAAACTAACATAGCTATGGAAACTCACCATTTTTAATGGGTAAATCCACTATTTCAATGGCCATTTCCAATAGCTACGTTAAATTACCAGAGGGTAACCCACCAAAAAGGGATTTAACATGATTTAACCCAGCAAGATGGGGGTTTGATCAAGGCATTTCAGCAGGTGAACCAACCAAAATTGTGACTTAATCAACCAAAATTGGGATTTAACCCTCCAAAAGAGCTTTTACCAACGGAAATTGGTATTTAACCAACCAAAATGGGGGATGTAGCAACAACCAACCAAAATATGGATTTGAATCAACCAAACTTAGTATTTAGCCAATCAAAAGCGGTATTGTCGCTTATAACTTGGTTAACTAGGGTCCAAGCGTGATGCACGAACCAGGGAAAACCTTCTTCGAAGGGGGAAGAAACATGTCGTCGCCAAAACAGCCAATGCTCTAACATCCAGCACATGCAAATATGATCAAATATGTATGATGGGAATATGATATGTCATGCGTGTGTGTGTGCTTATAAATATATATAATATATAATTATATATATACATAACATATTATGTATCTAATTGTATATATATATGATATATATATAATTATAAACATACATAACTTAATATGTTGATGTGGGTTTGTCCAACAATGGGTGTATAGGTGGTATACCGCTACCGCAGAATTGCCGCTTCAATCGAGGTTTCAATCGAGGTTTCAACTTGTTTCAACCATCCACTTGGGCATAGCCGATTTTCGGACAAAGCCTTATTGATATATCGATCCAAGAGTTGCAAAAGGTGGTCATCTCAACCACGAAAAACACACTACTTTCTTGATTGGTTGTTATGTATAGGGGCCGATTTTAACCTACCCGGTCTATTTGGGCATATTATTACGACCTATCATAGGAATACCTACTAAGCAACCATCTCTTCGTCATTCTGGCTGGGACGTCTAGGTAGGCAATCCTGACCAGCTCAAAAGTTGGGACATTTTCGGAAGATCGGTACCGCATAGTTGAAGCATCCAAGGGTCAGTGATTCGTGATCAGCGGTGCTATTCCCATGATACTCTCCAGGTACGTTGAAATTCATTGTATTTCTGATTGACTGTAAATACGGGGATGTGTCAAAACCTATTATTATTATTATTATTATTACTCGTACCAGTATTACCATATTATTCAGGGGAATAACCATCCATTCACCAGCTATTTTAGGGGACCATCCGGGTACCAGGCTGGTAGCCGCACATCGTGACCTGCTGCCCGCAGCGTTTTGCCGCCAGAAAACCGTTCTATCGATTGTGATCAGAGATTTATCCCCTGAAAAAACATGACCTCAACATGACAAAGAATTTTTCGAGACAAACGCCAGTATAGATGGATTTGTATGCTCTTCATGCTTCAGAATTCGCAGCGCGCAGTCCTTTTTGTTGCCCGCGTTGTTTCACACCCCGCCATTGTGGCCCCCGCGTGACGCGGTTGACCCGTCGTTGCGCTTAAATGGGGTGTCAATGTTGTCATGGCGACGGGCCCATCGGGTACAGCGGCGCCAGTCATGAAGAGATGTTGAAGGTGAGATGTTGCGCGGTGGGAAGTCGATTTGTATGTTGCGCAAATGGTGATTTCATGGACATCTATGGGATGATCTTGGGATATGACTTTAACAGTCAACTTTGATATATATTCTGTAATTATAGTACATATATATATATATGTATAAATGTATATTTATATATAACATGTATAAACTCCAAAAAAATTGCTGGGTTTGTCCTGGAACTGAGGGATTTACCTAAGAAGAGATGGGGTATGAAACCACTCATCATGTGGATATAATGGGGATACGTGATGTGGATATCATCAGCAATGTGATGTGGGCTTGCTCAGAACCATCGAATTTTCATCCAAATCCGCGGGGGAGTCATAGTGGATCTAAACAGATTGGTATTGCTGTAAATCAACATACATGGAGATACTGTACACATTATACACATGTTTATAGTGATGTGGACAAACAACTGAGAATGTGACTGTATAGCTAGTTTGTGAGCTTATATTCTAGTCCTTGAGGGTTGTTTGGTGGCCGAAATGCATCCGTAAGTCTCAGTACACTTTGAATGACTAAGAATTATCGCTTCTTGGGTTTGCATCTGGTCACAGCGCAATCCAAGAAAGTCAAAGTAGAATCATCTAGTAACCATGTGGCACAAGCTGCAAGGAGGCCGGCTTTGTTTAGACTTTCCTGAGTTTTGCTTGCGGGGAATGACACCGGATTTTCTCCGTTCTGTGCCCTCCAAAATGTTGCATTCTTTTTCGCATTATTTTACAGCACGTTTTATTTCCTGTTCCGACACGTTCGTATCAATTTATCCAAGGTTACCCCTTAGCTATCATGAATCAGCTCTAGATCCCAAGGAACTCCAACATTTTTGCTGCTTCAATCAGCATTTTCCCATGGGTTTTCCCATGGTTTTCCTATCATTTTCCCAATGTTTTCCCATGATTCTCCCATTTTCCTATGGTTTTCCCGTGGTTTTCCCATGATTTTCCCATTTTCCCATGGTTTTCCCCATGGTTTTTGCTCACTTCGTCCTTGTCCTCCGTGGCCGTCTTAGCGGCCGCCGGCGCCAGAACTTCGGGGATCTCTCGGAGGACGCCTCCATGGCGGCGGTGGTGGCGGACCTGGCGCAGATCACCGAGGAACATCCCTACCTGACGCTGGGCCCAGGGGGAAAGCCGGTACGATGGACGGGACCGGTACCGGACCTTGAGGAAGTTCATGTCTGTGTTAAATATGTATGATTATGTAGGTATATATATATATATGTATTTATGATTATTTATGTTTATATATGTATCTATACTTAATATGTATATATATATATATATGTAATGGGATGGAATGGAAGGGTATGTTATGTCTAATTAGGAAATATCAATAGATATCATGGTATTCGGATAAATTGATGTGATACGTTAATAGACAGTTTTATGATATTGCTGGTATCGAAAACAATATCATATATATATATATATAAGATTAGGGGGGTGACTATGTAGGTATGATTATGTAGGTATGATTATGTAGGTATGATTATGTAGGTATGATTACGTAGGTATGATTATGTAGGTATGATTATGTAGGTATGATTATGTAGGTATGATTATGTAGGTGTGATTATGTAGGTATGATTATGTAGGTATGATTATGTAGGTATGATTATGTAGGTATGATTATGTAGGTATGATTATGTAGGTATATGATTATGTAGGTATATGATTATGTAGGTATATGATTATGTAGGTATGATTATGTAGGTATGATTATGTAGGATATGATTATGTAGGTATATGATTATGTAGGTATATGATTATGTAGGTATATGATTATGTAGGTATGATTATGTAGGTATGATTATGTAGGTATGATTATGTAGGTATGATTATGTAGGTATGATTATGTAGGTACGATTATGTAGGTACGATTATGTAGGTACGATTATGTAGGTACGATTATGTAGGTATGATTATGTAGGTACGATTATGTAGGTACGATTATGTAGGTATGATTATGTTGGTATGATTATGTAGGTATGATTATGTAGGTATGATTATGTAGGTATGATTATGTAGGTATGATTATGTAGGTATGATCATGTAGGTATGATCATGTAGGTATGATCATGTAGGTATGATCATGTAGGTATGATCATGTAGGTATGATCATGTAGGTATGATCATGTAGGTATGATCATGTAGGTATGATCATGTAGGTATGATCATGTAGGTATGATTATGTAGGTATGATTATGTAGGTATGATTATGTAGGTATGATTATGTAGGTATGATTATGTAGGTATGATTATGTAGGTATGATTATGTAGGTATGATTATGTAGGTATGATTATGTAGGTCTGATTATGTAGGTCTGATTATGTAGGGGTATGATTATGTAGGGGTATGATTATGTAGGTATATGATTATGTAGGTATATGATTATGTAGGTATATGATTATGTAGGTATATGATTATGTAGGTATATGATTATGTAGGTATATGATTATGTAGGTATATGATTATGTAGGTATATGATTATGTAGGTATATGATTATGTAGGTATATGATTATGTAGGTATATGATTATGTAGGTATATGATTATGTAGGTATGATTATGTAGGTATGATTATGTAGGTATGATTATGTAGGTATGATTATGTAGGTATGATTATGTAGGTATGATTATGTAGGTATGATTATGTAGGTATATGATTATGTAGAGGTATGATTATGTAGGTATGATTATGTAGGTATGATTATGTAGGTATGATTATGTAGGTATGATTATGTAGGTATGATTATGTAGGTAGGATTATGTAGGTAGGATTATGTAGGTACGATTATGTAGGTACGATTATGTAGGTACGATTATGTAGGTACGATTATGTAGGTATGATTATGTAGGTACGATTATGTAGGTACGATTATGTAGGTATGATTATGTAAGTATGATTATGTAGGTATGATTATGTAGGTATGATTATGTAGGTATGATTATGTAGGTATGATTATGTAGGTATGATTATGTAGGTATGATTATGTAGGTATGATTATGTAGGTATGATTATGTAGGTATGATTATGTAGGTATGTATATATATATATATGTATTTATGATTATTTATGTTTATATATGTATCTATACTTAATATGTACATATATATATATATATGTAATGGGGTTGAATGGAAGTGTATGTTATGTCTAATTAGGAAATATCAATAGATATCATGGTATTCGGATAAATTGATGTGATACGTTAATAGACAGTTTTATGATATTGCTGGTATCGAAAACAATATCATATATATATAAGATTAGGGGGGTGACTTGGAGGGGTCACACCAGTGATTGACTGGTTGCGAGGAGTCAAAATATGTAAGCCATGAGAATCCCTTAACTGAAAATACTGAAACTTGTGCGCAGGGTTGCGCTTTTTGGGATGATCCTCCTACGCAATTTGTTTACAGGGAATACGTTTATATATATATAATATAGTTGCCATAGAATTATCATGATTTTTTTTTTAAGTTGCTATAACTGGAATTATCATGAATTATCGCCAGTTTCGGGACCCTGCTGAACTGGGGGGTTATGTGTTTTTGAAGATGCCTTTTTTGGTTGACAGTATGGAACAAAATGACGGTCCCAAAGTGGACTTCTGAAGGAGAATGGATGAGTTTCATACCGTCTGATAATCTAATTTAGCTGGACAATTCCGGGTTGGTAGATCAAACATATCAAAAGCACCCTGCCAAAACATGGAAAAGTAAAGTCCTAATTCAATCCAACTCAGATAGTGCACGAATTAACCTTTAGCCTTCAAAGTATTTCGTGCGACTCAGATTCGACTTGCCGATTTTAATCAGATGACACGTCCCATTTTTCCGAGACGCTCGGCCCAGGAAACCGACCGGCACGGAACCCACGCCTCACCAGCTCTTGTACTTCGTGCGCAGGCGTCTGGATGACTTGATCAGCGTCATGCTAATAGATCATGCATGGATATTTTTTTAACCAATCATCTGTAGATGGTGAATACCCTCTGGTAAACTAACATAGCTATTGAAAATGGCCATTTATAGTTGATTCACCCATAACAAATGGTGATTTTCTATAGCTATGTTAGTTTACCAGAGGGTAATGAAAGATTTAACCAACAATCACGGGATACATATATAATTATGTGTACCTATATATTTATTTATAAACATCAGGGATAATGAATGGATGACCAAATTGCTACCCCCCGGTGTCATCAGCTCCATATCTCTTTAGTTCGATCCACCCATAGGAATCGATGCACTGGCGGCCTTTAATTCAAAAAGATGGGATATGAAGCAACCCCAATATGGGAAAGCTTCAATTTACCAGAAAAAAGACCCCCATTTTCCGAGGATTTTCGTTCTCTTTTTCGGGCCCAGCTGGCCCAGCCGGTGCGCCAGGTGTCGGGAGTATGTCATCATGCGGAACTCCAAGGAAGCCGCGAGCTGCATCGAACGCATCCAACGCAGCTCCTCAGACCTGCGACTGGTGTGGCGGCATGGTGTGATAGAGCCTGGCTGTGCCTGTTCAGTAAGTCATCATTCAGTGGCTTATCCGATTCTATGGATTATAACTGTGGTAAGTGGGATAATATGTAAGTGGGATATTGATTATAACATATTATAACTGTGAACTAAAACTGTAGATGGATCATAACTGTGGATCCTCCAAGTGGAGCCTGATGGGATTTGGGATGATTTCTGGGGAGTTTCCAATTAAAGACTTTCAGGCTGCTCGGGAATCTGGGAAGCAGCTTGGTTTCTAGGTTCATGGGCCAATTTCAAGCCAGAATTTTTTGTTTACCCTCTGGTAATTTGTTACATAGCTATTGAAAATGGCCATAGAAATAGTGAGTTTTCCCATTAAAAATTGTGATTTTCCATAGTTTTTTGTATGTTTACCAGAGGTAAAGCATGAGACATCCAAACTGCTTGGTGGTGTAAGATATTTTTATCGCCTGTTTGGAATGATCCAATTTGACCAATTTTTGTATCAGCAACGCGGCGAAAAAGGTCACCCACAGTTATAAATGGGCTTCAAACCCCATCCATATCATGTTTTTATGCATCCACCATAAACCCTACTTAGCCAAAATATAAAGCCAACTTACCATAACTCAACTCTCAATCATCCTCAATCCAAGCTTTGGATGATGAAATCAGCCTTTTTGAGTGGCGAAGCAACGTTACCCCACTGTCCACCAGGTTTGAAGTACGAAATCGCGCAGATCCGCGACGCCTTCCGCAGGTCGGGCTGGCGGGTTTGGCCAGCAACAGGAGAGGGTACCCTGTGGGGAAGGACGACTTTTTTTTTCCTTTACCAACACATTTTTCTGGGAATCATGGTTAGTAAGGGAAATCATCCCAATATGGCCTTAATTCAGGTTAGTGAAATATTATAATTTACCCACATTTTTACTTGTTGATTTATTTATTGATTGTCTTGAACAACACAATGTTTTGTCGAATATTTTGTTCTCAAGATGATATGACTTGGCCCATCCCCATGGGCGGTTGGTGGGCCTGTGGCCAATTTAACACAGCTAAGGACAACACCACTATTTTTTTAATAGGTAAACAATCTTTAAATGGGTAAATTTCCATAGCTATGTGAAACAACCAGAGGGTAATACAGTAGTACAATGCTCAGCTTTCTTTACTTGGTATCTAGGATCAGCAGTGTTTGGTGCAACAATCAGGTCCTTGCAATGATCATATGCAGAGTTTCTGATGTAGCTCGCTAGTTCCCCCTTAGTTCCCAATGGATTTTCGGGCCAGGTTTGATCACGATGGTTCCAACTATTTGGACCAGAACGAGTTCAAATACCTTTGCGCCTATCTGGGCCGCTTGATCTTGACTAATCTGGACCTATTCGGCGCCGCCGAATTTGGGATGAGCCAGGGTTTTCTGTTGTCATGATCACATGGACCCCATGTGATGAAGTACGGCAATGATTAGTCACAATTCCACAAGCACGGGAGATGTTCAAGATCAGGATCTTGATATTTCATGTCAGCTGGGGTCCTGGTTTTCAAGTTCTCCGGAAATCTTGACTTCAAGCAATGAGAATATCGAGGAAACGGGTAGTACAAGAGGAGTTGGATGTTGTCGCACTGTTTGGTTTCCCAAAATGTTCATGAAATATCACTCCCAACGTTTTCTTTCAGCCAGTGAATGTAATACTTTTATACTTGGCATTCAGAAAAGCCGAATGTTTGGTTGGTGGTTTGGAACATGAAATTTATGACTTTCCATTCAGTTGGGAATTTTTCCATTCAGGGGCTCATGGGGATCTTTATGGTGAATCAGTTGGATAATAATCCCAATCTTTTTTGAGCCAATAATAATTTCAACATATTACCAAACTAATAGTCCCAATATATTTGGGTTATTACCACACGTTTTCCCATAACTAATCCCAACTAATGTTTGGCTCATGACCGGTTTGCGAACAACGGCTGTCTGCCAGTAGTCCAGGTACTGGTGAAATCCACCAGGCTGTAGATGTGCTACCGAGATGAGTATACAGTGTTAATATGATATACATATAATATATAACAATATATATATATATTACATATATATATAATATAACTAATATATAAATATATATATATAATGTAAATAATATATATATATATCATATGATATATAACTAATTATATATATATATATATATATGATCTATATCTATCTATTATAGTGGTATCATTATACCCTCCCCCCAAAGCCAATGACTGTCCCAGAATTGAAGGTTACAGCTTACAGAACCACAAAAACGTTGGAAACACATGGGGAGAACAACAAAATCCAGTTTCAACATCTTTCAACATCTAGTCCCCAAAAAATCCATGGTGCATGGACCAAAAAAACCGCCGTTCACCCCGCAAAATCCAGTTCCGCAGGCTGGGGAGAGGAGGAAGCGCGGCTCATGGACCTGGACGCTGACCAGAAAGTCACCTTCCAGGACAGGGATCCCGCAATGAAGCCCATGGAACCTCCCATCAAACAGCACTGTATGGGATGAATATGAAAATTGTGACGAATATCGAGGATGATAGTGATGCATGCGATTTATTTATATGGATTACTGGTCATTGACAGTTTGCGAACTGGAAAATCACCATGTTTCATAGGGATTTATCATCTATAAACAGGCAAGTTTCCATCATTTTCCATTCTTGGATTGGTGTTTCTTGGGGGGTTGAGGGAGCTGTGTGAAGGTAATTAGACATAATAACTTTTTTTTGTGGGGTCACATGGACGGTGGTTCAGCGGGATCATTCTGCCTGGAGCTTCACCACTTCCAGTTGTCAACTGAGCTTCAACCGCTGGCGTCATGTCTGCCCTGTGGTAATCAGACATGGCAACAGACAATCCGCCATTGAGAGATGATGAAGCTCCATTTGGTGAGAAAATCCAGCTAGCCATGATCTATGAGTTCCCTGTTGAAGACAGGAGTTTTCCATGATTTTCCAATGCCAGATTTGCTTACCATCAGGGAAAATCTCAGTGATGCACAGGAATTCCAGCTCTTTGTGGGGCACATGGGTCTCTTGGTGCAAAGGGATGCGAGGTATCGGTGAATGATTCGGTTTTAGTGGATGGTGGAAGGAGGTGACTCATCCTCATCCTCCTTGTTATATATATATATACATATTTATTTTTATATTTGGATTATGATGATGATGATGAGGATGACGATGACGATGCTGCTGATGCTGATGTTGATGCTGATGGTGATGTTGATGTTGATGATGATATATATATATATAATTGTACAATATTATACATATATATGTATATATATATATTTATACTGGTTGGTGGTTTCAAACATGTTTTATTTTCCATTTCATATATGGGATGTCATCCTTCCCATTGACGAACTCCATCATTTTTCAGAGGGGTTTTGCTCAAAACCACCAACCAGTATATATAATATATTATGGAAAATCACCATGCTATTTTCATGGGTAAATCCACTATTTCTATGGCCATAGAAATAGTGAGTTTTCCCATTAATAGCATGGTGAATTTTCCATAGTTATGTATGGAAAATCACCATTCTTAATGGGTAAATCCACTATAAATCACCATTTTCCATAGCTTTTTGTATGTTTACCAGGCCGGGTACAACCTGAACCCAACCGATCATCGGATCATCGGATCATCGGATCACGATTGAAGGGTACAAGCGAGTGAGTTTTTGGCTTATGACAAAGGGCATGATCCACCTGAAGTACATACTTGTTAAAAAAAACACACGCACACACACACACATATATATACAGTATATATACAGTATATATATATACACATATATATATATACATATATATATATACATATATATATATGATATGTATACAATCATGCGCAGCAGCTCCATTTTAGCTAGCTGAAATGGCCCTTGAGCATCACCATCGCAAGGGGGTCGATTGACCATCAGCCTTGTGAAAGGGAATGACCTTGGATTAGAATGACGATGATGACGACAAACAAACATGATTACTGTTATACTTTTCAGTGTTAATTTATCATGTCGATGTTGATTGACGCAGTACCATTGTGGTTATTGGCATTTTGATAACGCCTGGTATTTTTCATTGCATAGTTTCATGTTCTAACCATCACCACTACCATCATCATCATCATCATCATCATCACCATCACCTATCCCAATTGGTGATATATATATATATATATACACATAACCATTTAAAGTCCCCTAAACTCCTGTAAACCGTTTGTATAGGTCATCATTTGATGCCTTCTTTGGCCTATTTTTGAGAATTTTAGATCTATCTTTTACACTGCAGGACACACGTGGATATGATGCAAATTTTGTCATGGTGGCCAATTTGAGACATGCAGACACTGATTTGGGGATGGGGTGAACTTGGTCCTGCCTGAATTGGGCAGAGTTCTGTTTAGAAGGCTTATTTTGATATCCAAAAAATCACCAGGAGGCAAACCACATTTTTAGTTTTTCTTTTTTTTTTTTAATTCAGTTGTTCTTGTTTACTTTGTTTTTAGTTTTTTTTTTTTAAATTTTTTAAATGTTTGTTTTTGTTGTGTAGGGGGAGTGAGGCCACCAGGAAAACCTATAGGACTCCAAAGGCACCTTGCATTAATGATTCGATGTAGCTTACGAATTTTCATTTGCAATAGTGAGATGTTCAGGCGGTAGTCGATCAACAATGCATGTTGGGGCGTTGAGATCTTCAGACTGGAGCACAGCAGGGCACAAGGAAAATGATAGAAATAGTCTGTGGAATTTAGTGGAATTTAGGTTTCTATACAAAAAAAATTAGTGGGTTTTAGATTCCTAGAGGTCTTTTTCAGTTGTAGATATTGCAGTGCATTTTGCAAAGAACCTATCAAATGAAGAGGGTAGCAAAGGGTTTGTATGATAAACTAATCATATTTAGTTCATATATCCCTACTCACATCCCCAAAAACTTTTTTTATATTTAAATATCATTATCATTATCATTGCAACTACACATTATGTTACTGTTCTTGATATTACTTTTGTTGATATCACTGTTTATTGATATTACATGACAATTACTATTTTATTATTGATATTTAATTTGTATTAAATTAATGTTTTGATGATAAACATTAATATTATATAATAAAACACACGACACTAATCAATCAAACCTATTCAAACTTATAATGATATACAGTAGGTTTGAACCATAATAATAACAATAATCATCATTGATATTACTATTACTGATATCACTATTTATTGATATTATCATGGTCAGGGGCCGTTCCTATAGGCTCTCCCTTGTCTTTATAGGTTCTTCCCTCTCTCGAAACTTCCGTCACCCGGCTTGCCGGGCTCTACTTGTAATCATCATCGATAAATACTACTAGTTAATATTAAGAGTAATATCACTATTCAATGATTTTTGCTGATTCATCATGATCAACTATGTAATTTACCTTAATATATGATTATGGTTGATTTATCATGGATATGAACCACCATTTATTTTAATAGTAATATCATCTTATAATCATCAAGGTGGGCTCGCTCAACTCTTCGAACATCGCCGCCAGCGTGTGGCCAGCAAGAACTGGGGCACCTCGATGGATTGAACATGGGAAATCTCGTGGAAATGGATGGAAAATCATGGGGATTTAAGAATTTAAGCAACCAAAAAAAGGGTTTTACATAGTTTACATGGGACGTATGAAGATTTGGAAAGCAACTAAAGTCAGGATTTAACATGATTCCACCACCTTGATTTATGATATTTGGGTTTGTCTGAAAGGGGGGGTATATACCCTCAATTCGTGGCATGTTATTGAAACAATATGATGAGAAATCACTGGAGTTTGGAGTACCATATATCCAAACCCACATCTGAATGGTTGGTGAATGGTTATTGAATGGTTGGAGGGGTCCCGTACTCTTGATCAAGTGGGATTGAACACATTTAGCAAGTGTCAACTTGCTAAGGTTACCAAGCATGTTTATCAAATCAATCATTGGTATTCGAAACTAAGTTTGCAGAACAAACATATGCAAATCAACTTATCCATTGATAAGTTCCGTTTTCGAGAATAAATCTACTTATACCCTCTGGTAAACCAAAATAGCGTTGGAAAATCACCATTTGTCATAGGTAAATCAACGAACTGAAAACTGCCATTTTCAATCGCTCTGTAACAAATTACCAGAGAGTAAGTTCCATTAATCCCTATTTATCAGCATAAAATCCCGCCGAATCCTATTAAACATACCATTAAATCATAATGTTTCTTGGTTAAATCACCATTTTCCCATGGTTTTCCCATGGTTTTCCCATGCTTTTCCTATGCTTTTCCCATGATCCCATTCTGATCTCTGGCGCCCAAGGTGAAGACGCCCCTGCGGTCATCGAGGTTGGAGCCAGGCGCGGGGTGACGCTGAAGAAATGGGAGTTTTGTAGAATCATTTATCATCCCATATACCATCTGGCTATTTAACATAGCCATGGAAAGATCCACCCATTTTTAAGTTCGGTAAACCATCTATAAATAGGCCATCTATACCATGGCTATGTTAAATAACCAGAGGGTATGAATAGTTTTCTAATAATTCACAATCCCATTTATAGATCCCATTCATGGGAATTTTGTAGTTTTACTATTTTTTCTATTCATATATGGGATTAGAAATGATTCATATAATGGGACTATGTATATAATATTATATAATTATACAACTTTTAATTATCGCAATTATAGATCTATATGAATATTATAGCATATTTATATTAATATAGATCCCATAATAATAGGGCATATGAATATGAATAATAGGGTAATGAATAATATACCCTATTATTATGGGATTATATGACTATCATATGAAACTATAAAACTGATTATGAATCATGTGATTGTATGACCTAGTATATATGACTATTATAAGGTGCAGACCCGTATGATCATGGGATTATATGACTATTATATGAATATATGATTATTACCTATGATATATGACTATTATATGACTATTATATTTTATGATCATGGGATTATATGATTATTATGCTGATTAATGAAATAAACCCACTGAGGAAATGGATGTAAATGGTTGGAACCATCAGTTTTGTCGATGGAATCTCCATGAATATCCCCGGGATGGGATTCTATGGGATTCTAGACCCTGCCAGATAGTTAGGTTGGAAGATTATAGTTTCCACAAAAAAAGTTTCCACTAAAAATAGAGGTGTTTTTTTTTTTTGTCTCAGTTTTAAGGCTCGCACAGGGTATATCCTTATAATCACTTGGTATATCACATACGGTATATATTCTTGATGTCATAAATGATTTGCTGAACTACTGGTATCTATGGGTCTGTCTGAAGATGGGCTATCTCCCGAAAATGGTCTGTCGGTAAAACTTGGGAAAAGGATGATAAATCCATTGGAATTGGGGATGCCATATTTTCAGACACATCCATATGGTCCATATCTATATTTTATACAACAATGTATTTTGGGAATACAATATATATATATAGGATCATAAACACATATATATATAGAGATATTGGGATATATGTATATATATATAATATTCGGTGAACTATTTGGGGATATGTGCATTCCGTCGAGTCACATGGGTTGATTTCCCAGTCATTGGGGGATAGCCATCAATCCAGTCATGGAATGACCATAAACCGCATACCATCTTTTGACAATGTGATTTTTGGGAATATCATGGGATATATATGGGATTTAATGGTATATATGGTATATAGATATCATGGATTTTGGGGATATATATATATATATATACATATCTATCATAATATGGTGATTTATGGGTTTTAACCAGCCAACATGGGGATTTATAGAGATTTATCGGGAATATAGTGGGAATTTGTTCTTCATGATCTATATAATGGGGATACATGGGGATATGGGCATATAATGGGGGGATACCATGGGGATCTAAGGGGATACAGTAAAACCATGGTGGAGGGGGTATTTTTTTTTAATGATGACATGTGGATACATTGGGAATAGAAGCTATAAGCAAGAATCTGCATTGTCATGAGAATTTATGATCATTACCAACAACCATGGATTCATGGGGATTTATGTGGATATAATGGGAATATATACTATCACAAACCATATATATATATACATATCGGTTTCCTGGGGTTTTGTTATAGTGGGACTATAAAGTGGGGATTTATGGTGTTTACTGTAGCCAGCTAACACGGGAATTTAACCAACAAATCTAGTGACAGAAAGGGGATCCCAACTTGATGTATAACACATATACAACGGGATTTTAGTGGGATATAATGATTATATGACCAAACATATTTGATGGCATGTAACTGGAACTCATTGGATATTAGCCGCTAAAGGCAACTTGTTCCATAGCTATGGTTCTTTGATGGCCCATTTAGTTTGATTTTCCATAGCTATGGTAAGTTTCCAGAGGTTAACTCGATGAAGCATGATGCACATGCCCTGTCTGAAAGGCTGGCTTTGAGACGCTTCGGTCGGAACAACAAACCACTCCATTTGCCACAAAACTAGAAGAATTCACTGGAAAGAACCTGTTGGGCATTTTCCAATTAACAACCCAGTGACAAATTTTCCGATGACAATCCGGATGACGTTAAAATATTTTTATTTTCCAATTTGTCATGTCTGGATGACGTGAAAATTTGACCAATTTACCCAGTGGTCATCCGGCATCTGACTTGTAAGCTTGATGAAGCTGTCAGTTGTCCCATTTGAATCCATGGTATGGTTTGAACCCTCCAACAGCCTTGTGATTTGTTTTTTTTTTTTCCAGCGGGAAATCTTCTATAGAGAAGGTGGAACTCATGCCATCACGACAGGATCCGAGCCTTCTACTACACGGAGGCGGCTGTGGGTCTGGGGCGGACCACTAAGGAAGTTGGATCAGTTGGTTAACTGTAGGACGCCCGGTCGATGCCGAGGTGTGCGCCATGGATGGGACACTTCGATGTTCTGTTTTTTTTTTGATAAGAAGAATCCAGGTCTCTAACCTTCTGGCATTAACCTTTGGGGGTAAAGGATCATTGCCAGCAGCGCAAAAAGCTGTCTATCAGTGGCTCAAGGTGAGGCCCTCGGTTGCCAAGTTATGCTAAGTTGACGTTGTGATAACTTAGTGAGTTCTAGGTTTATGGGGGATTCCGGGGATACAAAGATAGTATTCATGGGTTTCCAAACCAACTTATACCTGGGGTCTCATTGTTGCTTTGCGGAGCACAGTCAATGACGCTCGGACAAATCATCTCCCCTCGCTCCCTCGAAGCCGAGCGAGCCCCATGAATTGTGACTAACAGTGGGGGAAACCAGACTAGATCCCCATCACTGGCTTCAGTAGTTCACCCCAACCCTATGGTGTTTGTTTTTCAAGTTCTGGGGTTCCTAAAGGCCACCGTTTTGGCAGGACAAGAAGAAGTCAACCACTTGGAGAGAGGCCCAGCGCTTAGATCTGGAGGGTTTGACTCAGGGTGCCCAAAATTGAAGCATTTTTTGCGGATATTGGATGTCTCAGCCTTCAAGGTAAGCCCCAAAAAACTGGAACCCAAGGTCATTGGGACGAAACTCCGATGTGGACATCACCCATCAAGGTTTAGGGATGTTTAGGGTCTAGGGATGTAACCACTCCTGATGGGTAGGCGGATGTCCAAAAAGTGGATCAGATGGGTAGGCTGGTTTCAAGTTCCGAATAGCTGCATAGCTTCACGGACGTTTTCTCCCACGATCCCAACCACTGCAGCTTAGATCTCCAGCGCCGTTATTTTTGGTGCCATTTTCTCAGGCCAAAGCCTCCAGTAAATCTACCATCACCCGAACCCCTTTGCATCAGTCCCATGGCTTCAACGCTCGAACATCTTCCTGGAAAACTGTATTTACAAGGGATTCTTCATGATTCTGCCATATTTCCCACAGATTTTCCAATGATTTCCCCATATTTTCCACAGATTTTCCAAGGGTGACTTTGACCCCTCGTCCTCGGTTCGGCGTCTGATGTCTGAGGCACAAGTCCTTGAACTCAACGTGATGCCAGAGAACGGCGTGAGGCCAATTTTTCCATGTTCACTTGCGCACATTTTCCGACATGTTTTACTTTTTGTTGATGTTAACTTAAACTGTGAAAAAAACTGTTGATTGAACATTTTCACTTGTTGTTGATTTAAACTTAAAGGCGTGAAACGTGTCCATATTTTGCATCCATATTTTGCATCAGTCAAAAATGCGTGTCCCGAAAATGGCGGCCGGTTTTACGTCAGACGTTGACAGTCCAGTAGTTCCCATTTGATCCTTTCCCCCATAGATGGCTTCCAAGAAAAACAGCCTGCTTTGAGACTCCTTTTTGGCTTCGGTGAAGAGAAGGAGGGTGCCTCTGAGCGACAGGTGGGGAGATGCAAACCGAAGCGAGGGATAACTTTCCATAGGTAAGTGATGGGAAATGGAATAGCAACAGTTTGATTTATGCTGAAATTGTCCAAATTGGGAGAGGTTGCCCTGCTAGAAATGGGGCATCTCTCAACCTCGCTTCTCATCATGATTTTTCTGACATTCTCCTCACGTGTCTTGGCAGTTTTTGGTCCAATTAAAGACCCAGGCTACATCATTTTCTTGCAAACATAATTGACACATGTTTTCTTGAAAAGAGATACCGACCTGAGTGTTTGGGACTTTCCTGCTTCAACTAGCAAGTCTTGGTGCTTTTGTCCCATCTTTCAGAACATACCCAACAATTTGTTGGTACCTTGTCAAACCCTCCATATTTTTCATAGTAAAAAAAGGGTGTCAAACCCTCCATATTTTTGACAGTTATATATATATATATACAATGTTATATAATGTTATATATACATCATATATATATATATAATATATATATAATTATACATATGTATATATATATATATATACATATGTATATATATATATATTATATATATTATATATATATGATGTATCAGTATAAATAAGTAAAAATCCGTCAATTCCCCCCATTTTCACCCCAAATTGTTGGAGGTGGTGCCACCCAGCTGGATCTTCTACGATAGCCGCGACAGCGAGGTCGTGGCTGCGCTGCGGGAGGCTCAACCAGTCACCATAAACTCATGTTTTTTGTTGGAGATGGGAATTTTGGATGAATTTTGGAGGAAATTTTGTTGATTTTTAATGAATTTTGATGATTTTTGAATGATTTTTGAAGGATGTTTGATGGTTCTTGCTGATTTTCACTATCCAGTCATGATTTTGAGAATAGTTATCAGTTTTAATCATCATATTTGTTGAACACTGAGGATTTAGAATTTATCAAGAACACGAGCTGTTGACGATGAACAATGCGGTTTAACATGATTTACGAGAAGGGCGGTTTGACCATCAAAGATGGGTGTTCAACCATGAAACATGGTGTTTTAAGTCTCAAACATCGGGTCTCAACTGTCAAACACTTGGGATTTCACGTAGCAAACAACTGGGGTTTTTTAGCTGGAGCTCCAGCAGAAACCTGGCGATTTTTTGGGGCCTCTTCCAGGTTGGCATCTTGGAAGAGCAACAAGCCTTCTGGGCGTCCATCTTCCCACAGTCCGAGATGCGCGCGGTCTCTTGGTCTGAAGATGTCCGAAGTTTTGGTCATTTTCGGGATTTGGATGATTCTTGGATGATTTTTGGATGATTTTTGGATGATTTTTGGATGATTTTCAAGGAGTTTGCTCAACTTTTGACACAGCAGGGCGTACCTATACCCGACATGAACTCTCAGCTGGCAACCCCTGACACGGAAACCGGACAGCTTGGGAAGCTGATCTATGTGAGAATTCTTTGCTAAGATGCCATGCAGGATTTGCACTTGGTGAAACGGGTGAAAGGAGGTGGGTTTAGATTCGATTCACAATATTTCATGAGCTGGGTATGGGTCAATACCTATACATACCATTTTTAGGGGGATGAACATCCATAAATCCCAGCTATTTTGGGGTTCACTAGGTACCAGGGTTTTGACCCATCTCCATCTTGAGCCATGAGCCATATTTTTGACAAGTTAGATCCAGTCAGATCCAGTTACAGTAGTGGCAGTGTGTCAAAACCTTGTACCCCTGGTGAACATCAAAATAGCTGGTAAATGGATGTTCATCCCACTAAAAATGGTATTAATAGGTATTGATCCAAATCTTAGTATTTTCATTCCAGTCATTTCTGGGAGATGTCCAAAATGTGGACCGTCTCTCCTCATTGAGGTTGCTGCTTGCGTACCATGTCAACGTAAAGCCCTGGCACATGTGCGCGCCAACGCAGCCATGAACCACGAGAAGGTGGCATTTTAACATGGCGAATGTTTTTTTTTCCTGGTAGGAACGCAGAGTTTTCGGGCGACATCTATGGACATATGGACATATGGATACATATGGTGGTTTCCTAATCCATGGGGGTAGCCCTAAATCATCCATTTTAATAGGACTTAGCATTTATAAACCATCCTTTGATAGGGGTATCCCCATTTATGGAAACCTCCATATCATAAAAAAGTCACCTAGTACGCCCAAAACAGCCAGGATTCCTGCTTGGTAACATCTTCCATGTTCGTTTTCAGTGGGGGATGCATTCCAGGAAACCGGTCAGGAACGGTGGTGACCAGTTCCGGAACCGGTCACCAAAAAATTGTAGGGTCCTATGATGTCCTCATCCCTGTTAAGTAACGTTGAAAGAGATATAAATTTTCCGATGGGGATGCAGTCAATCACTGGTTGGTGGTTTCAAACATTTTTTCATTTTCCATTTCATATATGGGATGTCATCCTTCCCATTGACTAATATTTTTCAGAGGGGTGGCTCAACCACCAACCAGAAATGTATTGTGGATCATCCATATGATGGAACTGGAAAATCGCCACTGTTCACACTGTTCTGTAAATCAACGACCTAAATGGGCCATGTTCAAAAATGTTACCCTAGACATTACCAGGATTAGGATCCACACTAGATTGATGCCAAGCCTCGGCCTCGGATGGAAAGATCTCAGGCTCAGGAGGCCCAGTTTTTTTGCCCTCGCCGGTAAACCAAGATATATACATGGAAAATCAATGAACATCACATTTTTTCTATCAATTGTTGATATTTTTAAAGGGTAAATCAACTATACATTGGCATTGAAAAATAGCTATGTTGAATGAGCGGAGGGTACTTATCCAATTTTCTGGCTGTTCCCAGATCCAGCGATAGACATATCCATCGCCCCATATTATTGTTGGTAAGATGCAAATTGTTGTTTGTAAATTACCATTTCTTTTGGTAAACTGCTCAACAATTTCTTAGTCAAATCTCTCGAACATGTCATAGATGTCCTTTTCCCATTGGTACCTCCTGGTAAATTAACATAGACCCTGAAAATGACAAATTTATAGTGGTTTCACTAGTCTTCCAACCCCTATCTGGCAGGGTAATTTACTGGAGGGTAACATTTTGAGACCATCCCCATTCAGCCAATCGGCAAATGGGGATGAGTCGAACCACGGGGATGATCCACCTATAGCTATTTTGAGGTGAACTACAGGGCACTTGGTTGTTGACCCGTTACTGAAACTGCCTCCAGATTTTGTGAAGCAAAAATTTTGGGATGCGAAGTTAATGCAGACTCATACCATGAATCATGAAATCCACAATTCTCAGGTACTCAGCTACCCAAAATCTTAGGGCACCAATGTTGTATAGAACCCAAGTCTGTTTCTTAGTATCCATTTAGCATCATTTGTTCCATTTTATCAGCAAGTCTTAGGGACAGGGTATCATCATTGATGGACTATAGCATATCAACGATCACCTTGATTTTTATGATATGAACATAAATATTGATCATTTAGTTGGATATTATAACTAATCCCGATATCATCCCATCCCTTTGAATAAAACAAATCATTCAATATCAAAATACTATCCATATTTATCATATTTATTAATAACATCCCACGAGATCACTTTTATCATTCTGATCCATTTATAAAATGACGTCCCATTCATCAACGGTGAAAATGGTGATAGAATAGATCATAAATGATCATAGATGTCTTTCATATACGATTCATTTGTCATTCATGATTCATGTACATCCATGTAATCATCATGGATCCAGAATATCATATTTATAATCATAATGGATCCATGTATTTCATGATTTTTAGTACTATTCATCCCCTATGATCCATTAACTATTCATGAGACATATTATCCACACGATCATATATGGGACCTCTTATCGTAGATACCATCAATCATAACCATATATCATTTACACATTGATGGTAATAGTATCAACAATATGTTTACTCATTAATATCACAAGTTATCCTATATAACACATCACCTATTTACTCAATTATATATCGCCATAAATATGCTTTAAATATCACCGTTAATATCATCAATGGTATTTGTGTATGTTAAAGTCACCATTTATCCTAAACGTACTGATAATCATAATCATAATTATAATTAGTATCACCATGAACTTACTCTTGATATCAAAAGTAAATAACATCAATATCATTAATTTACAACATATCAATACATGTCATATAATTATATATATATACATATCAATATATTATTATTATATATTTATATATTACTTATTCATATCATAAACATCATTACTATTCATAAATATAAACATCATTAGTATTAATACGTATTACTGTTCAACTGTTCATATCATAAATATCCTAAATAAACAACATATCACAAACAAATCCTTAGTGACATATTATATCAACATTAATTTACTTCAAACATCATGAAGTTTACTTCCTGGGTGATTGGATTTCACCTCAGTCTGATGGTTTCAGATCAGATGTCGGAGGTTTCCGAAAAAACCATGGGATAGCCCAGTTATCATCCATTTATAGATGGGATTGTCCATGAAATAAACCATCCAGCTATTGGCGTATCCCCATTTTAGGAACCAGGACCCCCCCATTTACTTCAAATATCATCAACATCATAAACTGATATAAACATATACATATATATATATATATAAACATTACAATTCCTAAATAACTGGTTGGTGGTTTGGAACATTTTTTATTTTTCATGATATATGGCATGTCATCCTTCCCATTGACGAACTCATATTTTTCAGAGGGGTGGCTCAACCACCAACCAGATCATTATTAACAATCATTAACCATATAATAACCATACATTAACCATATATTAACCATTATTAACCATTAATTTATAACACTATTTATATCATGAATTAATTATTAACCATTATTAACATCATTATTAACCATTAACCACTATTAACCATTATTAACCATTATGAACCATTATTAACCATTATTAACCATTAACCATTAATTTAAACATCATGAATTTCTTGATCATCGCCAGGCCCTGCCCAACGTGCGCGAACGCTTCGCCGAGATGGGCTATGGCGAGGAGCAGCTGCAGGCGGTGCTGGGATGGATCCAGGCGCCGCTGGGGAAAACCCGGGGGAAAACCCGGGGAAAATCCCATGAAAATCCACCAAACCATCCAAAAGTCTCATGAGAAAAACTGCTTGAGGTGATTTCCAGGTGGTTTTTGGGATGGTTTTGATGGATTTTCATGGGATTTCGCTGGATTTCGACCAGAAACAAATGACTGGAGACTGGGAAAAACATCAGATTCTTGATGGGATTTTGAATGAGTTTGACTCAATTTCACTATCAGACAGACATCGACTTTGAAGTGACTTTGACCAGCGGGATCAGCTGTCATGGGAAATACGCCAGGACTTGGCTCCGATGTGCATCCACGTGCACATCGACAACGTGGGGCGCTTTCTCGAGACGGACTGGCCGGCTGCCGGGAAGGGGTTCGAATGGCGTCCACCGACGGTGCCGACGGGTGCCGACATCAAAGGATGATTTAGGCCTAGTTTTGTTTGATGATGTTTGATGCATGTTGTACATGTTTTATTTGACATGCACTATTGTAGTATGGAACTAGCAAAGTAAACCACGATGTTGACAATCCCCGACGAACAAGTCCCCAAAGACGGGATATCCACATGGGCTTACCCTTTCTGGTGAGCAGATTTAGGGATGAAAAAAGATGCTTCCCTTCTACTGACTAGAAAGGTGTTTCCCCATGTGTAGGACATCCATAACCATTCCCTTTCATTCTCTATGTATATATACATATATAATGTTCTATGTCCCATTCTTGATGGTTTAAATCTGTATTTTTGGTTGGTTATAACCCATTATATTCTCCATTTTCATCATTTAAATCCACACTTCCATCACTTCAAACGGTGGCTAACTTGCCACTTAATCCCATTAATAACATTTCACATCCCCATAACACCCAGGATGCATTTTGACTACCCCACTTCATCGCGACGTCACTGCAATGATATGATGAATGAATCGGGGTAACATTTTGATAAAAGGCTGAACTTTTCGGGTCCGTGAAGGAGTATAATCTATCCAGATTCACCTTAAATGTTGGTTACAACCCCATGATCCCAGAAATGTGGGATGATCCAGATCCCTGGTAATTCATCCACCAGCATACCTCCATATCCCCAGTTGCTGGTTATTGCTAGTTACCCCCTCTGGTTATTTTTCACGTCGCAAAAATTGGAACATCACCAGCTAAATCATCGTAAATTTATCATCTTTGTGCCATGGCTTCCAGTTCGCAAAGTCTTAGTCATAACCAGAGGCTTAATCTTGCCATGGTATCTCCCTCGTTTTCACCAAATTCCCTGGGTTGGTCCCAACTTCTCGAAACTTCGAAACGGGCGCAGAGGACGAGTTCTACCGGAACCAGTTCGAGACCGGAACCTCCTGTGGTGCTCTGGATGATGGCAATGTGATTCGCAAGGTGCGCTTTTCGTGCTGAAGGGTTGTTTGGGCCAAGGGTTGCCCTCGATGTAAATGGGGATAGCGTTGATATGGGATATGCAGAAATATATGACATCTGGACTTAGGATGGGATATATGGAAATATGGGGATATATAACCTTTAATAATCTAAGACTCTAAGACAGGCATGGAATTTTCGAATCATTTCTTTATAGGGATTTCTCATCTAGAAATAGGCCAAAATTTTGACATCCGATAACTTTGTTACATGACCAGAGTAACAGTTGGGTTAACCCAATGAGTCAGGGGATGTCAGGATTCGGGGACCTGTTCACCAAGTGGTGACAAGATCCGGCACTTGATCAATGAAATCTTTGGGATTGGCAGTGAGGGCATTATATATATGTATAATGAATTTTCCATGTGTCTTCATGTAGAATCATATATATGTATATATATATATGTACATAATTAGTAATTGTATATATATATATTATATAGTTTTATATGATTAATAATTGTGTATATATATATATATGAGATTAAACCTATATATATATATACATATGTAAAGCTAATCACCAACCATCCTCAATGACTTACCATAAAATGGCTAAACAATTACCATCCCATTTTGGGCAGGGCCCTTCCCTGCAGGGCCAGGGCCCCCATGTAGTGCGATATATCCACCATAAATCCCTACGTCAGCCTAGGCCTAGTGAAAAAAAACCATGTTACTTATCATTACTGTCATTAAATGTTAACTATCAAGAACACCATTTTTGGTTCTGTAAAATCCCTACAAAAAAAAAGTTAGAGATCTCAATGTTTCATCATTTTTCATGATAAAATCCAAACGTTCCACCATTTTTAGATGGTTCAACACCTAGTTTTCACGATGAAGTCCTATAGAATCAACAATTTTTGCTGGTGAAATCCTTTAAACCCACCATTTTTTCATGGTGAAATCCCAAAAAAACCCATGGATTTTTCCTGGTGAACAAGCCGCTCTCCAGGGCTGGGAGACGGAGCTGTTTGGGGGAACCTACGACGAGGCCAAGCCCTTCGAACGCTGCAAGTATGGCGCCCTGAGTGTGCCTTGGGTGAATGCGATCAGAAAATGGTGGTTTTATGGGAAAATCACAGGAAAACCATCAGAAAATGGTTGTTTTATGGGAAAATATAGGAAAACCATCAGAAAATGGTGGTTTTACTATATATTTTACCACATTTTAGTATATTTTAGCCTCTGGTTATGACTAACAGTTCGCCATGGTATAGATGGCCCATAGAAATAGATGGTTTACCGAACTTAAAAATGGTGATATATATATATATATACCGGATTATGGGGATTTTCATGGGATCAGTATGGGATTATGTAGGATTATATGGGAATACATAGGATTATATGGTGACTATATGGCTTTTGGAATAGCTGGTTGGTGCTGACTGGAACCATGGAATTGGATGACTTTCCATATGAGTTGGGAATTTCATACTCCCAACTGACGAACTCATATAGTTCAGAGGGGTTGAAACCACCAACCAGATTATATGGGATTGGTCTGGGATTAGTTTTGGGATTATGACCATTGACGAACCATGAACTTAGTATGGGATTTCATGACATTTAATGTGGGATTATATGGGATTATAATCATTGATCACCACTGGGATAATTGATGGGATTGATATGGATTGATTCTATATATATGATTAATTGACTTCAATTGATACATCCAATCAACCATATAGGAGAATGGGTTGATGTCAATGGGGGGATAATAACCATTGATTAACCACCAGCTTAACCAGCAACCACAAAACATATGGGGATATTTTTGTGAATAATGGTTGATGATTCATGCTTAACAACCGATATATTGGGATTATCACTATCTATCATTATTAAGCATTAATCCCATATAATCCCTGTGGTTAGTGCCAAAAGTTTGTTTTTTTTTTCACGATTTTAACGGGATTCACCATCAACTGAACGGAGTTTTTCATGGGCTTATGATGGGATTTATATCATGGGATTCTTTTTTTTTGGAGCATAGGGATCAAGATGGAAATATAGCGATTTCACCAACCAAAATGGGGATTTAACATGAGTTAACCAACAAAACATGGGGATGTATTGCAATGGGATATTTGTATATACCTATATATATATATACATATGTATAAATACTATACATGGGGAACATGTATAAACATGACCGGGATGGAACACCTCATTTTGAGAGAAACACATGGTATATCGATTTTTTTAATCGATGTATATCAACCAATGAATCTGGGATGACGATCCCAATTGACTTTTTTCTCTGATTTTTCAGGGGAGTTGAAAGCAGAAAATAAGTTTCGATGGGGTCGAGACCTATGGTTCCAATTGATGTATATGTATATATACATATATATATATACACATAATATGTATATACGCATAATATGTATATATATATATACATTCAGATGAACATCCAGAGCTACCAGTTTTGAATTGGCATGAAATGACATGTAAAAAACGAGGGTAGGTTTTAGCCCGGGCCCAGGCCCCATGTTTGGTTTCAAGTTGCATCCCTGATAGAACCACAATGGATTTGATTGGGATTACCCTCTGGTAAACTAACAGTTTGCTATTGAAAAATGGCCATAGAAATAGTGGATTTACCCATTAATAGCATGGTGATTTTCCATAGTTCAGGATTTGAAAGGCAGAGTGTCTTCCAAAAAAAAAACAATCCCCCAGTGATGGGTGTGTTGTCCACGAAAAGATGATGGATGAACTGGTATTCATAGCGTTTTTTTTTCACATGGAGGTCCAGGTGAACTTATCATTGCAAGGACTTACCCTCCTGTAAACTAACATAAATGTGGAACATCACCATTTTCGATAGATTATAGGTAAGTTATCTATAAATGAACCATTTTGGACATCTATGTTAGTCTACCCCAGGGTACTTTGTTGGACTATGTGCTGTCAGACTTGGGTCGCAATGTTGAGGTGATGAACGACTACAGGGGAGTTCTCAGCGCTTACCAATATGGCGACTCTTACCTCGTGCTGATGCTTGGTTAAACGGTAAAACCTGGGTTTGGTACATAGGTAGATTTAATTATTTTTTCCGGTTGATGGATGTGTACCATTCCTATAGTACCTTAGTTTTTGCCTGTTTTGTGAGGCATCTATGGTTGGGCGGGATGCCAGATATTTCGACTTTGGTGACTAAAATGATGGGAAAAAATGATGATCAACCATGGGATTTAGGGGACCCATTCACTGTACCTTCCAGTTACCAACCAGTACCCCGACCATCTATTACCCAGCCATAAAAAAACCCATCATTTACCCAACAAGTTGCCCCAAGCCAGTACGAAGCATTTCTCATCAATTTACCAATCGGTTCTCATCGATTCAATGGCCATTTCAGGTACCTAAATTGGAAGTACCTACCATACATATCCAAACATACGGCCTATGTAAGAGCTCAACTTTAGGTGGATATTCTCCCAAAATACGGCTCAAAATATGGTACCTCCATTGTACTGCGATTCCCATTGAATGATCCTTACGATATCCTTACGAGGCATCCCATTATCATTTAGATTACCACATTATATAAAATATACCATTAAATCACCATAAAATGTGGTATATTTTATGGTGATCTAAAATGGTATCCTATTTATTACCACATTGATCAATCACCATAAAATATACCATTAAATCAATAAATATCCCAGTTCTTTGTCCCATTAATCTCCCAGTTTACCAACCAGTTCTCATCATCGATTTACCAGTAAACATCTCAATGATAATGGTATGTAAATCACCATTAAATGGTATATCCCATGGAAAATATCCCAGTGACAAAAACGTGATTCATCCATTTATATCCCAATGGTATATCCATTACTCAATGGAAGATGTACTATTCACCATTCATAGATTCATGGAAATATATTGAATCACCAAAATACCATGGAAATATCTCAATGGTATATCCATGAAAATATCCCAATGGTATACCATAAATGGAGATCATTGCACTTATTTTAATACTAACAAACCATTAAAATCCATTAAATTGTATATTCATCCGTTAATATCACCATTAAATCACCATTGATCCATCGCAGGAAAGATGTCCGCTTGCGCACCACCTTTGCCGCCACCGACTCGGGTGGAATCGAAGGATCCGAAAAAACGCTGGGAAAATACACAAAACATGGTGATTTCCGGGGTTTTAATATGTTTTAAAGGCTGATTTTCATGGAATTTCACGGCGATTTTATAGAATTGAATGGTGATGTAATGGCGATTCAATGGGATTTCATGGGATTCAATGACAACGTGATTTGATGGGATAAGACCAAGCAGTTTTGATAGGGTTACAGTCCTTTGTTCTGCAAGAATTGGGATCTTGTAGATTTTCTCTCCGATTCGGGGATCAATCTAAAGAGCCCCAAGTAAAGTTGTCTTATTCACCAGGTTTCCACTAAACGAGGGTTGCAAACATGGGCGAATCTCACCAAAAAAAAAGGTGATTCAAACAGCAAAAACGGGGTATGGCTGCCAGTATGGCTATTTAACAAACAAAACACCGGTTTAAATTAACACAAAACAATTTTCTTTGTCCCCATTATTGGGTTTGTCTCATTCACAAACACTCACAGCTTTTTGATCACCATGTTGATTGTAATTATCCTCACTAAAGTGGGATGGACATCCGACTATCCCCCTTTTGGTGATTGAAAACGGTAAGACAAAGCGGAACACACTTTTCAGTAGGACCAATAGGACCAGACTTCCCATTTTCGGGCATAGGGATCCCAACTGGTTGCGATCAACTTCCAGAGCGAGTTTCCTACCCCAGAAACTCCAAATGACTCATGGATTACCCTGAGTGAATTGCACTCCGATAAACTAACAACTAACATAATAGCTATTGAACATGGCCATTGTCGATTTACCTACCAACGATGGTGATTTCCCATCGTTTTTTGAATGTTTCCCAGAGGGGGCAAACAGGATCTCGCTTGGCTGTGCTGGACAAGTATGCGCATGTGCTGGAGGTGGGGGGACCCTTGGTGCGGACCCCAAGGGTCCCGCAAGGTGAGATGACCTGACCTTGGGAAATCATGGGCAAATCTTCGCAAAATCAGATTGAAGAGCTACATATGGGGATGGGGATGGGATGGGTGAAAATCTAGGATTTTCATGGATTTCCCATATTTTTTTGGGGGGGATGAAGATCCAGAAATCTCAGCCATGGCCATAGCTGGGAAGCGCCAAAGCATCTGTGATTTGACCTGTGATGGCACACCAATGCACGACGGGAAGAGTCAAGTTTGATACTATCTGAACCAATCATTGCTGGTTGGTGGTTTCAAACATGTTTTATTTTCCATTTCATATATGGGATGTCATCCTTTTCATTGACGAACTCCATCATTTTTCAGAGGGGTGGCTCAAAACCACCAACCAGATCATTATTAACCATCATTAACCATAGAATAACCATACATTAACCATATATTAACCATTATTAACCATTATTAACCATTATTAACCATAGAATAACCATACATTAACCATATATTAACCAAGGTTCTAGCTATGATTCTAGCTCAATACAAAATATCACCCCCAGAACTTGGCGGTATCCCACTTTTTTTGTCACCACTGGGTGGATGGTAAATCCGAAAAAGGATGGGGCCCCGAAAAGATAGCGTCCAGGTGCCTTAAAAAGTGGCTTAACTATGGTTTATGGTAGATATAACTATAGTTAATGGGGGTTATAATGGTATATAAACCAACTTATAACTGGGGGGGGCCCATCCTGTATCCCCTTGCCCGGCTTCAGAATGGATCACCGGATCACGTGTTCAGTGATGGGATGGTGCCAGTCGTATCTCGTTGGTTACATCCACACCGTTATCGGTTCCCAACCTGGTCATCAAACATGGCTGGAAAACCTCCGTAGTTCGATGATTTTCCCAGCAGCTGCCTCCATTGATCGGAGATTTTCTCATCAGAACATATCCATTCTTTTAACTTCCGAAAATCCCATGAACCAGAAACTTCCGAAAACTGATGATTTTCCATTGATCCCATGAACTTCCGAAAAGATCATCTCAGCCAGTTCAATTCTCCATTGGTGCAGGAATACGATGACCGTGAGCTGCGGGAGTTGGTCGAGGCCGGAAGTACTGCATGATCTAGGAAGACAATTCAATCTAAAACATGGTGGATTTAACCAATCATGGATAACCAATGGAGAATTGATATGGATAATTGTGAAACCCAGAAAACCTACTCGCAGTGAGGTGAGGTTAGGTTATAGTAGGTAGATGAGTTGGGAAAACCAGAAGTTCTGCACGGGATGTCTCCGTTGTCGGCGGGTAAGCACTTCCTTTTGATTCTTTTTGTTGGTCAATTGAATTGTTAACGAAGCAACATCTTTGCTGGTTAATCCCCTATATCCAATTTGTTCTGGGTCAGAATCATATCCTGCAAACTCCAAAAACTATCAAAAACTCATTTTTTCTGCCTAAACCGTTGTTTCAGCCATTCTTGCTGGTCGAAAAACACACCATGAGTTCTTTCTGCTGCTCAAACACAAACAACTCCAACCACAATTTTGCACCCGCCATGGTGTTCTTGACTATCGATTGCTCCACCATTTTCTCATTCAATCCAATCAACAACTTCCATTAAAATCCAAACTCTCATTAAACCCCATGAAAATTCCGATGAATTCACCGAACGTTTGTTGCTTAAATCCCATCGTGAAAATGTCCCCATCAACACGCCTAGCCCAAACAGGTGGCCCTAGCGAACACTTCGCTGTCGGACCACAGCACAGCACAGCCCAAGATGCTGCGGGGCATGTCCTCCGACTGCGCGGCCGAGTGGATCACGTGCGCCCGCGGGAACGCCGCCCCTGCCGAGCTAGAGCTATCCTCAGAAATTGGAAATTGATAGCTACAAAATCCCTGGAAATGAGAAAGTTTGTAAATGGTGGATTTTCAGGGATTTTTCCATCTGGTAGTTGGATCTTTTTGGGGGTAAACCTGGGTTGAGTAGCCTCTGGTAAAGAGATAGCTATGGAAATCCATGGCTTTCCCGTGCAGGGAATGGTGAATTTTCCATCTGTTAGTTCGTTTATCTGAGGGCAACCCTATGCGATTTTTGTAATGATTTTGATGGTGTTGCCAAGTTGATAGAGATAGATATCGTACTATAACCATCTGGAGATTACGTGTTCTTGTAATGCAGGGTATAGAATACATAATAACAAAATATAAAAAAGTGCACCTCGATTTTTCGGGGTTTTATATCTTATAAGCAATGATAACCAGTATATATCTTAATAAGTCGCTTAGTCACATCCAGTTTGTCTTTAAGCAATTTCGTGTGGCGGTGTCCAGGGTGGGATTTCCTGACCTCCCGCAGAAGAAGGGCCGCAACTTGCCGTCATCGCCTGAACAAATCATGGGATTCAAAGACGACTTCGGGAATTCCAAATAGCAAACCAATCTTAAATCATAGCAAAATGGTGAAATATGGTAAACTATATAATTGGTTAAACATGGTTAAACCATGTTAAACCACACTAAATGTCTGACACAAATTGATTAAATCAGGATAAGTCAAGAACTTCGTTTGACAAAGCGTTGAAGCTTTATATCAAAGGACGTCTCTGGTCTCCCTTCCTCCAAGCAGGTGTAGCATATGGGGGGTTTCATACATGGGGTACCCCAATAGCTGGATGATTTATAATGGAACATCCTTTCAATATGGATGATTTGGAGGGTACCATCATTTTAGGAAACCTCCATATCAAGCTTCCCAAGACATGTCATAGTGGTCCACTTGCTGTCTTGAAATCAGGTGAACAACTTGCCAATTCCATGTGCCAACTAGTGGCAAGCCGTGAGAGAGTGCACTCTTTTTGAGGCCTAATGACCTTCTGTTTTCTCCATGCGTAAGAGAAGGCACCGTGAGCGATACCTCGTCACACAATGCTTGCTGGATGATGGCAGGAATGCAACAATGGCAAACATGGAGCCCCCAAAGATACACAAATAGCTCCAGGGTTTGCTGATCCAGTGCTCTGTAGAACTTTTGCTCCGAACTTTCGGATCCATGTACACTTGTGACCACCATTATTGTTCCTTTTTTTTGGGGGGGTTAAACGGTTACCCTCTGGTAAACATACAAAAAACTATGGAAAATCACCATTTTTAATGGGTAAATCAACTATATTTCGACTGGGCCATTTTCAATAGCTATTTTGACATAACCAGAGGGTATGATTTTCTACCCCCGGAGATGGTCATTTTTTTGCCAAGGCTACTACTTCGAAGTGGAACTCCTGCGCGGCTGCAAATCTGCACAGGTTGGTTTCCTCTCGAACCAGCACCTCGGCGTGGCAGTGGCTGAGGGTTGGTGGTTCATAACGTTGCTTAAGGTAGTGCACCAACTGGGGATAGAACAATGGTTCGAAGTGTATATATATATATACTGTATTCATAGATACTGTACATGATTGTATGTATATGTATGTATATACATATCTATGATTGTATCTATAGACATGTTATTTCCTACTAAAATAAGTGGTACATTCTTCGTTGTCTGTTTGGAGGCTATCGGATTTCCCGTGGCTCAGAAAGCAAAAAAACACCGTTCCAGGCCGCTGGAGAAAACCGCCATGGTCAAAACTAAAAACCCATGGAAGAACTATGTGGAGATTTCCTAACATAGGGGTACCCCCAGTCACTGGCCAGTCATCATCCATTTATAGATTGCATTTTCCATGAAAGCATCCAGCTATGGAGGTACCCAACCTGCCAGGTTCATCATCGCTCCCAAGACGGTGGGCTACAGCGGGGGCGTGGGTGACGATGACTACGGCTGGGCGGTGGATGGACAGCACGCCTTGCGAAGCTTGGGACGTTGGGAAGGCGTAGGTTGGGGCGGGGGGGACAAGATATTTGGTGATTGATGTGGGAAACCCAATTAGTGTGGTAATTAATGATGGTTAATAATGGTTAATGATGGTTATTATAACTAAGTATCAACTAATGTGGGAAAGCCAATGCCATGAACCTACCATTTGGGGATGGTGAACATACAAGCCATTTCTGGTGACTCTGGGGGTGGTTTATTCTTGGGCTTACCACATTAATGGTAATAATGGATGTATTAAGGAGAACATATATAAGGATAATCCATACAAAGATATATACACAATAATAATAATAATAAAATAATAATAATAATAGTAATGATAATAATAAACATCCAGATTAAACCCACCATATCTGAGGATGATAATATATGGAGAATAATGAGGATGTTCACCAACCACAATAAGTAATGCAATGGGAATGCAATGGGATATACACCAACTTAATAATATCAGGTTGGTGATTTCTTTGATCCTCTATTTATCCAGAAAGGTGGAGAGAACGTGTGAATTCATAGGAATGTATCAGGATTCTCTATGGTTTACTCAACATTGTAGATGTTGATTGACCAATGATTGTCAGTGTCAATTTAATTGCTGCACAGCAATGTGTGTGTGTGTGTAAACAAATGAATAACACAGTATACGTCTACAGGATATAAGTGTATATATTTACAATAATACATACATATATATATATAATATAATATCTACAAATATCTAATATCTCCACATATAATATATACATATAATATCTACCATATATAACGATTGCATACACATAATATCTACATGGTTTACACACACACACATATATCTATATATATATATATGGTCCAGCGTTCCAACCCCCCTCCCCGCCGGCCATGGTCATGGGTCAGCCATAGTACTGTCCCCCTCCCCCCCTGTGGGGTGGTGGGGGTGTGGTACTGTATGGATGGTAGGTATGGTATGTAAGTCTGTTGGGTATGGCATGTTTGATATGACAGTATGTATGGTCTGTATGGTATGTATGGTTGCTATGACGGGTATGGAATGTTTGCTATGTAAGGTAGGTATGGTATATATGGCATGTATGTTTGGTATTGTATGTATGGGAGGTGTGGTAATCATGTTTCATGTGTATGGTATGTGTGGTATGCATGATAGGTATGATAGGTATGGTATGTACGGTCAAAGTTCGTATGCTATGTATGGTATGTATGGTATCATTGGAATGTATGGTAGGTACGGTATATGTTAAACACATGTAGTGTTGTGAGAGTACACAGGTAGTAAATAGCAAGTAGATACATAGCACATGTATATATGACTATAGGTAGGGCGTAGGTACTTTGAGGATTCTTTGAGGGAGTATGTGTGCTACGTAGGTCGTCTAAAAGATAGCATGTACCTAGTAAATGCTAGGCTGGTAACCTGGTAGTCAGAAATGCTGCAAAGACCTAGCAAATATGAGGCTGGACCTCAGAAATGCTGCCAATAGCTTGCAAATAGAAGGGAAGGGGGTGCTACTTGGGGATCCATACCATTGGGGGCGGGGTGGGGGGGGGTAGGAACACGGAACACGAGACCATATATACGTATATATATATACATATACATATATATATATGTACATTAATATATATATATATACACATACATATACATATATATATATAATATTTATAAATGTATAGATGCATGAAAACTCCTACACATTATATGATTAGCGTGCGGATTTGTTCTTGCACAGTCCATCCTTTCAAGGATTCCTTGTTCGATTTTGCCTCACCTTTGAGATCACACTGCCTTGGATTTGAGGCTCAAGACAGGAACACCAGGCATTGGAGCAGTTTCCACAAAATGGATACCAGTTCCTGTTATCGTTTCTTTTAAAATTATAACCACACACATCAAACATACAGTAGCAAATATGGTATATAATAGATTTTTTTAGAGAGCTAATGTATGTATACAGAAAAACAGTAAATTAGATGAATAGTAGAAACTTGATCCACAATTCTCGGCCATTGTGTTTGGAGTTTCCAAATCTGGACCCCTAAAATCCCTCTCAGGAATTGGGTATGTCAGGACATGCTCATTGAACAGCTGAGCAATCGCTGTTAGCCCAATGCTTTGTGACTAAACCTGGTATTTTTTTGTTGCTAAACTATCCACATTTTCTAGTTCTACAGTTCTACAGATATGGAGGTTTCCTAAAATAGGGGTAGCCCCAGTTATCATCCATTTTAACAAGATTTTCCATTATAAACCATTCATTTTGGGGTATCCCCATTTTAGGAACCCCCCATTTACTTCAAACATCATCAACATCATAAACATCATGAACATATATAACCATTATAAATTATAAACTATAAACATTACAATTCATAAATTATTTAAAAACTTATTTTCATATGGAAAACCCCATATATACCTAGGCAGTTTGGTGAACACAGCCGAGGATGGCACGGCGGAAAGAAACTGCCGTGGGACAGGTCCGACGGGAGAATGGGGAGATCAGAACGGGGAAAGCTACAGAGATGATGGTGGAGCCAACAAAAACCAACAAAAAACGTGGTGTACCCTCTGGTAATTTAACATAGCTATTGAAAATGGCCATTTATAGTGAGTTTTCCAATTAAAAATGGTGATTTTCCATAGCTACGTTAAATTACCAGAGGGTAATGAGGATGTCATGTAAGCTCTTACAGTACTGTCATCATCCATGATGATTAGTAACTAATGCCTGGAGAATAAAAAAGGACAACTACATGGATGAATGGCATATTTTGATGGGGTACAGAATTACTAACAGCAATGGACAATTAATGGATGCATAGTGTTTTACCGATCATTTGTGAATGGTGAATATTGGGGATTCAAGCAACCACAATGGAATATTATGGAATATTAATGGATAATTAATGGATCATTGATGGATATACCAGCCAGCATCAAATGTGGCTGTGAATGGGCATCCAAATATGTAGAAGAAAACATCGAACCAAATGAAGAATTTCCAGCGAGCCATGTTCGATTACAAGTAATCGGACTAAATTAATCAGTCTTTTTATTAGTTCATGGGGACATGGTTGGGGATATATGACCTGCACTACCGTATGATTAACATTTAAATGGGGAGCATAAATGGGGATAGATTCGGATAGATGGCCAACAATTGAAATTGATGATGATGATGATGATGATGATATCCCCTTCTATTCCCCATTAAATCCCACTAAAGTCCCATTAAGTCCTACCATCTCGATGATGATATTTCTGGGTCAACTCCAAAGACTTTTCAATGACGGTAGGAATACATCCAGCACACACACAAAGATGCACATAACCAACACAAGAATGGGCATGTAGCCCCCACAAACACAGGATTTTGGATAGAACCAAGGCGGATACAACCAACGGCAAAAGGCATGTTTCTGTGAACGTGAATAGTGACAAATTGATGATTCAATTTGTTCCTCAATTTCAAGTTTGGGGTTTTGAAACCCAGAGGTACTCGTATGTCAGCATGTTTGGGTGTCACATGATCTTTTCCAGGGGTTTCCTGTACATTTGGATCCATCCTTCGTTCTGAAGACCGGTTCAATCACGATTTTTGCATGTAAGATCATGTAAGATATTCACATTTGTTGGTCAATAAGCATTCAAGAACCTATATATTTCTGCCCAAATCCAGGGTGTTTTCAATCACCGAGTTGTTCAACAGGCCTTTGTTCAATAGGCCTTGAGGGTGTTCACATCCCCTACGAACGGCAGGTACTGGGCGGTCTCCAAGAACGATCCGAGGGAACTGGACCAGGAGTGGAAAATCCATGGGAAAATATGGGTACCCTCTGGTAAACATACAAAAAACTATTGAAAATGGCCATAGAAATAGTGAGTTTTCCCATTAGAAATAGTGATTTTCCATAGTTATGTTAGTTTACCAGAGGGTAAATCACCATTTTGTGGGGGGAGTGATCATGGAATATCATGGCATCATCCAACTGAATCATCGAAGTGGACCAACTATCGCTGGTTTACTGGAGGGTAAACTGGATTGTTTCCAGTGCCAGCTTTGATGGTACTTGTACCAGAGGCTGCTATCCATGCAATGTGGTAAAGATATGTCAATTTTCGATGGTCTTAGATGGTAATATGGGGTTGGTATGGGATGGTTTGTGATTGGGTTTACCACAATTCGCCTGGATGGCTGGCATTTTCATTGCATTTTCCTCCTTTTATCCATGAAAAAGTAGTTGATGTATGGGTGAGCTTCCAAAAAAGACGATGATTCTCCAGACTGATTGTGCCAGACACCTCGATGATCCGAAAAGGCCTTTGGAACATGACTTTCCATCACCAAATTCACCATTGGATCGGTCTCAAAGCATTGCATTGCTTGACGGTTGATTGTTCAAAGGACGCTCCCTCTATGGTTTTTTTCATGGTAACCTGTAAATTTCCAGGGTTTTTCTGTTTCATGGTAAGTAAAATCATGGTAAAGACATGTAAAAACCCAAGGTTTTTCTAAAAAACCTAGGGTTTTCTGCAACATTTCCCGGAAACCTCAGCCCAATGAAGCAGCAGCAGGATGTAGTGGTGGGTGTGGCCATCGACATCGACGCACGACAGCTCCATGTCTTGATCGCTGTTCACGTCACCAGGTCGGACTATGCTAGGCTGTTGGGTCTGACCAATTTCTAGAAATATCTCCCAATTTTCTCTGGGTGAATCATTTGAATCCCAGTACCCTCTGGTAAACATACAAAAAGCTATGGAAAATCATTTTTCATGGGAAAATCCACTATTTCAATGGCCATTTTCAATAGCTATGTAACAAATTACCAGAGGGTACATCATTTTTCTGGGACTTGTTCTCTGGCCAGCCACTCAGCCACTGAGGATGTGGTTCGCCTCAGACGGAGCCTGGGACGAGGCCAAAACGCCCTCCTTCGGGCCGGAGAACATTCCCAGAGGCCCACGGCGTGGTGTGGCTGGCAGGGCCATGGGCGATGTGCGGATTTTTCTGGGAAGCTGAACGGATTTCACAAAATTAAATTACCCCAAAGATATGTTTCATGACTTAGCCCAATTCAATTATTCAGGAAGGATTTTACTGGATTTTAGCAATGTGGTTTTGACATGATAAACGTAACGTGATTCAACAGGAGCCTGTTGAAAACGTGGTCAAAACCTGGGGAAAACTGACCCAATTGATGATCAAGACTTGGGATTGTTCTGATTTTTCACAAGGATTTTTCGCAAGACCCACACATAAAGACATCAAACGATTGGGATTTAGCAATAAAGACATTTATGGATTGGTTTGAGGAGAATTTCGAAGGTAAACAAAAAACCTTGGTTTCATCCGGTTTTTTGTTTCCTCAATTCGACTCATTGAGAAGAACTTGAAAGTACATGTCCAAGTCCTGCTCTCGATAGATGTTGAACTGGGGAGCTCATCTATAGATGCTGGGTTTTCAGTTGCCAGATTAGATAAAGGGCAACCCGCAGCTACAGATGGTTTTCGGATGGACATTTCCCAGGATTCCCATTTCTAGGTTACTTGGAAATCATGAGTTTTGCAAACCCTCCGTGGGCTCGTCATGTCCGAGGTCAGATGCTGTACCCCGCGGTGTCCTTGCGGGGGCGGGCGGCCTTCAACTTTGGTCCTGACTTTAAGCATCCTGCGCCCTGGATGGGTTCACTGGAGCCACAAGAAACACATAGAAAGTGGGTCCATGGATTTTCTGGAGCCTCGAACTCCGAAAAAAGGTGGTAGTTACGGATGTTCATCCCCAAATATGGACTTTGAGGAAATTCTATCCTCTTGAGACCAACAAATTTCACCCAACATATGTATGGTCCCTCTCAGGGTTGCTTAAGGTGTCTTTTAGGTTCCCAATGGGAAATCCTGCACTTGCAGAATCTAGTGGGAATATATGGGAACATGTGTATTTTTTTGGGGGCACCCTTAGGCAAATCCAAACACTTCTGAATTGATTTTTCACCCATATCATATCATACACGTGTATATATTATTATATAATTACAGTACAATATTAATATACATTAATATAAATATATACATCCATGCATTGGCTTTTGCACCTCAAAATCCAGTGGCGTATCATCATTCCCTCATTAATCAATGATTTCATGCATCCGCCATAGATTCGAGATTGTCCCAGCTCTTCAAAAAACCCTGGGATTTTTTTACTGCAATCTTTAAAAATCCATGATTTTTCCAAGGATTTTTTCCATGGTAAATCAATATCCATCCACCATTTCGAGTGGATTTTCCCATGATTTTCCCCGCCTAGGCACCCAAGTTTTCGAGCTTTGCGGCGTGGCCCGGAATGCCGGACGGCAAGGCGGGGAGCCAATGGGGGATTCAAGGATGATGGTTTTCATCGGAAAACCATAGGAAAATGGTGATCTAAGCAAGAAAAATGGTGATTTCATGGCGTTTTTTTATTGGATTTTATGGTGATTCATCGGGATTCATATGATTCTTGCTCTCTGATGATTTGTTACATAGCTATTGACACTGGCCATCTAGTTAGTTGAGTTACCTGTGAAAAATGGTGAATTTCCAGTTCGCAAACTGCCAGCCTACCAGAGAGATCCAGAGAGTATCAAAGAATCAGTGGACATCAGTGGACTAGATCCTTCCGGGGTAATCTGTCCATTTTTGTCATGTCCAACAAATCGGAGCTCCCCTTTCGTCGCAAAACCCCGCCCCGCTGCCGATGATTATATAATTGTTTCATCCATACTTCTGGGGGGGGGTTTTGCTGGGGGTTTTGCTGGGTGTGTGTGGCTACCTGTGATTTCGGGAACATGAAATTTGTTGCGCCTCGAGAGAAAAACATCCGCCTGCAGAAGACTGGGGTTTGTTAGGTTCTGGAAATCCCCAAAGATGTTGACAGATTCAAAAAAAGTAATCTTTGTGGTTTCAATCGCAATACCTGGATCTTCAACTATATCGCACTGTTGTTTTTGCTCCCTTTAGCATTTGGCAAGGAAGAAATAGACACTGTTCATTTTGCATCAAGGATGCCGCCAGGTGCGAGCAGACATTCCCATCATTGGTGATGAGACCAATGTGGATATCTACAAGGACCTTCCGCTGGGCGGATGGGCCTCGGATGAACTTGTCCCATAGGGGATGCAATCCAGCCACGATTGCAGGGTTGGGTAACGATAATTTGACATATCACCAAACATGTGATTTTTCCCAGCTAGGTTATGCACATGGCATTGCAATGCCTTACACAACATCGTTTTGCACTAAAGCAACATCACTCTACATAACTCTCCATCACCGTACATTCGTTCAATCATTAACCGTCATTAACCCTCAACGTGAAATCGAATATATTTACATTGCATCTCGTTGCACTGCATTTCATTGCGAATTTCTCTTCATCGCACTTTCCATTCAAGTCTGTTCCGCCCACTCTATTCTCATTTATATCTGGTTGGTGGTTTGGAACATGGCTTTTATTTTTCCATTGGAAAATATATGGGATAGTCACCCCAACTGATTTTCACTCCATCATTTTTCAGAGGGGTAGGTATACCACCAACCAGATTATTATTGACCATCATTAACCATATAATACCATATATCTGGGTAAATTATAACGACCTCACTGCGACCTCACTGGAAATCATGGTTTATTTTAGGGGAATCATCCCCAAATGGCCGCAAGATTCAGGTTAGTGAAATATTATAATTTGCCCAGATGTTAATATTATTGACCATCATTAACCATAGAATAACCATACACTAACCATATATTAACCATACATTGGCTTCCGCACCTTGCGACACATGGGACCATGGACACGACCCAGGAGATCCAGATCCATGGCGAGGTGAGTCTCAAGAAGAACGTTCAACGATTGGTGCCCTGATCGATGCTGCCGAGTCGGTGATGTTTTTTTTTTTTCTTTTACGAAAAACTCAAGTTACTAAAATACAATGTATGACAATGTAAACCATATATATATAATTATATATATATATATATCTGATCTATTAGTCTATTAATATGATATATAGGATATTATAGGATAATTTGTAGTATAATATATATATAGTAGAATAGATATAATATATAGTATGATATACAGTATAATATATAGTGGATAAAATGATATTAATATGGTATATAATAGACATTAATAGATATAATAGACTATATATTATATATACATACAATATTACATATGTGATTACACTATATATACAGAATAATATATCACATGTATATATATATATATACAGTATATATCAGTATATAGTATACATAAGTAGATCTACCCATGTAATGTACCTGGATCCTGCCCTTTGGGCGGATTTCCGGCGATCCGGCGCTGGCACCTTTTTGGTTGACATTCCTGGAATTCCAGGGCCTAGTTTTGCACGGGAAGTGTCAACATGACTGAATAAAACAAAACATATATGGCCAATTCAATCCAATATGCATCAATATCCTATAATGATCTATAATGTATAAGATATGAAGTGGATTTTTTGTTTTCACGGACATGGACGTTTTGAATGACGTTTTTATTTTGACATGGACAGAAAACTAGAAAAACTGGGTCCGGCTTTGCAGGTGGCGAACCGGAAGTACTTGGACCGCACCAAGGAGCACTGGATGATGCAGAGGTAGCCTCTGGTAAACGTTTACAGTTTGCGAACTGGAAAATCACCATTTTTAATAGGTAAATCATGGTAAATCAACTATTTCTATGGGCCATTTTCAATAGCTATTTTGACATAACCAGAGGGTATTGGATATTTCATGATGTTTCTATAGTGGTTGAAAAGGACAGGAACTTCAGTTTCTTGATGCGTAAACCTATATGTCTGCTTATGTCTGCTTGCTGGTTGTGTGTTTATTGTTTTATACATAGAACGGGCAGATTTCCAACCTCGATGATCTGAGGGTCAAATCAGCAAATCATTCCTTCCGATTTTGCCGGGTAAAATCACCCCCTTTTTTTCCGGACGTCGATTCCTGAAGAGGACAGTCGCTCCTGGGCCATCATCGTGGACAACGCTGGGCCTGCGGAGGGAACTTATGGCCGCACCGGCGCGGAGAAGGGCTGCAGCATCTTCTCGCAGAGGTGCCTGGTGCGTGGTTGGAGTGGGAGATACCTCGTATGGAGATACCTCGGAGGTTTCCTAAGTCATAGGGGTACCCCCAGTTATCATCCATTTATTATAGATGGGATGTTCTATGAAATAAACCATCTATTTTGGGGTACCCCCATTGTATGGAAACTCCTATACAATATTTTCAGACTTTCTGTGCCCTGAATATGGCATTCTCGTTAGAGCGGCTTTTCATGCGTTTCTTCAAAAAGACTTTCAGGAGTGCTAATCCACCATAATAACATACCAGTACCTTATTGGATGCCCTGATGTTTTCCTTCTTCTTGGAAGATAGCTGTTGCCGTATGTTTGGGCAGGGTTGCTCGAAAAAAGAATGTATTCTACAGGTGCAAGGCGCACATTTTTGCTTCTACAGGCTTCCGCCTCAAATTGCCAACACCATGGAAAAGTAATTTGAGCGTGAACCAAAAACCGCGCGCGCGCGGGCCCGATATTTACCGTCAACGTTGCCGGGATATGAAAAAAACGAAAATGCTACGGGTCAACCGTACCCACACTTTACACTTTATACTCCACATTACACACTCCACACTCTACACTCCCTACTCGACACCTGACGCTCTAAACTTTGCACTCTACACTCTACACTTTACACTCCACACTTCCAATTCCACCGTGCACATTCCACACTTATATAACACTTCACACTCCACAATCCTCACTTCACACTCTACACTCTACACTCTACAGTCTACGCTCCAGACTCCACACTTCACACTGTACACATCTCTACACGCTACACTCCACTTTTTGTACTCTACGCTTCACACTCCCCACTCTGCACTTCCCCCCCACTCCACACGCCACAGTCTACACTGGTACGGAAACAGGGGACGCATGTACCAGGCTGCTGAAATATAATCCATGCATTTACATTTATTTCGCAAAAGTGCTTTACGTGACTGCATTCGGGTTTGTGGGTCTTGTTTTTCACGGGGAAATAGAGGAAGATGAGGAAGCTCAGCCCGCAAATGCGCGGATTTTCACGAGCAAAGTTGGATATGGCATGATGTGGTATGTAAGCAACCGCAACAACTTACATGGGCATTTAGTTTGGGTAGGAATCTTGGGGTGGATATGAAAACAATCATCTCTATACATGTAATTGCATATATATATATAATATTTATATATGGTCTCGTGTTCCGTGTTCCTACCCCCCCCATGGTATGGGTCCCCAGGTAGCACCCCCTTCCCTTCTATTTGCAAGCTATTGGCAGCATTTCTGAGGTCCAGCCTCGCATTTGCTAGGTTTTTGCAGCATTTCTGACTACCAGCCTCGCATTTACTACCAAAAAACCTACCATACATAGCTTACTACCATTTACTCCATAGCTACCATACGGACCATACAGACCAAAACCTACCAGACCTACCAGACCTACCAGACCTACCAGACCTACCAGACCTACCAGACATACCATACCAACCATACATGCCTTTCTCTGGTATACATACCACACATACCATACCTACAACACATACCATACCCACCATATAAACCATACATACCACACAATTCAAACATACCATACCTACAGCACATACAATACCAACCATACATGCCATACAAACCATACCTACCATACATTCCAATGATACCATACATACCATACATACCATACATACCATACATACCATACATACCATACATACCATACATACCATACAGACCATACATACCATACGAACTTTGATCATACATACCATACCTATCATACATACCACACATACCATACATATGAAACATAATTACCGCACCTACCATACATACAATACCAAACATACATGCCATACATACCATACATACCATACCTACCATACATAGCAACATACCATACATTCCAAACATGCCGTACCAGACCGACCATACACACCATACATACCGTAATATCAAACATACCATACCCAACATACTTACATACCACACCTACCATCCATACAATACCAACCATACGTGCCATACATACCATACCTGCCATACATACCAAACATACCATACATTCCAAACATACCATACATACCATACCAACCATACATGCCACACATACCATACATATCAAACATAGCGTACATGAGATAATTACATACCATACTCACAATACCCACCATGCCACACATATATATATTGTCATACATACACTACACCCCCCCGCACCACACACCCCGCACCACACACCTGGGGAGGGGGACAGTACTATGGCTGACCCATGACCATGGCCAGGGGGGGTTTGGAACGCTTGTATATGTATAGAGTATACACGCATGTGTCACTGAGTCACGTATCCAATGGAGAGAATGCTTGGGTTCCATCTTCGTTGTCCCTGTCCAGGGGCGGGGAGCACATCATGTGCTGCGACACAACCAAGAAGATCTGGAAAGTCTCTCGATGCAAGAACTGGACAAACCTTGGTTTGGTTTAAAACGTCATTTCATATTATTTCATATATACATTACATATTCCATAATATATTATAATATACCAACCAATATATTATAATATACCAAACATCATTTCCCAATGTTTGCCAAGAACATGCTACATACCCCAAATCCAGTGTTTTTTTCAAAAACCGGAAGATCACCCAGCATAGAGCAAACTTTGGGTAAACCCACGGATGAGTGCAGATGGCAAGTGGGGGATTGTTAACTGTCCGTTGCCAGGCTCGATTACCAGCCAGACGCCAGAATTTGTTGGTCAAATCCTCCGTTTCCACCAACAAAACGGATCAACATGATATGTTTATCAAATGATATTAAAGCCTTCATTTATCCCGACATAGCAATATTTCATCAACCACACATATAGAAACCATTAAAACATATTAAACACATTTTAAAACACTAATTCACACAGGTTACCTCCTGTAAACTAGATCATTTTCCTAGGCAAAACGCGGTTGTTTTCCACAGCAAGGCCGTTGATTGGCTCGACCCCAGGTGGTTCACAAGGAGCAACCCGACGTGATAATGGCATCCGCGCCCATGCAGGACATGGTTTTTTCCGACAGATCTGGGGATCTAGTACAATTTTTTAAGGGACACATGTATGTGTATAAATGAATAAATGAATAAATAAATGAATAAATAAATGAATAAATGAATAAATAAATGAATAAATAAATGAATAAATAAATGAATAAATAAATTAATTAATAAATTAATAAATAAATGAATAAATAAATGAATAAATAAATGAATAAATAAATGAATACATATATATAAACATAAAATATTTAGGTGTATATATTTGTATATCTAACCTGCAGTATGATTTTTGGGTATGTCTGAAAATGCTGATTTTACTCCGGTCATTTCGGGGATTTCGCTGATACCCAGCTCAAAATCCTCAGCATGGATTTCCCCTCCAGCAAACTGCCTCGTTCATATGGACAACCCACCATTTTTAGATCAATTTAATTGGGTTTTCCCCACTCGTAATTTAACATAGCTATTGAAAATCGTAATTTACAGTTTATTGACCTATTAAGTTTATGGTGATGTTCGATGGCTATGTTAGTTTATGTTAGTTAGTTTACCCTCTGGTAAACTAACATAACTATGGAAAATCACCATTTTTAATGGGAAAACTCACTATTTCTATGGCCATTTTCAATAGCTATTTTGACATAACCAGAGGGTATCGTTTTGTTGGCCCATTGGCAACGTCCTGCTATCACCCAGGACGGCGGCACCATGGACCCCCCACGCGCGGGCTGGGAAGTCCCCTACACCTCCCGCGGCTGCGTGTCCCAGGCGGCTCGGGTGAAGCCGCATTTTCCATGGGATCTGATGAATCTCATGTGGTTTATCCCATGAAAATCCATGGTTTATCCAGGTTTATCCCATGAAAATCTCATTATTTACTAGTGTTTATATAGTTACCCTATGATTATTACCTGTGATGATTGATGATTACTATCTGTATCCTATGATCTAATGAATCTAATGGTAATAGTCTATGGATCGCACTGACGAGATAGGGATTATGGAGGGTTAATGGATGGTAAAGTTAGTAAAGCAATAGTAGACTATCCCCAAATTTACCATTTTATGGGTGCTGAAACCATGAACATATGGCTGGTTCATGACATTGCTTTATTAATATCATTGTGGGAGATTCCTTGTTTTTTACTGGTTGCTGGCTTCACATCTTGTTGTTTGCAAAAAAAGAAGTGGCATGACGATCCCCAATTACAATCATAGTTTGTTTTCATGGGGTGGAACCTACCAACCACAATATTGTGACCTATACCGTTCAGTCCAATTTTTTTGACCCAAATCTCAAACGTTTGCTGACTACCTAAAATGCATCCCCACAGAAGAGTTCAGATTTAGATTCTGGGTTTGGGGTTGAGCATGGATCCATTGTTCGGGATTTGGGAAACCTTAGTGAATGGTATAGGCCTTTATGGTGAACCTTTATACTTTAAAAATCATACAGGTATATATAAAATGGTACGAATAGAAAAATATGATGTTCCAAATTAAATGAGGGTGATTTTTTGTTTTCAGCATTTGTTCCGACAGTCGACAGGGGAATCCAAGTGGAAAATGATGCCTTCTTTCTCCCAAAAGGCATTGGTAGAGTCCCCCAAACAGTTTTAGATTCTCGTCGATCCTGGGGTGATAGTATATAGAAGTTCAGAAATTGGGACGTAACACTGGGGCACAATTTCACCATTTCACCATTTCACCACTTCGCCAGTTCACCAGTTCACCATGTCACCATGTCACCATCAGAACCACCGTGATGACCACCATGATGACCATGATGATCATGATGATCATGATGAACATGATGATATGATGAACAATGATGATAATGATGACGATGACGATGACGATGATGATGATGATGATGATGATGATGCTGACGACGACGACGACATCATCATGAGTTTCCCCTTTACTGTATGTTTCTGGTCTCTACTACAGAAATGAGACGGAAAATCTGCTTGTCGCACGCCACAGGAGATCTTCAAACAGGGCATGAAGGCACGTCGAGAGGGCAGACATTTTGGACTGCTTATGACATGTTGGATCTACCCTGTGTTCCAATATGGGCCTGTCTGAAAGTGCGAGTATGCACCCAAAATTGCCATTTGATATCATTCAATGGGGAACATGATGGTACCCCAATGGGATTTCGAGGGTGCATCCTATGCTACAAATCCATCCATATCCATGGCCAACCACAGAAATCCCTTCCACCGAGCCTGCGAAGAAACCTGATTTGGTGGATCTACTCCCACAGAGACACCAACTGATTTGCCACCTCAGAGACCAACTTGAATCAACAAGAGTCAAAGTTTGGTCAATTTAGATGGTATTAAATGATATCAGCTGGTCATTTGCGTTGGAATCGCTTCCATATTTTCAGATCAATTTTGCGACCGGGTGTGTTTCCTCCGCAGGAGGCGGGCATCAGCGACGCTCAATGTTGCTTGGCGGTGACATTTTGTGGGGAATTTCGAGGGGAACGCCTCGGAAAATGTGGTTGAACGGCTCGGGTCATGAATAATCATGGGATACTCATGGACCCATGGATACATTATTCCCCTGTATAAACCCATCAACGGGTGGCGAAAAAGGGTCACTTTTCAAGGATTCCATGATTTTCTTAGAGCCCCGATTTCGGGTAGGTTTGAAATTTCCAGTCGGGGGTATCCCTATAACATGGCGCCTCCCAGGTTCCAGTCAATATTTCAAGGGGGATGATATAACATGATATACCATCTGGTTATTTAACATAGCCATGGAAAATCATCATTTTTAATAGGTAAACCATCTATAAATGGGCCATTTTCCATGGCTATGTTTAATAACCAGAGGGTAACCAACCAACAATCTATTGTAGGTTTTGCTAATGTACTCAAAAATACTCAAAGCAAACAATGATGATAACCCGGAAGAATCAATACTTGTAATTACAATCCAATAATACTTATCCAATGCTAATTCCGATTATATACTCAACAGGGTTGCCCTACGCCATTATAGGTAATTACATGATAGCCACTTTTGGGGCTGAAAAGAGGTTTTCTTGTTCCTTGATCTACAATTTTACCACCTAAATGTATCCGGGGGATTTTGCGAGCTGTCCTGATTCAAAAGTGCTTGACAACTAGGGCTTTAACATGTCTTAGATTTTAATAGATGAATATTGATATTAACTATGTACAGATACATATTAGTATATAGATATGGAATGACATGGAGGTTTCCAATGGTTTCCATAAATGGGGGTAGCCCCAAATCATGCATTTTAATGGGATTTTCCATAATAAACATTTATAAACCATCCATTTGGGGGTACCTCCATTTATGGAAACCTCCAAATATCCATCTATACTACCATAGGATTTTATACTACCACAGGATTTTACCTTACAAATTGGTCAACGTCCCCCTCTTTTTATTGCTGTGCGTTGCGCCCAAAAATGAGGCAAGACTTTGATCTCCGCCCTGGGCATCAGCTCGAAGGTGGGGCCATGTTGTGTTCAGAGATCAGCGACGAATCTTGTGGGGTCTACAGAAATCAGTGGCTTATCATCGTAAATCATAGTAAATCCCATAAGATTAGTAAACTAAGTTGGTTTACTTTCATAAGTTTAGTAAACTGAAAAAGAGCTCAACTAAGTTTCGTAAACTTGGGACTTTCTTGGGATTTACTATGATTTTCTTCGAAAGTTGAAGGACTGAGAAAGTCGAAGGACTGCACCAAGCAAAGCGGGGATTGAACCGACTAAATTGCGGTCTGACCCACGAACAAGAGTGGTTGAAATCAATTCAGCAACGTATGATTTCAGGGGTTCTCTCCAAAACAGGGTACGTCCTGACACTGATCATGTCCCAGCTATACTACAGCGATAGAAACGATTTTGGTGTTTTTCCAGGGTACCAAGGTTTTGACTCAGTGATTGGTGTTAAGTCGGTTTAATTCTGTTATTGTTTCAGAGGGATGAGGTAGACATTCGATCTGCTTGTGGGCCGTGTCCTGATGCTTTGCATTTTGCCAAGAAACAGCCACTTTGGTGGACCAGTCACAGACATTCCATCGCGTGAGTCGCCAAGATTTTGAACAACCACCATTCCTTCCAATAGCTGCGCAGCGGAGAGGAAGTCATTCCAGTCCAACAGTGCAGGAATCGTCTCGCCTTGTTAGTTTCGAACCAAAACTGCTGTCAGAGGCGACATCTCTGTGTGAGCAATCTCTTGGAGACGCCTCAGTGGCCTTGTCAGACAAGGAGTGAAGATCTTGAAAGGTGTATTCGCTCACGTTCTATGACATGTCTCTAGGGACAGAGGTGTGCTTTCTCCCCATGCTTCCACCCCACCAGTGCAACACTATTACATACATAAATAATCATACTAATATACATAAAATAAATATCTACATACTGTACATTTTCGTTATTTTTCAGACCTGGGATGATTATCCCAAGTGGCGCATGCTAGGCATACGTGGGACGACGATTTCCGAGACGTGGGTCCCACGTGGTCAAACCAAACCAAGCCGGTGAAAAATGGCCACCCAATACCCAGAGAATCTGGTAGGAGTCGCAAATGATAGGCCAGTTTGGGTCAGTTTCCCCACTACTGATGTGGTTTTTCAGCCAATGCCATAATGGGTGGTAGAAATGTGTAAAAATAATCCACCAGAAAAGCAGGTGGCATAGGGACCCAGCTGACAACGATTCAGGTCTACCGATACACAGAGAAGAGCAGTTTTGCGCAGGACTGGTTGGTGTCCCGGGACTCCCGGGACCCCCAAAAGGCAGATACATGGGTTATAGCTATAGTAAGCCCCAAAAAGATGCAGAACAGTTGGAAACCGGAAATGACGGGGGAAGACATCATCAAACTACCATGATGCTGGACATACTTTTTGGTATCTTTTTTGGGGTTGCTATGAGTAATGGAACTTGTTCCTTGGATCGTCATGACCGAATGTAGCAGTTAGCTTCGCGGTTGGGTGCCATGGAGAACCTGGTGGAGCTGGCAGCAACAGGCAAAGATGTTTCACGGTGCAGTCTTGGGCGATGCAAACAGGTCGACTGGTCTTAAAAGTACTTTCAAGATATCCTGAAGATATCTAAACAAAATATAAATCATTGTTTAAGATACTCAAAGATACCCATTGTTGGTCTGCTCAGAGCTGTAGCTGTGGCTTCAAAATATCTTCCATGGCAAGCGCTGACTTTTTCTGTCCCCAGCCTGAGCTATCCCTCGCAAGGCAGTGGTAAGACGCTTGCCTTTATGCTGCCGGCCTTTTGTGAGATGTGACTCACCCAGTGATCGTCGTTTTGTTGCAACTTCGGGCATTTTTTCATCCGGATTTGTTTGATTTACAGGTCTTCACAGCCAAGGAAGCAACAAGGCTGGGCAGAGTTCGTTTTGACATGTTTTGACTCAGTGCCATGACAGGGTCATGACTCAGTGGCTACACCGAAGGCCATAATCCTGACCACCATCTGGTAATGTCGGTCCCTGAGTCAGCAGCGTGGAGTCCCTTGGCGTGGTGTGGGCGTGCTTCGGCGTTGCTCTCAGGTGTCCGACCAGAGAACTTGCGCAGCAAACGGAAGCAGAGGCATGAACAAAGGGCCTGAGAAATTACGGATCCCCAAACAGAATGGTTTTGTGATGGTTCAATCATAGTTCCATCCCCAAAATCACCAAGAATGGTACGAGCCCAACTTTACCACACGGCTGCTAGGCCGAGCGCTTCGGTGCCTGCCTTGGCTTTAGTGTGGTTTCAACCTCAGGATGATGGATCCGACAGATCCGCAAAGAGGAAGAAACTCATTATGCTGAATAAATGTGGATGATTTTGTAGATCTATAAGGATGTGGATCATTTTGCGGCAGGTGGCAATGTATGGAGGTTCGGGAGAATTTGCGTCCAAAAATTTTCAGCTACGCAAGTCTGGCACTTAGAGTTTCAGAAGTAGATTCGATGGACTTTTGAATTCAGAAGGTGGTTCTCTTTTCGATCTTGAGGTATAGCTATGGTCCGCACACCATCGTGGCGTGCCCTGGGCGCTTGTTCGACTTCCTGCAGAATGGGCAAGTGCGACCCGATGGTGTCTGGAGCCCGGTCGAAAGCTGGTGATAAATCCGCCAAGCTGGTGCCATCTGCAGCGTTTGGTCCATACTTTGAAGCTGATTTATCATGATTTGCACTCGCTTGACATCGTTTGATGGGGCACTCAAGCGGGACCAAATGGCCAAATGATTTCCGGGACCTCAATTTTTGGATTAGATCTCAAGTTTCATGCACGGAATGCATGAAAGTTTCATGAAAGGATCGTTCCAACAAGCACACGTCTCAAGGCGTTTCAAGGGCATGCCATGAACAAACCGACCCCAGGTGTCTTGCCTAGTTTTGGACGAGGCTGATCGCATGCTTGATATGGGCCGATGCCTCAAGTCTTCCGTGGCAATGGGTCCGATGTACTCCCATGTACTCCCCACGTCTCCCCCGGCTGGGTTCGTCTTCACCTTCTTGTGCGTGATGGTCAGTCCACCCAAAAGTGAGGGCTTTGAGATTGTTTGAATATCATTTCTTTGTAAGAAGTGTGACATTATGAATGAGTCCATCCATTCGAGGTTGGATGACCAAAGTTCGCAAACGCAAATCATGGGCCATGGCACAGATCTTGTGCATTCTTGTCACGATTCTTGTCCTCAGGTTTTAAGCTCCAGATCTACAGAATCCTTTGGTATCTTCGGAGGACCGTCGCCATCCTGCCCCAGCTGCGCCCGAACAATCGCCAGCGCCAGGATCCCACACAACCTACATACCATGTTCTTCGAAGCCAAAGCGAAAAGTTGATGTTGGCACCAAAGGGGTAAAGGAAGCGTAAAGTAGGGTAAACTGATTGAAAGATCTCACGAAAGGGTTTCCAGGTACCATGATTGATGTGGATAATCATGGTATGGAAGGTCTGGCCTTGGGGCTGGAGGAGAAGATGCGGAGACCCATAGATATAGATGAGCTGCGTGGTCTGGTGGAGATAGCCTATGCCGCGGCGCAGTTGGCTTGGCAAATAGAAGGAAGAAGCCCCGAGACGGATCTGTTGCTGGCCCACATGGCCCGTCAACTTGAAGAAAGAATCAATGAACAAAGGAAGATGGCCATGAGAAACCTGAGGGATACTGTCCCTCGGGTGGGTAAGGCAAAGGTCATACGGTGGCCAGCAAGGTTAGAGAAGAAGCTCCATAGAGCTGGTGACGATCAAGACCTGCGGGCTAGAGCTGAGGGGGACGAGAGAGCCCGTTAGATGCTAGAGATCAGGAAATTGCTGCGCGAGGCAGAGGCACAAGCAATGGTAAGAGGCTCCATGTTTGCGGGGGTGAATTTGAGCCGCAGGTTCGGAAAGGGCAGAAGAGCATCCACGTTGCGCAAGCACGCCAAGACGTGGATGAAAGTGATCCAGTGGATGAAGTCCATTTTTTTCAGGCCTTGGCCGGAGGACGCAGAAGAGTTTGCCCTTTTCTTGGAGTGTAGGGCAAACGAGCCCTGTGGCAAGACGGTACCGGGAAGCGTGTACCGCACCCTGCTCTTCATGGAAAGTGCAGGGGAGTTTCCCCCAGAACAATGATTGGGGAAATCAGCGGCCATCCGAAATACGCTGGAGGAGGTCAACATGCAATTGGAGGCACAGGCCTCGAAGTTCACCAAGAAGGCTTGGCATCTACCTGTCAAGCTAGTGATTGCCTCGGAGAAGAAAGTTCTGGACTACCAGGCGCACAGCTATCCAAGAGTGTACGCATGGTACAGACTGGTCAAACTTCGGACCGGTATGAGGTTCTCAGACACTACAGGTCTGGACCACAGCGCGCTGGAAGGGCAGTCGTTTGGATTCACAGGAGTCTTGAACCGGACCAAAGCCACAGGCCCGGGTAAGAAGGTGACCTTCCTGAGGATCTTCGTCAGCAAAGACTGCTGGCTGGAGCATGAGACATGGATGTCCACTGGCTTGGATGAAGCTTTCCCAGGAAGCTGGACTGATGGAGAAGGATTTCATGCTTCCCTATCCAATCTATCCAGCTAACGCCTTGGGAGGCTTCGGAAGACGCATGGTCAACTACGCGATGGCCTCCAGGTGTCGCATGCTCTCTTCAATGATTTGAGGGGAGAATTTGAAGGAGCCGAGGTTCCACTCTTGGAAGAAGGAGTGTGCGCCATTTGGTCCGAGCACTCAGAAAGGGCAACCATGAGAACATGGGCTGAGGGAGCGGGAATACCAGAAGCAGTCAGAAAGCAGATGGGCAGGTGGACACCAACCACCGATCGAGAGAAATTCCCGTTCAAACATCCTGAGGGCTCAGTCTTCCATTGCCAACTTCATGAAGAAGAACATCGGGTCGGGGGATCACTTCGACGAGGTGCTGATCATGTCGGCGGTGACGGAGCGCATGGAAAGACTGGGGCACGCAGATGGGGTCGTGCAGATCCAGGTGCAGAAGCTGTCCAGCTTCGGCGCACATGCAAAGCCGAAGAGACTCAGGCTTTTGGGGCCTGATCAAGTTAGGGGTGATCAATGATGAGGAGTTTGATGATGGCTGGAACCTGGTGGGGCCAATACCCAAACGGATGGCACCAATTGATGGTGGAGTCCCGGTGGACTCCCCGGATGACGAAGCAGACCTGGTGCAAGAGAGTGCACCGGGTGGACGAGAAGAGAAGGAGGAGAAGGTCGTGCCCAGAGGCTTGTACGTCCTCAGCATCATCGGAAGATGTGAGAAGAAGACGTTGCACAGAGTTGGAGAATGCCATCGGATTCCAGGGGGCCACTATGGTAAATGCCAAGTGGTTGGCAATGGTCCACCCCCAGTTGAGACGTTTCACCAATCATGTAAGATCTGCTTCCCACAAGGGGACAGGCAGGCAGAGGATTCCGGCAGTGAGCTGTCGGAAGAAGACGACAACAGCTCCTCCGACTCCAGCACGTCGGTGGAGGAATCAGGTGAAGAGGGCTGACAGACCTACCCGGTCAAAAGAAAAGCGATGGGAGAATGGGCACGCTGACGCAGTTTGAGAGGTTGAGGTGACAGGTGAAGTCAGCGATCTGTTAGTGCAAGAAACTTGTGGGCAAGGAAGTGGAAGGGCCCGTAAGGAAAGGGACGGCTCAGAGAATTGGGTTGCTTTAAACTTTAAACGATTTCAATGAAGAGCAGTGCATGAGTGTTTGCAAGGGATCGGCTTGACTGCAATGTGTCTGGCATGGAACATGGTGCATGTTGATTTCAATTCCAGAGCCGTTTGGGTTCAGGTGAAGCAGGTGACGGCCTGGCGAATTCGGGCGAAAGTCGGCAATGGCGGTTCCATTTGATTTGGACACGCCGGAAGGCCTCAAGGGGCATTGCAAGCTCTTGATCCAGACTTTCAAGAGCTTATGGAAAGGAAGGGGGTTCAGCCCAGGTTGCAAGGAACTCAAGCAACCTGGGAGTCAAAAGCATCAGCAGGTTTGCAGTGTTGGGAGACAATGCTGCAGCGACAAGAACCTTTGCCACCAATCACTGCGGTCTGCACGCAGATATAGACGTGGTTCAGGTGGCAGGCTTGGTTGACTGTGGGAAGACGAGGTACTAGAGATCTTAGGGTGGATGCGAAAGCTGAAGGAGATCAAGGTATAGGGGGCTGGGGAGTTCCGGAATCAAACAACACCTTTGACGCTAGGTGGTTCTCAGTCGTCTTGAACAGAAAGAACGCACCATGGGCGTATCTCAAAGGTGAGCCCTTTCGGAATATAGCCAGTCTTGAATTGGTGGCCGTGCTGGTGGCAGCCATTCTATTTGGAGATCGGGTGGCCAAGCACACTCACCGTAAGAGGTTAACGTTGACAGCTAGCACGGACAACCTGGGGAACACCTTTGTCCTTAATCATTTTATGAGTTGCAAATATCCATTGTCGATTGTGGTGATGGAACTTGCATATGAACTTGCAACGCAACTGAGAAAGTTTGGCCTCGAGGTGGACTTGGGATGGATACCGAGGGGTCAAAACTCAGAGGCTGATTCGTTGACGAACTCAGAGTTCGAAGGTTTCGATCCGAACAAACGCACCTTGATGGACTTTGAGGATCTGAAGCTTATAGTGATGAATAAGCTAATGGAGAAAGCAGCAAGTTTGGATGAAGAAGTAAAATTAGCAGAATCATCCAAAGAGGCGAAAGGTGATCGACCAGAAGACAGTCGATCAAAGAGGAAAAGAGGAGAGAGACGTTGGAAGGACCCCTGGTGAAGGTTGTAAGAAGAACCAGAAGTCATTAAGTTAAGAGAAAGGGTGGTGCCAAGCCAGCGTCTAAAGAAGGGCAAATGGGTGCTGGCAAAGTCAAACCCTACAAGCATAGAGCAGGTAAAGCCTGTTGCTTGATACCTACCCTGATGAAGATATCAGGACAGAAGGATGGCAGACAAAGACCTTTGCGCATCCCTGGAAAAGATTGCATCGCCTGCCGAGGGAGAGAGGGAGTGACGAGTAATGGAACTTGTTCCTTGGATCGTCATGACCGAATGTACGTAGCCCAGTGGGCTCAAAGACTCCCACCACCGACCCCTGACGCCCCCAAATCTCGGGTTAGAGTAGAACCTTGCCAAAGGTTATTAGAAGGGCAAATGGGTGCTGGCAAAGTCAAACCCTACAAGCATAGAGCAGGTAAAGCCTGTTGCTTGATACCTACCCTGATGAAGATATCAGGACAGAAGGATGGCAGACAAAGACCTTTGCGCATCCCTAGAAAGATTGCATGTGCATCGCCTGCCGAGGGAGAGGGGGAGTGACAGTCTTATCCAGTTCTGAAACGTTCTGAGCATGGTTCAAGTCTTCCAAACATGTTCCTATCTTCATGAAGTGTGGTCTTACAGAGCAACAGGATGTTTTCAAGGTCACTCCGATCTTAAAAATCCTTTGGGTTATCAAGCTAGGGGAATCGACCTGCTTTGATGCCTGGAACATCCTGGAAAGCTATGTCCACATTGATAAGACTCCGCAAAATGTAGGATTTTCTAATTCCATGTAGATGGTTTAGCCCATGAATCGGTCACAAACCTGAGCAACGTAGGCTAGCTGAGAGTTCTCTCACATCAAGTTTTGTGTGACTTTTGGCTACACTGGTGAAACAAGTTTGTGGTGCCCAGATTTTCGATGATATGGATGTCCCTGCTGTTTCTCTGTTGATCTTTTCTTGGAAAAAAGATCTGTTTGGATATTTGGTCATTTGGGTCTTCCCCTCATCCGCTTGTTCCCAGCTGAAATTGGACATGGCAAAAGCATATATATATATTTTCGGTCAAACACAACAACAGCATATATATTTTTTCGAGTTGATGTTGGAAGAAGCAGTCCGGTACTTGCAACAGACCAAAATGCTCAGACAAAATCTACAAGTCCCTAGTTGGCAAGTGCTTCTAAACTGTGACGCTCAGGCCAAGTTCCTGCTGAGGTTTCCTTGGCAACATGATGATTTGCAAAATCTTGTCATTGTTTGCATCATTCCCATATTTACCCAAGCTATCCAAATTGCCAAAGGAAATTAAGTCTGGGTTGTGGCACCTGTCGAGCGAAAAAACCAACCAAATTCCAATATATATATATATACATAAACATATATATATATATACATAAACATATATATATACATATATATATATAGAGATATTAGTAAATACAGTATAAGGCTTGTGTACTCTCATGCGGGCTGGTGTAGTTGTCATGGGGCTGCGGGGCAGTGGATTTTCTTGTTGAAAGAGGCCCACAAGGAGTCAAACTCTTAGAAATAGGCGCGCAGGCTGTGACCTGCGCAGTGTGGCAAGTAGTTTCAGGTAGTCTTGATGGCGACAAGAGGTGACAATATAACACTTAAATAAATAAATCAATAAATAATATATATATATACATATATTTATATTTATAGTTATTTATATGTATTATTCAAAAGCCAGTTCAGTTCAAATAGTTCAACAGAGGACCAAAGACGACCAAGGTCTCTACAAATAAAAAATGCAGGTCCACTGTCCAAAGTTTTGTTGTGATCCCTCTCAAGGAATTTTGGAGGGGACGATGACGATGTGGAAGCGGTTGAATGATGAACCACTTGCAACATGATTTACTGCACTTGTTCCTGGCCGCGTGCCATCCTGAGGAAGGTTCCCTTGCAGAGGAATTGGCGCCCACACCTTCGTGCTTTATAATCTATAATTTGTAGATGTCTTCAAGGTCACTGCAGCAAGAAGTGCGCCGAGACCTTTTCGGTCAGATGGCTCCGGGCGGAGCCGCGTTGCGCTTGAACCATCCTGAAGCGATTCAATTGCTGGTTGGACAAGCAGATGACGATGTAGACTTGAACTACAGGTTCGGAGATATTTAAGAATTTAAGTTCTGCTGGCTAGGACCGCTAGGACTCAGGACTGTTTTGAGTAGACGCCTGATCCATCGGAGGCCGCAAAGAGGTTTTTCTCTCTATGTCTTTCGGCATCTGTACCATTAACATACATGTGAGCATTCGGGTTCGTGGGCTGCATCTTGTCTGAGTGTATAGTATAAACCACTGATATCCAGTGAAATTGCGGCTATTCAGCTGTGAGGATTGAAACTTTCGGTTTATTACCAATCATGTCTTTGAGTGGAATACCCTCAATATTTTTCAAATAGAAGTATATCTTCAAGAATCTCAGTTTAGCCGGAAGACCATTCCAAAATGTCTTCTTCCCTTTTCAGATTCAGATCCATATAACTCCAACACCTGAGTCACAGCTAGGAGTGGGCTAAGCTGAGCCACACAAAGAGCGCGGATGAGGTGCATGACACGGGTTGGGTTTCCCCCACAAAAATGGGGGGTTCTACTGCCAGTTTATGGCGTAAAAAGCTATACTTTGGGAAACGGATGATGATCACTATGAATCATGATGAATCACTATTAATCACCACGATTCAATCTGGTATATAGATCCCATGAAAAGATGTAAAGGTAGTTATACTACAACCCCATGTTCATACGCTTCCGAGTGCTTGGAATGTGATTTTGGCGGAAAGCAATTGAAACTGGTGATCTGGGACTACGTCCTGATGTGAATGCATGAAGATACTGTGGATGGAAGAAGTCCTGCGCCAGTTGGTAACTATTGGCTAGTATGAAACACTGGTACAGGATTTCCTCCAGAGTATCAGTATCAAGACTTCCCAGCATCCCGTGGATTCTCTTAAAAAAAATCTTTGGAATGGTAAGTCATGGGTGTACCCTAAAAGATCATCCACGTCATAAAACCATTTTGGAATTGAACCCTTTGGTGACTTGGGGGATCCCCCTGGGCCCGCCTTAGATCTGCATTTAAGATCAGTGCCATTGATGATATCTCCGGCGTTGTTTACATGGAGACAAAAAGACCCCCCCACGTTTTTGCGCCGTTTTTGATGATAGTTGGTTAGTTTGGCTGATGGGTTTCTTATGGTAAGTACTGTATCCCAAGTTTGGGTTCAAAAACACCCACAACATCCCATACGCTCCATGGAAGTTTGTGGTGAAACCCAACATTTCTATCAATTGTGATGGTTAAATCCCAATTTGTTCATCATTATTCATTGTTCGACACCTATTTTTCTTCATTTTAGATGGTTAAATCAGGTTAAGTCGCAACTTTTCCATCATGTATAAGTCTTATAAGTAGTTCAATTCACATTTTCAATAAATTGTGACGGTGAAATAGTTGAATCCCGAATGTTTCATCCTTGAATCGGGGTGGGCTGCCAGGCTTGGCAGTGCTGCGTCAGCGCGGTGCAGAAAGCCATGCTGAAGGAGCCGCGGGTGGGTTTCACCTACAAATTACTTTACTTCGAGCGATCCCCACCGTGACAAAGTTTTGTCATAGTTTCGGGTATCTCATCTGGAAGTATATACGGCATATATTGTTTGACTTCTGGCAGTGTATCTGACATTCTATTCTGACATTCCATTCTGGCATTCTATCTGGCATCTTTTCACGCATTCATTCTGGCATCCTTTCTGGCATCTATTCTGACATTTTCTCTGGCATTCTAAATTGCATTCTTTCTGATATTCTATTTGGCATCTATTCTGACATTCTTTCTGGCACATTTTCGGGCATTCTATCTGACATTCTATTCTGGCATTCTGTGTGGCGTCTATTGTGGCAATCAATTCTGCCATTCTATCTGGCATTCATTCTGGCATTCTATAATTCTATTTTGGCATTCTATCTGGAATCTATTCTGACGTTCTCTCTGACGTGTGCGCTGCCGGACCTCAACCGCGAGCGCCAGATTTCAGTGCTCGCGGTTGAGGTCCGGCAGTGCCCACTGAGATCTGCATGGAGCTCGCGGTTGAAGTCCGGCAGTGAGATCTGGTTGAGGTCAGGAGTGCCCATTGAGATCTGGAGCTCGCGGTTGAGGCCCGGCAATGCCCACTGTGATCCGGAGCTCCGCTGTGGAGGTCCGCCGGAGCTCGCGGTTGAGGTCCGGCTATCGCGGTTGAGGTCCGGCCGCGCAGCTCGCAGTTGAGGTTGGGCAGGGGCCACTGAGATGTGGCAGTGCCCACTGTGATCTGGAGCTCGCTTGAGCGGCAGTGCCCATTGAGCGGCGCTCGCAGTTGAGGTCCGGCAGTGCCCACTGAGATCTGGAGCTGGCAGGTGGGAGGAGGAGGAGGCGGATGAGGAGGAGGAGGAGGAGGAAGGATGGAGCAAGCATCTTTGATATATACAATCTAGAGATCCTCACCTGGCAGGTGGGAAAAACATGGAAACATATTAAACCCGTTGGTAACTCCTAAAAAACACATGGTTTCTGGGTGTTTAATATGACTGGGGAAAAGGATGATTCGATGATATGGAACATTGGTGGTGTTCAAAGTTTAAACATTTAAACATATTTTATGGGGAGTTTACCTGCTCAACCTCCGATTGGTTGGTGGTTTTAAGCCTCCGAAAAATATGTGAATGTCAATGGGAATCATCATCCCAGTTCTATTGTTGAAGATTCAATAGATATTTGAAACAGGTTCAGGTCGCGACGCTTGCCAGGCGAGTTTCATGTTGTTTTACATTTTCGCACGCAAATTCGAAATTTGGAAAACTTTTAACTATTTGGTGGTCAGGAGGGAGCTACGCATAGAGGTTCCCAACCACGTAATAGTTGAAGTTTGGGAGTTTCGCCAGTTCTGGGCACATCTTCCCAAGTTTACTTACGATGCCTTTGTTGTCCCAGAGGGTATATCCAGTTTTTTAGAGCTTCAATACCCACTATATCCCACTATATCCGCAATTAATTCCATTATTGGTCTCATTGACCCCTTTTAATAGATAATTATCCCAAGTCATTGCCCAGGAATGTACGTATATAATCCAAGCGCCATCAATCCTATGAAGTAGGCTAAATCTCATCAATGTACCTCCATATTAATCCCATACAAACTCATATATCCTGTTAATGTAATCCCACATTCATAGATCTTTATCCGAAAATCATCACTAATCACTATAATATATATATATATCCTTTTGCAGCAATCACTTTGAATCACTATTATATTCCACGAAAGCAAGTACCATGAACAATCCCATTCATCACTATTAATCCCATATTTATCCCAAAATCATGGTCCAAAAATGTAATCCATACTAACCCCACGAAATAGGTATTAGTAAGGTATTAGTGTATAATCATGTAAATACACAAATTGTTAATCACTATAAATCAGTCTTAAGAAAAATGCATCATCATCATCAGCATCATCATCATCAATGACCATGAACTGACTATGAACCACTTTAAATCACCGTTAACCACCGTTAATCAACATCACTATGAATCACCATTAAACGCTAAGAATCACAATTAACCACCATTAATCTCAATTAAGAATCACCATTAACCACCAGCAACCACTATGAATCACCATCAGTCACTTTGAATCACCATGAATCACTTTGAACCACCAGTAACCACCATTAATCACTTTGAATAACCATTAATCGCCCCAACTCAACATGAATCGCCATCAGTCACCCTGAATCACTATGAATCACCATTCACCACCATGAAATCACTATCACTATGGTCACTATGAACGCCATTAACCAATATGAATCACCATCGGTCACTATGAACCACTGTTATATCACTGTAAGTAAATCACCAAAAATTATCATTGACAACTATTAACCACTGCAAATCACCATTAATCACCAGCAACCACTATGAATCATCATCAATCACCATTAATCACTAACAATCAAAATGAACCACCATTAATCATCATTAATCACTATGAATCACGATTGGTCATCACTATGAATCACCACTATAATCACTTTGAATCGGCATTAGTCACCAGTAATCACTACGAATGGCGTTTAATCACCATGAATCATTCTTAATTACCATTAATCACTATCGATCACCATTAATCACTTGGAAATCACTTTGAGCCACTATTAATTTCCAATAATCACAATAATCACCATTAATCACTATGAATCACCATTAGAAAGCAGTAATCATCATTGATAATTTTGAGTGAATATTAACCAGCTTTGACCACCATAAATCAGGTTGAATGACCATTAATCACCGTTAAACACCATTAATCACCGTTAAGCACCATTAATCACTCTGAAACCGCTTTGAACTCACTATCCACCACCATTGATCACCATGAATCACTGTTAAGCAATATCAATCACCATTAGTCATCATGAATCACCAAGAATATCAATCACTATGAATCACCATAGTCATCACCATAGTGATCACCATTACTCACTATTAATCACCATTAACGACTTCGAAATCCCTGCGAGTCACGTTTAATCATCATTGACCACTGTTTATATGTATTAATAACTATTAATCATTTTTAACCACAATAAGCACCAATAACCATCATCAATTAGCATCAATCGCTATGAAATCACCGTGAACCACTATTAATCCTCAATGTTCATTATGAACCGTTATCAATCATTAGGAATCATGATGAATCACCAATAACTAATCACCATTAATCACTATTGATCACTGTTAACCACTTTGAAATCATTGGGGGTCACTATTAATCATTATTGATCACTATTAATCACCAATAATCACTATGAAGCACCATTAATCACTCTGAAGCACCATTAATCACTCTGAATCACCATGAATCACCAGTAACCACTACGAATCACCATTGGTCACCATTAATCACTATGAATCACCATCAATCACTTTGAATCACCATGAATCACGGTTTTAATCCCCACTCATCATTATGAATCAACATGAATCACAATTAACAACTATGAATGACCACTAATCACCGTCAATCACTTCGAATCACTATGATTTACCATTAATCGCCACTAATCACTATGAATCACCATTACCAACCATTAATCACTTTGAACCGCCATTAATTTTCAGAATTACCATTATCAAATCACGATTAATCACTATGAATCACCATTGATCACCATTAATCACTTCGAAATCACTATGAATCACTGTTAACTTTGAACCATCATTGATCACTATTAACCACCATTAATCCCTATGAAATCGTTTTGAAATCACTTTGAATCGCTATTAATCACCATTGATGACTATCAATCACCATTAATCATCATTGATCACTATTAATCACTATTAGCCACCATTAATCACTGTGAATCACCATTAATTATCATTGATCACCATGAATCACCATTAACCACTATCAATCACCATCAACCACCATAATCCATATTTCTCCCATGACATGCCAGTCCTGCCACAATTTTTTGCCGAGGAGCATGGCATTGAGGAGGGTCAGGTGGTCGAGACGGAACATCCCTACCCAGCCCAGAGTGGCGCGACTAAAAATACGGCCTCGGCCTGGGTTAGAAATCAAAAAATCGTGGAGTTTCATGGGGATAATAGATGGATATGAATGGGTAATAACTGAAAATGGGGTTTTCAATGGACTTATCCAGATATTTTTTTTGGGGATATAAGTGATATAACCACCCAAAAAATTGGACTTTAATGGATATGAATGGGTAATTAGATGAACAATTATTGGTTCTATATGACTTGAAACATCTTGAACCCCCAACAAAACAGACAAAGTTAAGTGGTTACGATTCTTGTGCAAGGATTCCTAAGGGGTTATGTTAGTTGGGAGGTGATGATGGGATGATAATGACAATCGTGATGATGATTCGATTTTTCGGATGATCACCCAGAATATCTGGGAAAACAAACACATAACTGAGAAGCGTTGAAGATTGTGCTTACCACATCAGGCAACTTGGGATGACAGATTCTGGATTGCGGCGACCCAAAATGGGAATATGTGGTTTGTTTGGGAAGTGAAAACCACACTTTCTCCAGAGGATTTATGGTGAGTTATATATATTCTGGGTGGTGGTTTCGAACATTTGGATTTTTTCTCCATCCAGTTGGGAATGTCATCATCCCACCTGACTTTAACTCCATCATTTTTCAGAGGGGTAGGTATACCACCAACCAGATATAAAAATATATGGCAGTGGGTCATAACCTTGTACCCCTGGTGAACATCAAAATAGCTGGTAAATGGATGTTCATCCCACTAAAAATGGTATTAATAGGTATTGATCCATACCCATATATATATAATTATATCATATTGTGTCTAGGATTTTTCGCCTTGATGCCCTCTGGGGACTTGAACGCCATCTCCCATCTCAGATGGCTCGTGGAATCAGACCGTTCGCTTTGAGAACGCCAAGAGCTTGAAGGTCAGAAAGCGTGTGAGTGGCCGGATGTGTGAAAATCTCTACCCTCTGGTAATTTAACGTAGCTATTGAAAATGGCTATTTATAGTGAGTTTTCCCATTAAACATGGTGATTTTCCATAGCTATGTTAGTTTACCAGAGAGTATACGTATTGTGAGTTGATCTATTTTTTCATCTCTTTCTCGCTCTATGAATGAAATATATAGATATACGTATATAATATAATTATCTAGACTTATAATTTATATGTGTAGATGTAAATGCACATATATATATACGCAAATTATAACACACATTATATGTACATATATATATACATACACGATCAGACACACATATATATATATACATACACATGTATGTCTATATATACATATATATGACGAAGTAGTCGCAGAGCAACCTGGGTGTGCATCCAAGAAGGCATTCGATGGCAGCTGATAGGCACCACCTCCATAATATTTTGTGCGGGTAGTAATATGTTGTGCGGGGAGTGCGATATATCAATATATCCCTTTATACATATATATATATATTAGTTTCCACCCGTACTTGAATAACCAGTTGGTTGTCAATCTCCATTTTCTCAAGGTTGGACTCGGTTGATTTCGCCTATCAAACCTTCATCTGGGGTGGTCTCCATTCCGATGGGTTTTAATCATTTTTCATCAACATGTTTCAAAGATTGTGGTGATTTCGACAACCGCCTAAACCAATTTCACTACAAGGATAATTGAATTTCATTGGTTGCCAGTTGAATTCCCACTTTATAGCTAGTTACATCCACTTGTTTTCAGATGGCTTTGCCTGAAAATAGGGTACTCCCTTTATCCATTGTTTAATAAGCATTATCCCCATATCAAAATGGCGTTTTTCAGTTGTGTACCCAATTCTTAGACATGCCGTGTGCCATGGCTGTTCCAGGTTTCCTTCTCGAGCCGTTGCATAACCTATGACAGCTGTGCATCCTTCAGAGCCATGGCAAACTTTGGATTTTTGGAGTTGTTGACAACATGAAATGAGACTATTTGATATGAATTAATATGATAATTACCAGTCATTCGTATGGTTTAGTAAGGTTTTAAGATGACTTAATATTACTTTACTGGCTAAAATACTTTGCCAAGCCAAATATATATATGTGTATATATATATATATCTATTTCGCTGCAGAAACAAAGATTTGGCCAGCCAGATTTGAGATGTTAGCTGGATAACCGCAGGAATTCATCAATTTTTGAGTTGGGGATCTGCACAGGGAATCTACAGTAGCAATGGAACATCAGCATGTGGATGGGGGAAGTGCTAAGACGCAAGGTGCCAGTCGGGGATAGCTAGCAACCGTGGCAATTGCGTGCATATGCAAATGTATGGGGCATTTGAATTGCGAAAGTAAAGGTTTGTGAGGCTCCACGTTTTTCCACGTGGGTCAAAGGTAATATTGTAAGACCAGCCAGAAATTTGACGGCATGAAATCATCCAATTTGTGTCAGTTGAAAAGGTCATACCAGGCTTGAGTCGTTGGGGTGGCCCATGGGTGGCCCCAATCATCGGCCTTATATACAGCAGGTGAACTGGAGGATCTGGGAACAGTTCGGGATGCAGCCCAGATATGTAAGCTATGACCAGCTATGGCGGTGATGTTCACCAAATGTTCACCAATGTTCACCACTTACCATGGCTCCCGAAGATCTGGGGAGATCAATAGGAGAATGCCTGGCTCCATCCTCCCAGGTATCTTGTCGGGCACCTTGAGCAAGGCTACTGCTGGCGTGGGCGCGCGCGTGCAAGTGCAGGTGGGATGAAAGTTCGGAAGGTCGGTTGGGTGGATTCGAGTGATGCAACACGGCAATAACTGGGATATTTAAACGCAACAAAGGGATAGAGAGGGGTTTGAATAAGCGATTCCTGGAACCTGAAAGGCCCTGGAAGGCTGGTTTCTGGTGAACCGGTGAAAATTCCCGAGCTTTGGCTGGGCTAAAAACCAGTTGTATAAATCATACTTGTTTGGTTGGTTATAGAAGATTTTCATTATAAAGTAGTTTAGTGGTATAAGAGGGAGAGAGAGAGTAGAGGAGAGAAGGAGAGGAGAGAGAAGAGAGAAGAGAGAAGATAGAAGAAGAGAAGAGAGTAAGATGGAAGAGAGGATAGAGAGATAATATGAATAAGAAGAGTGTAATAGGTAATTGATAATATATAAGATAGAAAGATAGAATAGGAGAAGATTTTAGAGTAAGATAGAAGAGAGAAGAGATAGATAATAATATGTAATATATAATATTTAATATTTAATATATAATATATAATATATAATATTTAATATTTAATATATAATATATAATATATAATATAAAATATATAATATATAATATATAATATATAATATATAATATTTAATATTTAATATATAATATAAAATATATAATATAAAATATAAAATATATAATATATAATATATAATATATAATATAAAATATATAATATATAATATATAATATATAATATATAACATATAATATAATAACTATAACGACAACTTCATGGAACTTAGAGGCTGAACCATGTGAATTTCCTGCCTTTTGGTGAAACAGGGAGGGATTGGCCCCTTGGATTGGTAGGGAAAACTCACCAAGCTTCGAAAGGATTTCGACGATTTGATGGGAAACACAATTTACCCTCTGGTAAACTAACATAGCTATGGAAAATCACAATTTTTAATGGGTAAATCCACTATAAATCACCATTTTCAATAGCTATGTTAAGTTACCAGAGGGTATGACTTCTTGTAGCCCTTTGAACTTCATGGTGAGATTAGCCACATTTATGCCTATTTTTGCGGAAACTCCACGATTTTTGCTGGTGATCTCAGCTCCAGGCCATGGCCAGTAGCGCCAGCATCCACGGCACCTTAACGGGACGCCTCGAAGGGGACAAGTGGAGCGTGCGCAGCTGGGCCTTTGCAGAGTCCTGCAGAGGATAGTGACTGGTTGGTGGTTATGGGATTATATACCAATAATAGTGGTTAAATCATGGGATTGTGAATCATAATAGTGGTTATAATACCAATAATATACTGGATTTGTATCATATATATATATATACTGGTTAATGATGGTTAATGATGGTTAATGATGGTTAATGATGGTTAATGGTTAATAATCACTGGTTGGTGGTGACTGGAACATGAATGGATGATGACTTTCCATATATTTGGAATAATGATCCCAATTGACGAAGTCATATTTTTCAGAGGGGTGGCTCAACCACCAACCAGTTTGTTATTTTTCCATTCAGTTGGGGATGTCATCCGAAACCCATTGACTTTAACTCCATGATTTTTCAGAGGGGTGGGTATCTCAACCACCAACCAGACAAACATGATTTTTCAGAAATATGTTCAGTCAACGGCTTCTCACTACATATGGCAGTGTGTCAAAACCTTGTACCCCTTCTGTTCACATCAAAATAGCTGGGATTGATGGATGTTCATCCCACTAAAAATGGTATTAATGGTATTTTCATAGGTATTGATCCATAGCCATATATGAAGTCCTCATGTGAGGCCGTCATAGACCATGGTGCCATGGTGCCGTCCATGGGAATTCACCGCCGCCTGAGGCATTGATCACGACGAAGCGGAGATCTCCTCGCAGTTCCGGGACTGGTTGGAGGTGCCGTCCGTTGCGATTCGCCACGACAAAAATATGGTGCTGTCATCAGCTGTCATCCCCTAAACCATGGTAGAACTGACGGTATATCAACATATGAGCTATGGTCAATACTCATGGTTAATAACCATTAAAAACGGGGCTAGTCATCCAATGGGACCAATAGGGATTTATATTAACCATTATAAGGATCCTTATTATGGATGGGATGACCATCAACCATATAGTGAGTATTGACCATGGCTCATATAGTATCAGCATGTATCAGCATGGTTTTTTCCGGGGGGTCTTTGAACATTGGAGTATATGATAATATATTGGAATATTGGGATGATAAATTATACATGATTAGTATATTAATCTATATTATACTTGTTCTAGTTCCAGTTTTTTGAGGGCCCCCATCCGGCTGAGGCAGATGCCTCGCGTAGCAGCACAGTGACGGTGGCACAAGAGGTGGGTGATGTGCTAAGGTGGTGGAAAACTGAGCTGAGATTTTCAGCCAATTTATTTCAAATTTTGTTAGTCACCTACCAAGAGACCATTGAACAACGCCCACATTCATAGATATGTTTTTTCCTCTATATATATATATTTGTCAATCCTCCAAATTTATCCAAATTTCAGATTTCCAGAGGGTACGCAATGCTGGGATGGTTCTATCCTGAGAACGACCAAAAGTGTGGTTCCAATGGGGTCTTTCAGAGTACGAGAGGCGTCCAATGCACTTTGTACATAGATGGCTAGTGTGATGGCTAATGGTTCCATGTGGCGCCGCAGTTTTGAGCTCATGGTTGGAACATGTTGCAACAATCCCAATGTTTGTAGCCCCGCATGGCAGCATGGGTCAAAATTCGCTTCCCCCCGCCCCCCGTGCCGAACATGGCCAAATCGGTGGTTTCCTATATGGATCCTATCTGGTTTTCCCGAGAATCCTATCCCTGATCCCCCAGGCCCTTCGGATCCCTTCGGCCTGTGTCCAGCCAGGTGAAGGTGGTGAGCGTCTACTACGATGGCAAGGCCCAAGACTCGTTGCTGGTTTCAGGTCAGTTTCACAAGTCCATCCATGTCACATGGGTATGGATCAATACCTATTAATACAATTTTTAGTGGGATGAACATCCATTTACCAGCTATTTTGATGTTCACCAGGGGTACAAGGTTTTGACACACTGCCACATGTCCATCCCAGAAAGTTTTTTTGGAGCCCAGAACCCCTTGCCATTTTCCCCCCGGTGCAGTTTGTCAAACTCCACCGCAGGCTGGGGACGAGCTCATCGGCTTTAATCTGGAGCGGAACACCGGGAATTAATGGTCATGAACGGGATAAATTTAGTTAGTGTAGTTAGTAATGGGAGATGAATGGTTATCAATGGTTCATGCTTCCTAATGGGATATGAATGGGATATTACTGGGATATTAATGGCTTTTGAGGAAACTGAAATAGGATTTCCATTGTAAATCATCCATTTTGGCGTACCCCCATTTTAGGATTTCCCCCCATATTTGGTAAGATGTTGCAACTCTTTCATTCCCAAAGTGGAAAGTCTTGGAATCGGTGGGATCATGAAGCTCTGTATCAAGGCGCTTGGCAAACAAAGGGTGGCGGGTAGCACCATGGTTTGGGGATGTTTGGGGGCAATCTCCAGTGTTTGACCTGCGTCAGCGAATGCAAAGTGTGAAGACTTGGGATGCCACCCCAAGTTCAAAAACTAGAACTCCATGTGGAAAAGGGCAGATGAATGCAAATATCATCAGCAAAGGAGGGTCATTTGTGTACTGACGAAGCAGTATCTCCAATGATCACTCCAGTTTGATAGGATCTGATATCATACTATCGTTGGTCACATCATATCCCATTATATTCCCACAAGGTGGCCCACCCCAGTTATATGTCGGTTTAGTCATCGTTTCACCATGTTTCACCCCATTGACCTAGAGTTGTATCTCCCTATAAGCCCTAGAATTCGCCGTGTTATCCGCACCAACTTAGCGTTTTTTCGGGGGCCCTACCGTGTAAGATCCCCCTATGTTTTTTGGTGAAGCCCTCTCAAGTATCTTCAAACCTTGCTGTAGTGATATCCCGTCATTACCCCATTAAATAGCAAAAAACATGTTCCATGACGGATAGCAATACAATATACGTATATACGTATATATATATATATGTATAATTATGATTATATATGCATATTGTTGCCAACCCAACAAAACAAATTATTCCATTGGGTAATATATCCAATTACCGTTATTGCCCCATATCTTTGTTGGTCTATGCCCATCTTTTTTGGTCATCGCAGGACATGTCAAGCCCCATGACCCCCTTCAGCATCACCGGCTTCAAAGCCATGGGACGCGCGCAAGAGGCGGAGTTTCAGCATTACTGGTGAAAAAAAGGTGGGGTAAACATGGGTAAACCAACAAACATAGCTTACAAAAATGGTGATTTAACTCACAAGAATGAGAGTTTTTGTGAGACTTTTACCAGCAAAATTTTCCTGACGTATCCAGCAAAGATGGTTGTTTTTTATCCAGCCATTTGATGGTGATTCAACCAGCAACTTCAAGCAACAATCAACGTGTTAAATGATGTTAAATGTCAAACTAGCAAACAGGGGGGAGGTGCGTCTAAACCATGAAGGTGCAATGGATTGAAATGGAAGGGTCGCTGGGGAACTCGTCGAGGGCTGAGAAACGGATAAACCATGCCAGTTTGGGATAATCCATGTGGATGTCAGTCAGTTTTGAGAGCATCATTCCGTGTTCCCAACAAAAAAGATCGCGCCCAAAATCCATGATACAGGTGATTTCTGTGAGAATTAGAAAGAAAACAGTTCCTTTTCTGGACCGAAGCTCTCCTACCATCCTGTTCTTGACAAACAAAATGAAACGACAGCTGCTCGTGCAGGTTGCCCCAAGACATACTGGAGAGACAATTTATTGTGTTTCTGGAACACAAAATATTTGCGCCTGGATCCGCACATATTTTCAATCCCTGTGTGGGAGGTCTTCGAATTTGGATAGCTTCGAAAAACAGGGGTTCTCTGGCATGATTCATTCTTTCTTGTCTCATGGGACATCATGGGACCAATGTCAACCTAGCCTCTGGATCCCTTGCTAGTCAAACATGGCAATGGAACATCCCCTAGTGACAGATGATTCCACCATTTGTAGAGAAGCTACATGAATGATGCACCACTCAAAACCTCCATTTATAGAGGAAAAGGTACAGATGATTTTCCCATCTTAAAACCTCCATGGCGGGGATTTCTCAACGACCAGATGGGCGTCATGGTGGGCTGGTATCTGGATGTGGATTCTTTGCTGGAAGAGGAGCCTGGCGGCTGATCCCCAGGGGGATACCCAGGGGTTCCAGGGCCTGAAAGCCACTGAAAGCCAGAGATTTTCTGGGGAACTGGGATAACAAACTCTGCAATCACGAACTGGGATATCTACCCAGAAATCTTTTTGCGCAACTTTCAGGGATAGAGCTTCCAATCAAACCCCACCATACATCAAAATACCACTTAAATCCAATGAATTATTCAGTTATGGAGGCCGATGCCTCGCTTCATTCGCTGGATCTCCCAAGGCGAAAAATCTTCCGGATTTTGGATGGATTTTGGGGCTCGGTTTTTAGCCCCATTTTTTTGCCTCCCAAAACGCCGACCATCAAGTATTTATAGGTACATACATTACATACACTGCACCATATCTCGTTGGTGGTTTGAAAGTTTGAAATACCCGCCAGTGATTTAACATAGCTCTAGAAATGGCCCGTGATCCATGATTTACCTAGAAAACTAGCGATTTTCCATAGCTGCATGTTCATTTACCAGAGGGTATGTGTTTATTTTCCTGAGACGATCATCCCCATTGAAGTACGTATTCTTCAGGGGGGTGGCTTAACCACCAACCAGATATGCGGTGCTATGGTCAAAAGTTGGATGGTGTACCGGTATACTCGCATAGGGCGATGGTCATCATTACTACGGATTTAGATACCCGTCATTTGCCGATCATTGCCCATCATGTTTGGATTCACATTCTGAGATGAATGACCATAAATCATCATACAATCATACACCAACAATATCAATCAATATATCAATCAATATATATATATATATCTCAACCATACATTCTATATGGAGCTTAGGCCAGGATCTGGCTGGAGCTAGGCCAGCCTCCAAAACCTAGAAGAGTATTGAATACTAAATATATTGAATATTGAATAATGTATATGATTCTAGATCCAATCACAAAGCATATCATATTGGCACATAGGAGATTTATATACTTGATTTTGGCTATTTTTATCGTGCTCCAAATGGCGCACCATTTCGTGCCACTGCTACAATATTTAGGCCATACACACAATACAATATATATATACTGGTTGGTGGTTTCACACATTTTTTTCCATAATATATGGAACAATCCTTCCCATTGACTTTCATATTTTTCAAGATGGTTGAAACCACCAACCAGATCATTATTAACCATCATTAACCATAGAATAACCATACATTCACCATATATTAACCATTATAGTACAACTTGACCTGTTACATTTTTCTGGCCTTTTTTTTCTACGGCTCCAAGTGGCAAGTCCCTTCCAGGAGGCTTTCCAGGAACTGGAAGCAGAAGGTCTTGGGGACTGCCCTGGCAGCTGGGAAGAAGCCACGCAGGACCCCGACAGAACGATGCTAAACTGGAGAAACAACTGGGAAAACTACAGAAAACAGATCAAATGATCAACAACTTTTCTTTTTTTATGTTTCTTTTTGTTTTCGTTTTTCTGCTGATCCTGAATTCAGTGTTGATTATTTGTTTTATTCTTATCATTTTGGCTAACGTCAATTTTCTTTGTTGGAGCTGGTCTCTCAACAATATGGAAACTATCATTTCGTCGACAAACCAGTTTAATTACTCTTTTTGTCCGGACCTATCACAAGTCGTCATGGTTGGTCAATATTCCATTTGTGCTTTGAAATAGATTCGTAGATCCCCCAAATGGTGTTCCGTAAAACCAATACTGATTGTTGGTTTCACACATGTTTTTTTTAATCCACCCTAACAATGGGATAAATAATGATGCATATTGTTTGCATAGGTGACTCTACTACCAACCAGAACAGCATCTGAAGGATTTCAGGATATCACCCAGAAGTCACCATGGAAATTGCCTGATCTCAAGCTGATCTCTTCTGCTCGGCTTGCTACTCCATTCATGAGAACCTTCTCCATATCTGGCTCAAAGTGTACCACCAATTTATAGATTTATGTACTAATTGATAGTTTGGTTTATTATCACCCATCCAACTATTAGTTGGTATCCACCACAAACGCACCAGTTTAGCATGTCTAGGTAGGTGTAAACCAATTTTGCAATCTATCTAGCGGCCCCATTTGCTTAAATCATAATCACCGCTTCAGTTGGGTTAAACCTTCCACTTTTGACAAGGTCAGACATCTGTTGTCGCTTAAGCTTTTCTCGGTTGAATCCAAGTAAAGTCGGGGTCCTTTCACCATGTTTGTTGGTCAAATTACTATTAGTGCTCCCTAAATCAGATTTTTTTGATGGTGAAGTCACTATTTCTTGTGTATATATGGAGGTGTCCTAAAACGGGGGTCCCCCCAAATCATCCATTTTAATAGGATTTTCCATGAAATAAACCATTCATTTTGGGGTACCCCGAGCTGGGGGAAAACCAGGACCTGGAGGCCTTCCAGAAACGTTTGGATCTGATGCTGAAGGAGGTGAGGAAGGTGATCTTTGTTTTTGCTGGAAGGGTAAGTGATTAGATACATATACATATATATATATATATGTAATAGTATACATAAGATATGTAATCTAATATACACTCTATATATATAATACAATAGTATATATATAATTATATATCTATCTATATATATATATATACATACATACACAATAGCAGTACACTATCAGTATGTCTCTGTGGGCTTCTCTGAGCACAGCGCTTGCCCCTCGGCTTTGTCGGAAGGCCACAGACATCGAACTGGTCTTCTGCAATGGGTTGGATTTCAAGCTGCTTCCAGCGGCCTACGCCACCTACGATAGCGAACCCTACAGGCTGGGAGCTGGGGGGGCTGGGGGAGCTGGAAAAATGTGGGGACATAGGGGATGTCAGCAACAGATATGTGGAATAAAATGTGGTGTTTTAAACTGGATCGCAGGCAGGAGATCTGATCGTTTTTTTAAACCAGTAATATGGTGCGTTTGGGGTGCGTTTGTTTATGTGAGGATTGACCCAACTTGCCATTCAAGTTGGGGATCATGATGATAAACCATTGGAGGTTGAGGGTACCATTTCAGAATTTGATGATGGGAACACCGAAACTAGAAACCTCTGTATTGGGGGATAAAACAACGCAGTGTCCTGTAGAATTTCCCTTAAAGCACAGAATTGAGGGACATGCTTGAAATGGTTGTTTAAGCTAATGGAGAGTAGCTACAAGATTTGCGCATTTTCAGTATACTGAACCACTGTGGCGCATGTTTTGGCAAATTGGTTTGACGCACTTTTGAATCATTCGAAGATGTCCCAAAAAAGGATGCAAGCAGTCCCACTAAGTTCTTTAAAAAGAATCATGGCTTGCTTCAAAGGGGGGGTCTTCAATGATAGGGGGGAGGTCATGGAAGCTATTTAGCCCTAGAAAAAGCTAATCTTTTCCATGCATGCTCAGAGACAGAATTGCTTGGGCCAGCAGCTACATTTTGGCCCAACAACTCGACCCCAACAGGGGGAATATGCCTTCGCATAAGAAGAAGAGGATCCCTGGGAAGTCTTCACTCCCAGCTGACTATGCTCATCCTATGGGGATGGGGCCCATGGGATACCCCCACCCTGGCTTCTGGATGCAGCCTGGGTTCTTTGGCTTTCAAGGGTTGCTTCACACTTGACAGAAATTCAAGTCATGATTCAAAGAAACCACTTCTTCAGTTCTGATTTGCTGAAATGGTATTTGAGAACAATGTATTACATGTTAACATTTGAACCTTGTTGGCTCCTCAAGGCCAATGCAGTGGAAAGTGAGTCTGAGGAGGAGGAGGAGAGTGAAAAGAACCTTTGGCAACCACAGAGGTGACTTCATAACAAATTGTCACAACATTTCAACTGATGATTCTGGCTGAATACCATGTAAAAAATGACTACAGACTTGTGGGCAGAGTGCAGACTGTTTACCAAAAAAACATGCATTAGATCAGATGTCACAGTGTCTGAAGAGGATTGCACTTATTATGCCAGAAATAAGTAGGACTAGCTAAGGAAGCCTAAGAAGGAAAAGAAAAGCAAACAGAAGAGTCGAAGAAAGTCAACTGGGAAGAAGTCCAAAAGCAAAAGAAAGAGAAGTCACTAGTTTGAAATTAGGGCCCAGGGCCAGTTCAGTTTAGATATTGCATGCCATGTTGTTTTCATTGGACTTTCATTGCCACAGCCAACCCTACTTGGGTGCCTGCCTTGCTTGCTCAGGCCCAAGCTCATCTTCCTCTAGTGAGAGCAGTGATGGCTGTTCTGATGCAGAGTTGGATGAGAAGCCCCTGAAGCAGCCCCATGGCTGGGCATGGCTGCATGGGGGTTGGTGGACATATATAATTGGCAGCTGCATCAATTAAATCCAGAGATGTTTGATCATGTTTCATGACTGGGGGGCTTGGTGGACATATATAATTGGCAGCTGCATCAATTAAATCCAAAGATGTTTGATCATGTTTCATGAATGTGAAAAGCTTTGGTTCAATTCATCCCTTTCTGAGGCATTGGATTTATTTGGGGCCTGCTTGTGGGCCTGATTCTGTTGGGAAAGTGCTCCAGAGGAAAAATTCATTGCCTAGGCTGCAGACTTAATTTGACTTTGCTTGGCAGTATTATTGTGCTGTCTTGTTTTCAGACAAACAATCCACTGCAACTGAATTGCAAATTATCCACTTCAATTTATTTTGGGTCATTCATGCAATTGTCATGCCATCATATGGGTTTGATATTATATGATAATAAATTTCTAAGGGCAGAGAGGGTCAGGCAGATCAAGCACTTCAATGAAGACAGGCTGACACCTGGCAACTTGCCTGGTGAGTTTTGCAATGGGACAAGATGAAATGGGTTTGCCACTGAGTCACTGAGTCATCATTCTTTGCCATTATTTGCCATTGTTAGGGTTTTAAGTGTTTGTGATGAGCAGTTTGGATTTGCTGATTGCTGTATTAATATGTTTGGTTGATTCATGAAGGGGCCTAGCTGCTGGCTTGAGGTAATCTGTCTGGCCTTGATGATGTTCAATTGGAGATGATCCACTACATTTGCACAGGGCTGTTCCCCAGAACATCAATCAAAGACCTTTGTGTTCGAACTAGGGGTGATTTGTGGCTTGCTTGCAGGTGCATTGACGACATGTTTGATGCACATGCACAGTGCTATTGTTTGTAATGTAATACACTGTAGTGGTATTTCTTGGTGCAGGGGGGGTGCCCCTTGTGAGGAGAGATGTGCTCAAACATGCTTGGAACAGGAAGCAAAAGGACTCAGGGAATGACAGGCTTGCAACCCTAGCTGCCTCTTGGCTGGGCCAACCTTTGATGTGAGACATTCACTTGAAGGAGTTTGTTGTTACAATAATGATAGACATTTCATGAATGTTGTATGTGTTTCTGTACAGCTGGGATTTGGGTCAGATCTCAGATCTCTCTTCAAGGATGACATGGGCAATGTGGAGGAAGTGGCTGTAGCTTTGGGATGGACAAAGCAGTTTCAGCAAAAGAAAAGGCCAGGTCATACAACTGTTAGTCAATTTACAGCATGAAAATGTATATTATTGAATTGTAAAGTAGGTAATTACTTCTTCTTGTGTGGGTTGCTGCATGCCCATGAATGTTTCTGTAGGCCTGGCCAGATGGACCCTGAAGTGAACTTGAGCCAGCTCCCACCCTACTCAGCTACCAAACTGCCACTGGGTTCCTTATTTACCATAATTGGTTGTTTCAGTTCACACACCATGGTCAGTTTCTGCTGGCTGTTTGAAGTTTGGGTACAACTGGATACAGAATGCAACCCAACTTGGTTGACCAATGGGTGCTTTGGTGGCCTTGAGGATGGATGGCAGCATCAATGTGTCCAACAAGGACAAGAGCACTGTCCTAATGCTTGGGCCTCCTTTGTCACCTGCAACATTCATCTACAGGGACCAGGTGTACCACATGTGCATGCCAGCCACTGACAAGTATGCTGAGATACTTGTTTTGGGTTTGGCATGGGCTAGGATCATCCATGACATCAAGTGTGTGCACTCCCATGGCAACATCTTCATGCAAACACCAATGGCAATAGTATGATATAATTTATGAACACCCATGGAACAATACTCATGCATTTATTTTGTTTCAATCAGCTGAGGAAGACTATGCCAATCACACAGATCTTTGAGAGCCCCAATGGTGTGCAGAAGTGGTATGGACTAGTTGCATTTGGCATGCACTACCATTCCAAAGCCACCCATATGGTATGCCCACATGAATTTGCAATTGGTTGTTGCATATGGCCATGCAGCACCCAGGCAGAATGTGCTGTGCTTTGTGACAGTCAGCCCTGGGCACAAAAGTACATTGAAAGTTCCACCAGCCTCTTGGTGGTGTATGTCCTGGTGGGGGGGCTATGTCTTGGCATGTGGTGTATGGCATCTTTGATTTCTGTGTGTATTATATATGTGCATTGGTGTGCCATGCCAAGGCAAGGGTGAAAAGCACTGGCAGTACCTCCAAATCCAGAACCTGAAGCAGCAAGTGCCAGGCAACATTCTGTTTGACTTTGATGCTTGTTTGGTATTGAGATGGCACCCCTCAGCCTAAAATAATGAAGTTGTTATGACTAGTGTTTCTGTTTCTGCATTTTCATGTGCATGGCTTTTGTTGCCCCACCAGCTGCTGGGCAGGCATGCCACCTCCTCCAGTTGCTCTTCCCCAAGTTCCATCAGCACCTCCACAGTCTGATGCTGGAAGCATGTCTTCCTATGATACCAGTGCAGCTTATTTGAACCTTGGGGCATGTGGGGATGGGGTCAGGCATAGTGATGGGCATGGGCAGTATGGATCATTGGCAATGGGCACCACAATGAAAGTTGAGTGAAAGATGTTTTGTTTGTGGGGTTACCCTGGCCTGGCTTTCCACATGTGTTTTGCCAATGCACCCCTGCCTTTTGAGGCAGCTACTGGGCAGTGGCTTGGCAAGAGCTGGGGCTGGGTGGTGGTCTCTGTTTGGTGCATGATGTTTTTGTTTGTTTAGTTATTGAACCAAAAAAACCATTGCCATCATTTGTAGAAGTGTTTGGGTTGAATGGCAGCAAGGTGGTGAAGAGTTTGGCACCAATCACATGGAATGGGCTTCTGGTTTTGATAGTTAGTAACTAAGTAGCTTGGTGGATGCTGGGAGGGGTTGTAGGTTTGATGCCATATTTCATATTTGCATATGCAAAGCCATGTCATGGTGTTTTGCCATGCAGCCTCAACCCAAGGCAGCCAGGTTTCCTTGGGCACAAGGAGTTGCAAGCACAGCAGCCACCAGCAAGAGAACTGAGCCAGGCAGAGTTGGCATGGGGAGCAGCAAGGGGGTACAACTTTGCAGCCACAAGCCAGCAGCCACAGCAGCTTGGGCAACAGCAATGCAAAGGCATGCAGCAACAGCAGCAAAGTATGGTGGCAGAGCAAGCATGGCAGCACCAACCATGCCAAACACCACAGCATGCACAAGGCATGGTGCTGCACCAGCCAGCAGGCATGGCAAACATGCACCAGCAAGGCCAGCAGCCACAGCAGTGTGGCACACCACAGCAGAGCCAGCCAACACCAGCAATGCACCAGCAACTGCCATGTCAAACACCAGAGGGCACAGGTATGGGGCAGCAAGGGTTGCAGCACCAGCAAGCACCAGCAATGATGGCACACCAGCAACAGATGGCAAACACCAGCCAGGCACAACATGGGCAGCAGCAGCACCAGCAACTGCCAGGTCATACACAGCAGCTTCCACAAAGCCTGGGGCAGCAGCAAGGGCACCAACAAGCACCACACCTGCCACAACAGGTACAGCCAGGGGCAGGCACACAAGTGCAAGGCCAGCAGATGCAAGCACCACAAATGGGTGCAAACACACAGCAAAGCCAAGGCCTGCAGATGCAGGCAGCACAGCCTGGGGCAAACACACAGCAAATGCAAGGCCAGCAGCAGATGCAGGCAGCACAGCCTGGGGCAAACACACAGCAAATGCAAGGCCAGCAGCAGATGCAGGCAACACAGCCTGGGGCACACACACAAATGCAAGGCCAGCAGCAGATGCAGGCAACACAGCTTGGGGCACACACACACAAATGCAAGGCCAGCAGCAGATGCAGGCAACACAGCCTGGGGCACACACACAAATGCAAGGCCAGCAGCAGATGCAGGCAGCACAGCCTGGGGCAAACACACAGCAAATGCAAGGCCAGCAGCAGATGCAGGCAACACAGCCTGGGGCACACACACAAATGCAAGGCCAGCAGATGCAGGCTCAGCAAGGTGCAAACACACAGCAAATGCAAGGCCAGCAGATGCAAGCACCACATCCTGGTGCAAGCACACAGCAAATGCAAGGCCAGCAGATGCAGGCACCACAAGCTGGTGCAAGCACACAGCAAATGCAAGGCCAGCAGATGCAGGCACCACAAGCTGGTGCAAGCACACAGCAAATGCAAGGCCAGCAGCAGATGCAAGCAACACAGCATGGCATGGCAAACACATACCAAATGATGCAAGGCCAACAGCAGGCACAGGCAACAGAGCCTGGGGGAAACACACACATGCAAGGCCCCCAACAGATGATGCAGGCAGCACCAACTGGTGCAGGCATGCAAATGCAAGGCCAGCAGCAGATCCAGGCACCACAGCCTGGGGCAACCACACAAATGCAAGGCCAGCAGATGCAGGCACAGCCTGGGGCAAACACACAGCAAATGCAGGGCCAGCAGGAGGGACAAGCACCACAGCCTGCTGCAAACACACAGCAAATGCAAGGCCAGCAGCAGATCCAGGCACCACAGTGTGGGGTAACCACACCAATGCAAGGCCAGCAGCAGACCCAGGCAGCCTGGGGCACACACACAAATGCAAGGCCAGCAGATGCAGGCACAGCCTGGGGCAAACACACAGCAAATGCATGGCCAGCATGAGGGACAAGCACCACAGCCTGCTGCAAACACACAGCAAATGCAAGGCCAGCAGCAGATCCAGGCACCACAGGGTGGGGTAACCACACAAATGCAAGGCCAGCAGCAGGTCCAGGCAACACAGCCTGGGGCACACACACAAATGCAAGGCCAGCAGATGCAGGCACAGCCTGGGACAAACACCAGCCAGGGACAAGCACCACAGCCTGGTGCATATACACAGCAAATGCAGTGCCAGCAGCAGGCACAGGCAGCACAGCCTGAGGTAACCACACACATGCAAGGCCAGCAGCAGGCACAGGCAGCACAGCCTGGTGCAAACACACAGCAAATGCAAGGCCAGCAGAAGGTCCAGGCAACACAGCCTGAAGCAAACACACAGCAAAGCCACCAGGCACAGGCAGCAAAGCCTGAACCCACTGAAGCAAACAAACAGCCTGAAGCAAACACACAGCAAGGCCACCAGGCACAGCCAGCAAAGCCAGCAAACACACAGCAAGGCCAGCAGGCACATGCAGCACAGCCTGAATCCACTGGAGCAAACACACATCAAGACCAGGCACAGGCAGCAAAGCCTGAATCCACTGGAGCAAACACACAGCAAGGCCAGCAGGCACAGGCAGCACAGCCTGAATCCACTGGAGCAAACACACAGCAAGGCAAGCAGGCACAGGCAGCACAGCCTGAATCCACTGGAGCAAACACACAGCAAGGCCAGCAGGCACAGGCAGCACAGCCTGAATCCACTGAAGCAAACACACAGCAAGGCCAGCAGGCAGCACAGCCTGAACCCACTGGAGCAAACACACATCAAGACCAGGCACAGGCAGCAAAGCCTGAATCCACTGGAGCAAACACACAGCAAGGCCAGCAGGCACAGGCAGCACAGCCTGAATCCACTGGAGCAAACACACAGCAAGGCCAGCAGGCACAGGCAGCACAGCCTGGAGCACAGCAGCAAACACCACAGGCAGCCAGCTCAGAACAGCAGCTGCAAGTTGGTGACTTGGATTATGTGCTGCATTGGGCAGGACATGGGGGACTAAGCATTTGGGCCCCAAACCCCAAGTTGTTGAAAAGGGTTTGCCATGCCATGTCCTGTATTGATATATGTAACACATGGCTAAGTAAATTAGGTTCAAGTGGTTGTGAGTATTGGTGGAAACATATAATATATGTGCTCATGAAAAATTCAATGAACAATTCCCAGCAATGCACAGCCTGATCCTAGGTAACATCATCAATGATGTAGCTGTCCAGGAGGCTTTGGCCAAAAGGAAAGCTGCTTTGGCACTATGGCTGCAAAGGGGTTTCCACTATGTTCCCTTTCTAACTGTGATACTTTTGCATGTGAAAATGCCAGTGGCTATTATTATGGCACCTTAAACTTAGGCCTTGAAAATTGCACACTAGCTTGATGCCAAAGGTTCCAAGTGCACCATGACTACTATGGCCATGTTACCTTAGACTTTGAAGATTGTAAATCAGCCATGTGTGCCACAGGTTGTTTTGCTGGGGTGGCTGCAATTTGTCTAAGGCTGCAGCCCAGGGCAATGCCAGACCAGGAACCAAGGATACCATCCACATTGCTGACTGAACTGGCAGGGTGGAGTTGGGTGTGGCCAGCTTGGGCCAATCAGTTAGTGCTACCAGCTGTTGGGATGAATATCTTTTTGCAAGTAGGCAAATACTGTAAAATGGATGATCACCCTTGGGCATGCTACCTTAGTTGGGTCACCATACTTATGATTTATGGTTGTGGTTTCCACCAAACAATATTCATTGAGAAGCAAAATATTGCAACAAATATAGTATTGAGTGGGTAGTGTTTACTGTCACTTATGTTTATTCTGGTTGGCAAATAAGAAGGATGTTTGATGTGTTGACCCAAGGGGGACATCCATTTTCAGTATGGGATGTCAGGGTGTACCCAGTGAGACAAGCATAATAATAGCATCATCATCTCACACATGGCTTGGTAGCCTAGTAGCTTTTGGGGCCCCATCATTGCTTGGTGGCTAGGAAGAAGTGGCAGGCATTGAATAAAGAATGTGCCTGAGCAACTGGTGGATTTTTTTTTTTTTTTTAAAAACATGGTGTGTTTTGCCATTTGGGCTTTCATCATTTGCTCAGGCAGTTGTAGAGCCAGTCCTTTCCACAATCCATTTGGCAGTGGCTTCTAGGGTGGAATCTTAGAAAAAGGTGCTGCTGGGTCTATTTGAAAGCTGCATATTTTGAATGGTGAGTAAGTGCCATGCAATATGTTTGAAGTGAATTTGAGAGCTGATGTCTGGCAGTGTGGATGTATAAGCCTTAGTCATTTAAGCTCTGGCTTTCAGACTGTGGGCTTTGGTTTTATCACCCAGTTTTAATTTGAAAGCTGGCTGGCTCAACTTGACCCTTTGAACAAACTTTGGGGGAACAATCACTGCAGTGACTCAGTGGCCTCAGTGAATCGCCTGGTTGAACCTTGCTTGCATTTTGGGGGTGGGCTGATTGGTGATCAGTAGAATTAAGATCACAAATTCGTTGCAGAGGTTGTGTGCATTGCAGAGGTTGTTACAGTGGGGGTGTTGGTGATCTTAAATGAAATGTATCAGTCAAGAACATGATGGATGTATGGTTGATATATAACATAGGGTGTGCTAAGTAAGATCAAAAATAGGCAGTGCTGAGAGTGCTGGGCTTTTCTGAGTTTCACATTTGAATCAAAATGCAGCAACAGTTACACAAAATAATGGCAAAGAATTCCACTAACACCAACAAAATGGCGATGGGTAATTGGAATTGTGAGCCCCAAAATTAGCCTTGTAAAAAAAAATGGGCAGAGTTCTGTTTAGTAGGACTTGAAAATGAGGTGGATCCAGAGCCTTTCCCCAAATTTAGCTTTTTTTTAGCTTTTCTTAGCTTTTCTTAGCTTTGCTTAGCTTTTCTTAGCTTTCCTTAGCTTTGCTTAGCTTTCCTTAGCTTGTGCTAGCCCTGGGTGTTTGGGCCCAAATTTAGCCTGCTCAGGTGTATGTCTACTGGGCATCCCTATGGGAAGGGCAGTGGCAAGTGGCAGCTATACATGCCTATGCCCAGGGTCAAAGTGAAGGCCAAGGCTAAGGCTTCCCATGAGCCTGGGAGCAGCAGTGGCAGTGTCCACCAGAGAGCCCTTGATAGGAGGAATGGCCCAAGCCCCACTGGCCATGAGAGCAGTTGCAGTGATGACTCTTGTTGAGCCATGGCTCAAACAACTTGGGGTATTGAATGGTATTAATAGGTCACCTTTATGTGTACCAGCTAGTGCTAGCAGAAATCATGGATGGCCCACCTAATTGCATATTCACTGTTGTGTTTTTGTTTAAGTATTGCTGTTTGTCTTTGAACACTTTGCATGGTTTCCAGGTGTCAAATGCCTTCTTGCTTCAGGTCATGTCCTGGACCAGAATGAGCAGAAGTGGGACCTGGAGGGGGTGATGAGGCAGGTTGTTGCTGGCACCACCACCATTGAGGAGGATCAGTTGGGAATGGGCATCAGCTGGGAAATGTTGACCAGGGTTACTTGGATTGGTTCCAACAATGCCAAAGTAAAAGTAGCAATCACAACAGTCACACTAGTTCTCAGCACCAGGTGTAACTATATATATAATGGTAAGAATTCATTCATTGGGCTGCTGGGCTCTTAGGTGAAAAACCTGGAGGGGAAGCCCATCAACAAAGTGATTGTGCACCAAGCACTTGTCAAGAAGCTCAAGGAACAGGAGTGGGAACCAGGCCAAATGATTGGTGTCAGGACAGTGGATTCACAGCTAGCATTTGGCTTGGTGTGGGTGCAGTGTTATTAATTGGCATGGCAAAGAGTTTTTTGTGCAGTGGCCATGGAATTTGTTTGCAGTTTACACTGGCAGACTGTTTGTTCAGTTTTGTTGGGCAGCTGGCTTCAGGAATGGACCATTGCCAAGATGGAGTTGCTGGACACGAGGAAACAGATGAGGGATGCTGCCAATAATTTGGGTCAGGCAAGTTACTTTAACTGCAATTGCCTGCCAGTGAAACTAGGCTTCATTGATTCATGCACTTGGATTGTTTTTTTTTTCATTTTTTCATGTAAGATGCTGGATCAGATCTAAAACGTGTGTGACCGTTTCCAATGCTTGCCCTACTGTGACTGTTTCAGCCAGTGGGGGACAGCTGCTGCAGCTGGGCATTGGAAAAGAATAGTAAATGGAGATGCTGGATCAGATCTAAAAAGTGTGTGACCGTTTCCAATGCTTGCCCTACTGTGACTGTTTCAGCCAGTGGGGGACAGCTGCTGCAGCTGGGCATTGGAAAAGAATAGTAAATGGTTTCTTTGAATCCCCTTTCTACCCTTATAGGATGTTCAAGCCTGTGTTGATATGAGCATTTTTTGTTTTTCATGCAGGATGCTGCTTGCTGTTCGAAGCCCAATTTGGCTTCAATGCGACACTAGCAACAACTTCAGGTAGTTTCACATTCAGATTTGCAGGCCAGCCCATGACATGGCATTGGGTTATTGAAGTAAAAAACTGATTGGGTAGGGCTTCTTATTGCAGCAAGGGGTGCCACCACCTTATTGAGGACAGCCTTTATGCCATCAGGGTGCCCACATCGAAAAAAGCCACTGTCTGGGGATGTGGAGGGGTGCACCATGGCTTTGACTTGCCCACTATGCACAACTTGCCTTCGATGCAAGAAGCTGCTTGGTGGTTGAAACAAATGGCAATGTCAAAATTACCCTTTTGTGTATACACCCATGTGAGCATGGCTTGAAGATATAACTTGGCTTGGCAAAGCCTCATTGCTAGTCCAAGTATGGGCACCAAGTGAACCTACTAAGGCTGTGCAAGGCACATAGGCCTGCTCCTGGTGAAGGCTGCACATGCTTGAAGGCTGGCTTGTGGGAAACCAGGCACAGCTTCAACCACTAGAGTATCTTGGATTTAGCAGCTGACCATGTCAAATTGGCACGCAGCTGCATCATGTCTAATTATGCTATTATGTTGATGATGTGATGATGTTGGTGATGTTGATGGTGATGTTGATGATGATGTTGTTGTTGATGATGATGATTCAGTCTGTGCTTGCATAGTTAGTCAGTGCATAGTATGGTTCAAATTTTGCAATGGCCCTCATAGTTGAGCAACTAGCCTTGCATCTCAAGGTTACAGGTTCTGACAACCAGGTCCTTGTGTTGTTCACCTTTGTATGCCATTACTTTTGCCCTCACTGTTACTGAGGGCCTGTGGTGGCACAAACTGGTGAGCAGAGTTTTGGCACTTGAATGGCAAGGCAGCACCTTGGCAGCAATGGTTGGGGCCAGTGGTGCACTGGCAGTTCCTCAATTGGCCTTTCAGACTCAGGCCTGGGCTCACATACATAATAGTTGCAACAGATAGATAATGTACACATGAAAGAACCTTGAAAACACAATGGCCTGGACATGTTTATCATGTGTGTATGCACACATAGGCCATGTGACCAAAAGTATCATGGTACCCATCCAGTGGTTGCCATCCAGGGGTTGCCATCCAGGGGTGGTGCTGCAGGTGGTATCATATTATGGTTGGCAATGGTTATGATGAGTTGTGACCTTTGGCATCACTGCGCCTTGCATGCACTAACACCTTCCAGAGTCTCAGAGCTGCTTGTTAGCTAGGAGCTTTGGAAACCAACTGACCCTGACTTTGCATGGCATCCACTCCACTCATTTACCAATTTACCAGAGCTGTATGAACTCAAAGCGCCTTGTCCCCATAATGTTGGGGTGGTCCAATGGCTGATGATGAAGAGGATGAGGATGAACAGCTTGTGGATGTTGGCCCCCAATTTGACCAAGGCTTAGAAAAGTTTCACTTACCATACAAGGTTGCCACTGTCCAAGAAGGATTCAACCAGAGAGCTTACTGGGACCAAGATGCCCAGGGTGAGCCAGAATGGCTTTGGGGCAGGGCCCATGACTACATGAAAATCCAGTTGGCACCCAGTAAGTTTTTGCTGAACAACAAAGACACTTTTGCCAGTGAATTTGAGGCATGTGAAGTTCCAGCCCAAGAATTTCATTTCAGGAAAAAAGCTGAAAAAGATGATAGAAAAAAGAACAACAGGTGGGTGGAACATACCATGGAAAGCAGGGGTTTCTTCATTGCACTGATGTGGTGCATGAAGAACAGGGCTTTAGCACTGGAGTCAAAGAAGAAGGCTTTGGCTTTGTTGAAAGGCTTGATTGCCAGCAGCTTGGCTTTTGCTGCAGCGGCAGGCCCTGTGGCTATGTCCTTGTCTGTGCCTGATGAGGGTGGCTTGATCCACCAGGCACTTTTGACTTTCAGTGGTCAAGGGATCACACATGAGTGGGCAGGGGTTGTGTCCAAGTATGGGCCTGCCACTGCACTATGGCACAAGCTGCATAAAGCCAATTGGCTGGGCTCCTGCCTGTGCAGCAGCTTGGGGGCAACAACCATGGGTGACATCATTTTCTTCCTTTGCTATATCAGTGCCCATCCCTTGCTCAAAGTGTCTGGCCAAAATGTGCTGCAAGGCTTTGGGAGACTGGCCTTGAAGGGCTTCATTTGGCAAACAGGAGTGTGGCTGGCTGATTATGCCAGGCACCTGTGTACACTCAACATCCAGTCACTTCCATTGATGAGGTCCAAGTCTGGCAACATCAGGAAAACCCTTGATCCTGTGAACAGAATGATTTTGCTCCACAAATTGAGGAAAGAAAAAGTGCACAGAATGAGGGTGGCATCCACCCATGGGGAACTTGTGCCAGAGCAGTCTGCCATGATGAAATATGAGAGTTACATTGAGTGTGCCTTGTACCAGAAATCCATGCAAGAGACCTTTGGGGGCCAGAAACAGGTCAGTGTGGCCTGGGACCCAAGCAATTATGGTGGAAAGGATGTGCTGGTTTCAATCATCTACTCTTCTTCTTTGCGCAGAGCTGGCTATCTGATGAACCAGCAGTTGACCAAGGTTAGGGTTGGGGATGTCCATGAAAGTCTTCTTCCTCTTGTCAAGCAAAGGAAGTTGACAAGAATAGAAGGATACAATGAGCTGAGGGGCCTGTCCCACAGCTTGTCCCTCATTGGCTTAACCTTGATGGACTTTGCAGTGCCAGAAGGATTGATTCTGAGGCCACTGCTGAAGCAAGAGCTGCTCCTACCTCAGCCAAATGGAAGGCCCTTGGTCCACAACACTGTGACTCAGCTCACTTACCCAATGGTGCCTCCAGCACTGCAGCTCAGCCAGCTACCTTTGCTTGTATCCATAAGTGACCAAGGACCAGTGAATGTCCCTGCTTTAAACTATTTGATGTACTCAGAGGAATCATTGCTGGTCACTTCCCAATGGGACTGCTACCACAGGACATGGAATGACCTGAAACTGGCAGGCAAAAGAGCAGCTGGTGGAGTTTAGAAGACCATCCTGAGGCTTTCACTTCTCTTTAATGTAAACTATGGCCCCTATGGGTCAGGTGGCTGGTTTGCAAAGAAGAAAAGTTGCCTGGAAGAATTTCTGCTCCAGAACAACTCTGACTCCTATTGTTTTGCCAACTATGCTTCTGTGATTGCCAGAGAAAGACGAATCAGGGAACCTCAGCATGAACAAGACTGTGAGGCCTTGTTTGAAACATTGAAGCACCTTCAGAACTTCAATACCAAAGGCCCTTTAGTGAAGCTCATGCGCTGGTTTAGCTGGTTCGAGACAGCATGCTGGTGGGAGGGAGAATATTTTGCTACAAGAATGATTTTGGAAGAAATGGGAGCAAAAACTGAAGGAAAAGAAGAAGCAGCAGAACTTCCAAATGAAGAAGACCCCCAGAAAGAGTTGAGGGAATTGAAGAAAAAACAAGGGACTTGGAAGCTTGCCCCTCAAATGGTGACCAACACCACAATGTGTGTCAAAGACATTGTGCTCACAGTGGGCAAAGCTGCCTGGAAGCATCATGCTGCCAGGGCCAGGGAAGTGACCAGTGCTGTTGATGTGCTCCACTTCAATATCCAAGCTGCTGGTCACAAGGGTTGGGCTGAAGAGCTTGTTTCCATGGTACATGACAGCCTATGGAACCAGGAGCTCTTGCTGCACTTGCAGGAGGACTACTGCTTGCATGAGCAAGCTTTGGAGTGGCACATGGACTTCTTTGACAAACTCCTGGAAACCAGGTCCATGAGCCTCACTTCCTTCCACACACTGCCACCCAACAGGTACCACCATTCTCTGTCCAGAGAAAGGGTGGTTGCACAAGCAGCCCATGATATGGCCATGCAGGACTTCCAGGCTTTGCTTACTGCAGAGGAGGCTGATGTGGAAAGCCCCAATCTGAAAGTTGAAGCTTTGGCTTTGATGGCTTGGACCAAGAACCCTGTTTGCAGAGCCCTCTACCTGTCCTACCTGGAAGATGATTGCCAAGCAGCAGGCCCAGCTTTGCAAAGGGTCATGGCTGAAACATTGGGTGATTCCAAGATGGTGGAGAATGCCCACCAATTTGGAAAAGACTTGCTCAGAAGCTCCAGGCACAAGACCTTTGGGAATGTCAGGATCTGGTCCAATACATTGAACAGCCAAGCTTTGGAAAGGAGAGGCAGCCCTGTGGTCACTTTTCACAAATTTGAAAAGGCTACTGGCCCTTTGCCACCACAGGATGAAAGAGTCCACCTTGCCAAATCTTTGAAAGCTACCCAGCACCACTTGCCCAAAGCCATCCAGAACCTCATGGTGCCCATAAGTGGCAAAAACCGATGGCCAAGCCCAAATCCAGCTAGTTTGTTTGCTTCTGTGGCTGCCACTGAGTGGGTCTTCAAATTTTTTGGAGAAGGTAGAGAAGTGGACCCAGGGACAACTGCAAATGATGCCTGGCTTTCCATTTTGGCACAGCCTGGCCACTTCCTGGTGCAACAATCCCAGCACACATTATGGAAAGTCATGGCAAGGGCAGAGTATGGCTTCCTTGCCTGGCAGGCTCACATTGAAGTCAGTGATGGGCAAAGAATTTATCTGCTGGAAGCAAACCCCAGCTGCATACAGTGGAGGCACATTGTGGACCTCAGTGATTGGCTGCAGGTTCCTGTCAAGCCCACTATGATGTATGAGAATGTGGGACCTTTGGGTTGGGTGGCATCTGGCAACCCCTTGCCATTGGATGTGGCAGTGGTGCAAGCTGCCATCTCTTTGACTGTCAAGCAGATGAGGTCACTGCTCAAGCTGTACAATGTGAAAGTGGCTGGCAATGCATCCAGAGCAACTGTAGAGAAGATGCTTGTGGAGACAGTGCTGCAAGATGAGGCAATGAGGCAAGAAGCTTTCAAAAAATTCAAGGCAAAGACCAAAACCAAGGATGATGATGATGACTTGGACTCTGAGCTGAGTGAGGTCATCTCTGAGCTTGCACAGGATGAGTTCAATCAGCAGGACTTGAAGGAGTACAAGCAGAAGAAGAAGGTGACCAGGTTGAAAAGGAAGTTGTCTTCCAAAGAACCCCTGGAGGACAAGAAACCCAAGAGGAGGGCAAAGGCAAAGGCCAAAGCAGCAGCATCCAACAAAAGAAAGGCACCATCCTATTTCATCCATGGTGTCTTGAAAAGGAGGAAGCAGAGGGCAGGGGCAGATGAATTGGTTGATGCCACCAAAGAGGCTTTGGCTGACAAGAATGCTGTGGTGGAAGCAGGCAATGTTGAGGCAATGAGCAGCACCCCTGCAAAACATGAAGTGGAGGCACCACTGGCACCAGAGGGGTCAGGGCCTGCAAGCAGCAGTGGCAGCAAAGGACCTGCACCTGCTGAACCTGCAAGCTTGGTAATGTATGACAAGGCCTTGACCAAGACACCTACCACCAAAAAAGCTTCCACCCCAGTACCTGGGCAGAAGAAGGAAAGAGAGCCAAAAAGGAAATCACCTGAGGAAGTGCTGTCCCTGATGACACCACCAAGGTGTCAAATTGGCATCTCCTTCACTGACCACCGCTTCACCTCCAAAATGGCTTTTGAGTCAAAGGAATTCACTGGAAGGATGAAGCAACAGACCTTCACAGTATCATTTGCTCAAAGGCTATCCTGGGACCAAGCACTCAAAAGAGTGCATGAATACAATTGGAGAAAGTGGCACATGGTGAAGGAACAGTTGCCATTGCCAGCAGGCCAGGAACCACAACCCCCTGGAGAAGTGCCTCAGCATGTGATGGAACAGCTGAAACCCACCATTGATGCTTTGCCACCATTGCAGAAGGACAAGAGCAAGGCTAAGCCTTAGGCTTAAAGCTTTGACAATGCTGGATTTCCTCCTTGCATGCAAGCTGGAAAAAATGGTGATGAGTGTGCAGCTGGCCAGTCATGTGTGCAGATGTCAAGCTGGGGGCAAGAGGCTGATTGATAGGCATGGGCCAGGGTGATTGCAGGCTTGCTATCCCAAGAAGGGCTGAACATGCATTGCTGTCTGCCTGGGGCTTCCTTGTTGGAGGATGTAAAAGATGCTTAAGGATGTTGAGAAAGAAAAAAACTAAAGGTGGCTGCTGGCCAATGTGCTGGAAAATGCTCTGCTGTATGGCTAAGACTTGCTATTTGGAGGAGGTAAGAGATGTTGAAAAAAATGCTTGTGCTGGAAAATGCTTTGCATTATGGCTTAGACTTCCTTTTTGGAGCAAGTAAGGCAGAGATGTTGAAAAAAATGCTTGTGCTGGAAAATGCCTTGCTTCATGGCTTGGACTCCCTTTTTGGAAAAAGTAAGGCAGAGATGTTGAAACATGCCTAGCTTGTGCTGGAAAATGTGTAAAAACTCCTGCAGTAAAACCACACATTGCGACTATCATGCAGGGTTGGTGCATCCCCAGTAGTTATTGTAACATTGGTGGCTGACCTGATAAAATACAAAATGCTTTGCTTCATGGCTTAGACTTCCTTTTTGGAACAAGTAAGAGACTGATGTCAGCCTTTGTGTGGCCAATTCATTCTTTGCTTGATGCAGGGCAGCACTGTGGCAATTGCAAAACTGTGGCTGTGTCTGACACTAGGTCACAGGTGCACTATGATTTCCAAAGCAAAAAGCATCAGTGTTAGGTTGGGTTCAAGTGTTTGCTGTTTTTTGCTGAAAAAGGATGAGGGAGGTGCCATAAGTGTTTGCTGTTGTTTTGCTGAAAAAGGATGAGGGAGGTGCCATTTATTTGGCAAGCACCTTGGCAACAACCAAACTCCTACTTTGATTGGCAGCACTTGCTTAGTGTGGCCACAGTGTTGAGAACTGGTGAGGGATGGCACTTTCACACAACATTGTTTGTTTGCATCTTCCTGAGTTGTTTCCAATTTGTTTGCCATAATTTTTGATTGGGCTGAGGACTATGGAAAACCGATGGTGGACTTCAGCTGATGGCTGTGAGGGAAAGATTTGAGAAGGGCTGCTCCCATTTTCACCAACACCTTTGATCAGAATAAAGGTGGAAAAACAGCAGATTCAAGAGCAGCTCTGGGTTTGGGTCAAGTTGTTTGAAGAGGAGGGGAGGGTCTCAGAGAGACCAGGTTGTGAGTTGATCATTTCATTTGAACCAGTAGGTTGGCATGCATGCCTCCACACTCAAACAACCTGTGAAGGTGAGAACTGACTGAAATGTGGTGGATGCACAGTTTGATGCACTGACAGATTTCTTCTTACTGTGGCTTAGTTTTTTCTAGCATAAATTAGCTTTATGTAGTTTTATTTAGTTTTTGTTAGCTTTAATTAGGTTTATTTAGTTTTTCTTAGTTTCCATATATGGGCGATCTATATCTGAAGAAGGCCTGTTTGAAAAAGCTACATGAGTGTTTCAATGATAAGTCAAGTGGTTTGTAACGGGATGCAATCACCAATCATAAACATGTTGAAACCAGAGAACACGCACGACTGGATGGTGATGCCTCAAACATGTGTGCCGCCTCAAACTTCTCTGAGTGAAATGAGGGAGGACTGAACCGCTAAGCGAACAAACCTCTTTTTGATTGAACTGGTGTCACTGGTGTTGGCTGGATCCCCCAAAATTGGGTAAAATACTCCACAGTATTCTACCAATTGCAGTGTCAAATTCTTGAATGTGACTCAAGAGGACTTGTCAATTGAGCTTTGACAATTGGCAGTACCCTCTGGTAAACTGCCACATAGCTCTTGAAAATGGCCCAGTCGAAATCGTGGATTTTCCCATTAATCGCATGGTGATTTTCCATAGCAAACTGTTAACGTTTACCAGGCCGGGTATCCCTTGGTATCCAATGTCTCGTGACTCGTGAGAAGATGAAGCGCATGATTTACGAGAGTTATGCGGTGATGCCTTTTCGGATCGTCACTGGTTGGTGATTTCTGATCTTATATTTCTAGATATTTTTCAAATACATTACATACCTGGGATGATGAGGAGCGACTTTAGTTAAATTACCAGGTGACCGGATCCACAAAATACTCGTCAGTTCAATGTTATATGCGTCAAAATGATCAAGCCTCTGAAATGGATGGCGTCTCTGCCGTAAAACTGGGATACCCCCCAAACATCCCCAAACAACGAAACTTTGGTCTCAAAAAAAAAACTCGCAATCTGCGGGGGTATACCCCATATATTGCGGGGGTATAGTCAATATTTTCATCCATTTTCAGACATATGATTTATAGATATTGAATATATACAGAGATAATATATGATATATTTGATATAGTCGCCAAAAAATAGAAAAGCTTCAAGTTACAGTACCAAGTTACAGTACCACTCTTTTACTGGACTTTGACCTTTCCATCTTGGCAGGTCTGTGGGAGATGAGATCGGAAGCTTTGAGACGGACGGCGAGGTGAATCTTGGGATATTCGAATAGAATTTGCCGTGATGGTAGCTTCACTAGCTGGAGATGTGTTTTTTGTTTGTTTTTTTTGTTGATCGAAAAAAAGGTATGTTTTTTCTTGTGGAAACCAGTGTAAAACCATGAGGGAAAGCACTAAAATTTGACAGGGAAACCTTGGGATTTGGCAAGCCAAGTAGGAGATCAGATCTTAAGCCAGGCAAACTCGGGGGGCCATATGGGTCCCATGTTGGAGGCATCTTTACACGCTCTTCTTTGAAATAGATGGTGCCAAACATGGTGGTTAAATGGTAGTCAGGCCCATCTCTGGGGTGCATATCCCAAAGAATCTGTGGTGATATCCTTAGCTTTGTTAACGTGATGTATTCCAGTGTATTCCTATACCCGGAACCGCTTGACCTTCATTTCAGATCTTTAATTTACCCTCTGGTTATTTAACAGTTCGCCATGGGAAATGGCCCATAGATGATTTTCCCAGCGAACTAAACCTCCATTTATGGTTGGGATTTTCCAGCTATGTTAGTCATAACCAGATGGTAATATACCCTTTATATCTCCCATAAATCCATGTTTTTCCTATTAAAAAGGGTGATTTTCCATGGCAAACTGTGAATGTCACAACCAGATGGATCCAGATGGCTTTAAAACTTCCAAATCTGCTTCGCCAAAAGGGTGATCTTCGAGGATCTATCCGATGGCATTTCTGACCCCAGAAGCGGTTGATTGGGCTGGCGAAATGGATGTTAAATTTTATGTTCAATCCATGTACGGAACTCATTCAGCCAAATGTTTGGTCCCAAAATCACGATAGAATAGAATTATACATAGAATGATATAGAAATTATAGAACGTTGGCTGGTCCAAAAATGGAGTACACCATGGTACAGCAACTTGATGATCACCAAACACGGCAGGCCATCACCATTGGCAGCTTCAAGGCTGAGGAGGGCCCTGCCTACTTGCACCTCGTTGGAAATCTCTGAGGATCGGTGAATTCAAGTGCGAATATCTCTGACTTATACCCTTCAAGAATAAAAAGTGGCAATGGAAAACCCCCCAATTGGAGGTTCTGATGAGCACATCATCAAATGTACGATTTATCAACACAGCCATAACATAGCTATTGTATAGATGGCCCATCTAGTTCTATGATAAATCAATTTTCTTTTCAACTAGTCAGGTTAGATAGCCAGAGGGTGAATTCCCAGCGTTGCTGGTAGTTATAAATCAACAAACAAATTTGTTTACAGATTTGTTACTGCTAAAATTCTATTTTTTTGGGTTACCATCCTCCCAACTCGACTCATATGATCGACCCTACGAAAGAGGGGGGTTGTAAGACTGCTTTCCTTTTTTGGGATGGCAAGTTGTTGCTTCAAATCATGGAAAAACCCGAAATCGACTCACTTTTTCTCCATGGCTATCATGGTTTTTTCCATTCAAAAACACACACACACACACATTTTGGGTGCTTGAAATCCCCTGACACCATGTTTGGTGACCTGAGACCCGGCCAGACCCGGTCTCAGGTCGGGCGCGCGTGAAGGCTGGCAGCTGAATCTGGTGGAAACCTTCAAGTCGCGCGACAATCTCCGTGCCCTGGGACAGTCGCTGGGCGAGAGGGATGCGGCACGGGGAGCCGTTGTTTGTGTTGTGGTTGATAGATGGATATTTGGAGGTTTCATGAGGTTTCCATAAATGGAGGTACCTGCAAATGGATGGTTTATAAATGTTTATTATGGAAAATCCTATTGAAATGGATGATTTGATTTGGGGGTACCCGTATTTTCGGAAACCTCCATTTATTGGATATGCAAACGAGATTGGTGTGGTTTTTGGACCTTGGATCTGGATTTTGGATTTTGGATTTTGGATCATGTTTGGTGTTTGGGTAAAAAAACAAATTAGCAATGCCTTTCTGTGGTCTATGCGGCTTGTTGAAAACCACCATAAAATGGTGAAATTGAGTAAATGGTGTATGATTTATGGCATTGATGGCATAGGGTTTGCCACATAAGAAACATAAGTCATTGAACAAGGAAAGATGTTCTGAAGGTGGTACCCTCTGGTAAACATACAAAAAAACTATGGAAAAACACCATCTTCAATGGGTAAATCTACTATAAATGGGCCATTTTCAATAGCTATGTTAAATTACCAGAGGGTAATGACTATGGAAAATCACTATTTTCAATGGGAAATTCCACGAAATAAATCACCATTTTCAATAGCTATTTTGACATAACCAGAGGGTAATGTGAGGACTTGGGGCTTCCAAGGTGTCGCCAGTGTCGATTCGGCCTCGAGAGGCCTCTCGCAACGCCCCAGGTTGACGCGGCAAGGTGTGCTGGAATCGCCAGCGGCGTTGCTGTCCCTCGGACTGCAACCAACTGGGGCACGTCTAAAAAATGCTGGAACTCCCAATTTGCGGTCATTTTTTACATGAAAATGAATGAACATGATGGATTATACAGAAATGGAAAACCATGGGCCATGGAATATAGTAGAGTTGGGGTCCCATTTTTAGAGAAATCCTGCTGATTCTATCTGATTCTTAAAAATTTTGGGTGACTGCATTGTGAAAAAATGTCACGTAATCGTCTAGGCTCCATCCTGTAGCGTTTTTGCTGTTTGTTGACTGATTTGTAGACCTGTTTAAGGCCAAGTTGCTGCTTGTATTGAATCTGTTTGCAGTTCTTCGATTCTACTGTATGTTCTTCGGCAGATTGTTTCCGTGAAAGTTTGAGGATGTTTGAGGTAGTTTGGCATGGATAAATTTGGCTAAAAAGGCTAATAGTACAGTAGCACATTTTGGCCAGTATCAGATGTTGAATTACAAACTGGACTTTGCAAAAAAACTGCATAGCCAAATCTTGATTGGAAATGTTGGCTAGCTAGTCAGTCAATTTCCAGTCAGTTAACATGAAGTACATCTTATATTTCTGACATTAGACAAATTTGGCTTATTGGCTGATTTATTTCTGCCAATGATATTTTCATAAGCTTAGCTGATATATTCTCATTAATTTCAAAGCAAATGCTTCAATACTTATCTTAAAAACATATTCGAACTAGTGGTATTATGGAAAAATCATATGAAACATCTTGATTTCTGAGATTTCTTATAGCTAGAATTAAATGTATCACATTTTCAGTACGTAATCTTTGTCAAAGGCAGCGCCTTGCGGCCCGTGTGTTGAGGACACTGGAGGGCGTGAAGTTGATGTTCGAACCGCGGGACGCTGTGTTTTGGCGGTTTTTCTCGATCTGGATAGCAGTGAGGGTTCAGAAGGGCTTCGTGAAGGGTTACCCTCTGGTAATTTAACATAGCTATGGAAGATCACCATTTTTAATGGGAAAATCCACTATAAATGGGCCATTTTCAATAGCTATGTTAAATTACCAGAGGGTAATGAATCATGAATAATGGATAATAATGGACTGGTTGGTGGTTTGGAACATGGTTTTTATATGTTTTCATTTTTCAGTTGGAATTTCATGATACTGACGAAGTCCATCATTTTTCAAGATGGGTTTTTCAACCACCAAGCAGATAATGAATCTAATGGTAATAATTCATATGGATTCCCGGATGATCATCTAATGGATAATGATTACGATGTTAATCTCATGGGGCTTTCCTGAATGTTTCTTATGGAGGGATATTTATGGAGGGTCTCGGCTCCGCCATCCCCACATGAAAACCATACATGGATGGCTTTTTTCACCAAAATATATGGGGTGGTTTATTGCATTTTATTGCTTTATGCACCATGATAGAATTTTTTGCGGGTTTTATGATGCTTGAATGTGATAGCTTTGTTTTCCATCAGGGGATGGTCATCCCTCAGAACCCCCATGCCTGGCGGGATGACAGCCAGAGACCATGGACGGCACACATCATGTTTTTGTTTCAATGATTTGGGAAATAAAGAACATCAAAAAGAGGGACAAAAATACTAAATACATGTCACATCATGCCACCAATCTTTTGTCAACGTCTCGTCCTTTTCACCTTCTTTGAAACCTGAGGCGGTGAGGATGAAGTGAGTGATGTTAGGTTCCAAGTTCCTAAATGGGATCCTGTGCACTGTTGGATCCACACATTTTCTCAGCATTCCCAGAATTGGACGATGACGACGATGGTACAATCTGTAGTTCTACCCCAATTAGATCCCCAATCAATCCGATGATTGTTGGTTTGCCTCCAGTTTTTTGATGCTTCAAATCATTTCAGGGTCAAAAATCCAACCGCTGACCTAAGTCCAACACCTGCTATTCCACCTGCTACTGCGACATGTTCGACGCCGTGACGTGCCCCACGAATTGCACCTGGTCTCATGGTGAGAGGCAAATCCCGGATGCCATGCTATATATCCCCATGAAATGCCGCTATGTCCCCATGACATTTTATATATTTTATGCCATTCTTGGCTATAAACCACCATTGTGATTGTTTTTTGTTCATTGTATGGCAGATCTCAATCAACTTCTTGTAGGAAAACTCAGGATCATGGGTGTGTCTGCTTAAAGGAGATTCAACCCCCGAATGGTCATTAGGGAAACCGATGATCCATTGAAATTGGGGGCGCCTCAACATTTCAGGCAAGCCGTTATGAAAAAGAACGGATCAGTACAAGTCGTGTGAACATTTATTGAAACTTGGGGACACAATTAAGCACCCCCCAGTTTTTTCCTCTTGTTCCTTCAATTCAGTGGTTTGCAGCGTTTCATTTTTTACGCATCCCATCCCAAGTTAGTGCAAGGAAGTCCGTAATTATTACAGATGACAGAACCATTAGGAAAGGAATTTGGACGAAATAAACTTTCTGTTTAAATCCGATGAGAGTCTGCATGATATTTATATCTAGATCTCTTTCTATCAATCAAGCTATCTATCTTTCCATCTATCCATCCATCCATCCATCCAATATCTATTTGTCTATCTCTCTATCACTATCTCTCTCCCTCTCTATATCTCTTTATCTCTTTCTATTTGTCTCTATCTCTATTTCCATGTCTATTTTTTTCTATTGCTTTTTTCTATTCCTACACGTATTCCTACCTCTACAGCTATCTCTATCTGTCCATTTCTATTTCTATTTCTATCTCTATGCCTGTCTCCATCTCTATCTCCATGTCCATTTCTATCTCTATCTCAATGCCTGTCTCTGTCTCTATTTCAATGTCTATCTCTATCTCTATGCCTGTCTCTATTTGTATTACATGTCTATCTCTATCTCTATGGCTGTCTCTATCTCTATGTCCATTTCTATTTCTATCTCTATGCCTGTCTCTATCGTTGTACATTTCTTTTTCTACCTCTATCTCTATCTTTGTTTCTATGACAATCTTTTTCCCGATCTGCATCTCCATCTCTACCTCTATCTCCATCTCTATCTTTCTCTATTAATCAACCACCATTGTCCATCCATCCATCCATCCATCCATGCATGCATGCATGCATGCATGCATGAATCCATGCATCCATGCATCCATGCATCCATTCATCCATTCATTCATGCATCCGTTCATCCGTTTATCCATTCATCATCCATCCATACATATATATATATATATATGTATAGATCCATAGATCCATAGATACATACATGCCTACGTAAATACCAATAGACAATGCCTGGTTGGTGATTTGGAACATTTTCTATTTTTCCATAAATTGGGAATGTCACCATCCCAACTGACTTTCATATTTTTCAGAGGGGTAGGTATACCACCAACCAGTAATAGACAATACACATATACTTCTTACGTATCGTACTTCTTCTGTAAATTGTTGCCCCCAGGCATTGAGCTGCGCTGGGTCACCGACGGCGATGGGCGCCACAGCCCCGACAGCCGCTGGGGGGTCTTCGCCCTGGTGACGCCCGATTCCAAGAGCACGTGCCTTGACGGTGAAATTATAATTGGAGTATGATAGGATTTGGGAATATAATTGGACTATAATGCTGATATTATAGCGATATAATGGGAATATCATGGTGATATTATAGTGATATAATGGGAATATCATGGGGATATGATGCGGATATCATGGGGATTATCACCAACAATGTGGATTAGAATGGGGATCTATGGTTTTAACCAGCTGGGGATTTAACCAACAAATACGGGAGATATATATAATGGGGATATGAAATTAACCAACAAAAATGGCGATTTAATGGGATACTAATGGATATATCAGAATGATATAATGGATAGTAAAGACAAGCAATGGATTATCAACTACTATAATGGAACACCAATGAGGATACAATTGGGATGTAATGGTACTGCATCCGTACCATACGTACCCACAGGATTAATGGGGATAGTCGTGATAATCAGTGGCTAGCAATGGTTGACGTCTAATCAATGGCTAATCAATGGGTCACTAATGGCTAGTTAATGGATAATGAATGGATAACCAATGGAAAATGAATGGGAATATACTTGGGACATCTTGGGAATGTAACCATCAATGTGGGTTAAAATGGTTATATAAGTTATATACGGTTCCTACCCAGCCAACATAGGGATTTGACCAGCAAATGTGGGATATAAGTATTATTGGGGATATATATATATATATATGAGGAACGTATAATGATAAAATGGAAATATAATGAAGAGATGATATAGCCATGGTGGATTTTCCAGAATAGTTTATTGGATGCAAGTAAATTATGATGATAGAATGGGGACGCAATGGGGACAAAACCGACAACCCGGATTAGGTCAAGCATGGTGAATTGCTACCAACAATACTGGATTAATGGGTATACAAAAAGTAATTGATAATATGGGGGTGTAACGGCAGAACTACCAACCAAAAACATGATATGCTCATATTTTGAAATTTTAACAAGCAAAATGGGGATTTACCGAACAAATCTGGGGAGATTCCATGGGCATATTGCAGTAACCAGCAGTTTTCGCAGTTCCATGTGATTTGCCCAGTTGGGATTCACCAACAGGATGGATGACCCCCGTTCAGAACAGGTTTGTTATGGTTTGTTGGTTTATAACTAGGTCAACAAAAAAACAACGGATGTATCTATAGTTGGACTATCTACGTCAATTTTGCACTGGCCTTTTCCCCTTTTCCTGGGTGAAAATTGCAAACCATCATCACCACTCTTTTGGGGGGCGACAGGTATGACAGAGTTCCATGAAAGATGATCCCCCAGGTAGATCCACCTGGTACTTGGCCAAAGGCCTTTGGTTCACTTTCGTAGTTGGCCGCAGGACCTCCTCGCTTGGAGGAAAAGGATGAATTAAAATCCCCCCACGTCGCGACGTCACTGGAATGATGATTAGTAAGGGGAATCATCACCAAGATTTCCTGCTGTCAGCAATGTTACAGTAGGTTAGTGAACTATTATAATTCGGCCGGATAGGTTGGATGGAACATATCGTATGTTTTGGGTGAAGAAGGAAATTGTTGAATTAGCATGAGAGTCAGTTGACAATATAAAGGCGCAAGATGACTCTGACTTGGTCGGTGGTTTCAACAAGAAAACTGGGAGTTTGGTTCGGTCAGTGTAGCCAGCAAACACTCTTGCCGTAACCAGCAACGAATGCGGATATGACAGGAAAAGGTATGACTGCGACAGTGTCGGTTACCCAACATTCCCATTTGTGACAATGAACGTGTATAGTTTGGTCAAATCTGGTTCTACAGTCCCAACACTGGACTGACCACAGTAACTTTTGACACTCCCAAGCCGACCAATTCAAGTCAACCTTCTGGGTCTCAAGGTACTTAGTAGTTGTTCACCCCAGTACCAAAAACCTTGTTGTCCCTTAGGAGATTTTGAATGATTTAACCACAAAAGATGGTCGTTGTGAACCACCAAGAAACTTGTGGATGCGTTTGAAAATAGGGTAGACCCCGCAGGTGTGGCCATGAAAACATTGCCAACATGATGATCCAGCACTGGATTTGTTTTTTTTCCCCTCCAAAATTGTGCAGGTATCACACCTAAGTAGTCGTCTCGACCTTTTGGGGGAAAGCAGTGTTGTGAAATATTTTGATATTGGGGGGTAGCTTTTGGGCTTTTGCTAATCCGCTGATATTCCATTATATTCCCAGAAAATCCCATGAACATCCCACAATAAATGGAGGTTTCCTGAGTCATGGGGGTACCCCCAGTCATCATCCAGTTTTCGGATTTTTCATGAAATCAACCAACTATTGGGGATCCCCCATGACTTAGGAACCCCCCATAGGAATAGTCGTGTGTTGGTTTATAAATCCATATAAATCCTATTGAATAAGTTAATATCTATATCTCTATGAATATCTATAATTCTATAATTATATATATATGAATGATTAATTATATCATAACATCTATACATGAATATATGAACCACCACCGCCCCAGGCCGGACGAGTCGGTCATCGAAAGTCTGGCCGACAAGTGGCTGTCCGCCACACAGATGGCGCGAGGTCCCGAGGTCGGGCGGCGGATTCCGCGACCACGTCGCGACCGGGGGCCGGGATGTCCATCAACAGGGCGTGAAACGTGGGGTTCAACAGGGTGTTTATGTTTTTTACATGGTTTTTTACATGGTTTAAAGCATCAAACATGTGGATTATTATGTGGCGTTTTGACTTAAGAGATTGGGATTTCCATCAAACAGGGCGGTTTACGGTCACGTTCATGGGGAAACCAATGGGCTTATGTATCCCTATTTCGGGAGACGACTTCAAAACACTTTTTTCTGTTTCCAATGGTTTTAGCTTTCCGAAAGAGACAGAGATGGTTACACAAGAGAAAACATGTTGTCATCTCCAAACAGATGGACAAGTTAATCTTATACTGATTTGATGATGATTTTCTTTTCCATCTATTTTGGGGATGCCTATATTTTCATGTCATTTCTCGCGTTCAAGAGGCAGATGATCAGTTTCAATTGGGGTGCGACAGAGCGGAGGAATGCCGTTGCCATGTGAGTTGTCATATGCCCTTGGGGCCCAAGGAATGTGAGGATTGTATCAATCATATGGAGGTTTCCTAAAATAGGGGTACAGCGGAACCGTTCGATAAGAACCGATTAAGAATTTTCCAGCGTACCCCGCGGTTCTTAAGTGCTATAGGTGGAAAATATGGGAATTATGAACGAGGGTACCCTCAAGTTCTTAACGGGTTAGTTCTTCAGGGGTTCATATGGTGAGGGTTTGCAAATTCTTAGTAATTTCCCAATTTAGAATTATGTGGAGATAGTTCCTCCAGAGACAGCTCTGCAAGCAGCGAAGCGCGAAGAAGAACCATGCCAGGGATTGAAAGTTCATTTTGGCGTGGTAGGTTGCAAAGGAGGCGGGGGGAAGAAAAAAAACTTGTTAGGTCCCGAAAAGTTTTTCCAGGTGCATGCATTCCAACCAGAGCAAAGGCCACACTTTCCACCATGCCAGGGATTGAAAGTTCATTGTGGCGCGGTATTAGGTTTGCAAAGGAGGCTGTCGTGTTCAGACTTGCTAAGCGTGTTACGGTTCGAGCCCCTGTGGCGCTAGCGATTGTTGCTTGCTTCTTGCGTGCTTGCTTCTTGCTTTCATATATCAATAACCAATGTTTGGTATATTGATACCGGTTAAAGGGGAATAAGAATCAGTGGCTAGAATTCCAGGGTACCCTAGGGTTCTTATTTCAATTAGCTGACAGAAAGGGTTGAATCCAGCAATCCAGCCCCTGAAGTTCTCATTGCAGTAGGTTCTTAAACAGTGGTTTCACTGTACTCCAAATGGATGATTTACAATGGAAAATCCGAAACAAGAATGGATGATAACTGGGGGTAGCCATATGACTTGGGAAACCTCCCAATGGTCACTAGCGATTCTTCCATTCCCACCCTTCAAGGCGCCGGAGTTGCTTCAACTCCCTGAATCGTTGGTGAAGCCCCAACTTTAACTCGACCTTTAAGACAGCTGTTCTTTTCTTTAAGCTTTCCTTGCCCCAATACTGTTGGTCAACCCCAGATATACAGAACCTTCTAGACAGCGTTCATATCTACCCCCGTTTTCGCTGGCAATTATATAAACCACCATTAACATCCACCTAGCCATTTTTTTTTGGGTCATATGGGTGTGTCTGAAAATGGGACAGCCCTGAAATCCAAGTTCATCATCATTTTTCCCATCTTTTCCATCCTTTTATGGCCAGAAAAAGGGTCAGTCAGATCCTCCATCGCGCAGGGCGCTATCTCGGTGGAACCCGAAGATTGGGATGAGTCACGATTGAGGCCTGCGGGCTTTGGAGGTTTGAAAAGGACCACAGATGCGGAGACGTTATACAGTTATAATTAACTGGTTGGTGGTTTGGAACATTTTTTATTTTTCCATATAGTGGGAATGTCATCATCCCAGCTGACTTTCATATTTTTCAGAGGGGTAGGTATACCACCAGATTACATAATAACATAATATTACATAAACCAACAACATGATGTGGGTGTGTCTGAAAGTAGGGGATTTACTTCCAGATTATGGCAATTGTCATGGGGAAAATGATGATTGACCATGATGAGTATGCATGGTGTCTTGGAGTACCCAATTTCCGAAATCAAGGAAAAATTGGCTGGAATACCCATTACCCTGATATTTTCTTTAGAGAGAGAGCGAGAGAGACAGGCTTCAGTGAGGCTTCAGTGAGGCTTGGATTCTGTACTTCATCAAAAATAGTCGTGATTCTGGCGGAATGTCGACAAAAAGGTTCTTTCAAGGTGCGAAACATCAAAACCTCCCAAGCAGTGGGGTTTTATGATTGTAATATGGTACATTATGGTCCTGCCCAAGGCGCCTAGGTGGGTTGGCAGAGTGGAGACCCGAAAATCGAGTTCCGATTTAACTTGTTGACTGGATAAAACCATAGAATACTCAAAGTTCCAAATTTAACTATATTTACATTAGGTACTCGTTAATGGTAGACGTATGGTTGGTCTTATACCTTATATTTGGCCTAATTTCATCTAATTTCCATGTCATTTCCAGTAAAATCCCCATTTGCTGCTGAACAGCCTAGATTTTACTATAGTTACCCTCTGGTTATTTAACATAGCCATGGGAAATGGCCCATTTATAGATGGCTTACCGGCTTACCTATTAAAAATGGTGATTTTCCATAGTTATGTTAGTTTACCAGAGGGTAAGTCCCCTATGTCACAGCAAAACGAATCCCCATGTGACATGGCCCATGGTAAACATGGCGTTGGCGCCACCAGCAGCAGGGCGCTGTGTGCCCGTCATGGCTGGCAATTTGAGTGGATGACCGAGGACTCGGTATATGGGGTATATTGATGGGATCCATGTTATATATTATGTACCCTCTGGTGAACTAACATAGCAATGGAACATCACACCCTTTTCATGGGAACATCCACTATAAATGGCAATTTTCCATTGCTATGTTAGTTTACCAGAGGGTATATTATGTAATTAAATAACTAATATTATACGATATCTGGTTATTTAAGTTACAGTTTGCCATGGAAAATCACACATCCATTTTATAGGAACGGTAAACCATCTATTTCTATGGGCCATTTTCCATGGCTATGTTAAATAACCAGAGGGTACACATCTTTTTTGAGACATGTTTCCCTGGATTTTCAATATGTTGTTTTAGGGCTTTGCGAAAGTTTTTTTTGGTCTTGCGATGTCGAGTCTGGACACGTCCGGCCGGTCTTTGCGGGGTGAATCCCCAAATTGGGCATGACCTGAGGCTGAATGGGGACGTCAATATGAAGTGAGAATCAAATGATTTGACTGGTTCGATTCCTCCTTGATATGCCATTTGAGCATTTATCTATATTTATCTATATTTATCTATATTTATCTATATTTATCTATATATATATATATTTATCTATATTTCTCTTGGCTAGATCCAGATTTTTATTGGTTGAATTACAGTATCGGTTGGGTTGGCCAAATCCGCACTCTTCTGGCTGAAATTCTAGTTCTCCCTTCCATCATTTATTGCTTAAGTCCAATTTGTCTGGCTGGTGTCAATCCTCATTTTCCCATATGTTGACCCATATGTTATCATATTTTATAGTATGTGCCCTATAACTTTCCACATTGTCCAATCTGTTCCCTATCATTTTCCACAATTTTTAATATGTTTCCTATATGTTCATATATGTTCCCTATAATTCAAGAATCCTGTGTGTTTCTTCATATTTTTATGTATTTTCCCTATAAAAAAACGCAATGCTCTTTGCAAAATCCACCTCGCAGGAAGGCGAGAAGCGGCGCCGCATTGAGGGCGCCAACGACGCACGGCGCGCTGCCGAGAGGGCTGCGAAGAAGGCGCGGCGGCCTTGCGCGGGGCTGCCTTGGCTGGTGGATTTGGGTCGCAGAAATGGGTTAAAACAGGGGAACATATGGGTGTTTAACCAAGAAATATGAGGATTTGCCCAGCAAATATGGGAATTTCCTCCAAGAAATATGGGGATTTACCCAGCAACTAGGGATTTATGCTAGCAAAATTGGAATTTCACCAACTTGAATGGGGATTTTACCAACAATTGTTGGAATATAATACAGGGATATACAAGGAAATATGATTAGATATAATGGAGAATAATCCCGATATCCCCAATAAATCTGGTGCCTATGATACTAAACACTCCCAAGCAACCATGGTTTAGTAGTTTGGGACATTTACCCACATGGGATAACTCCAACTATCCATTGCTGAGGGAGCAAAGTAGCGCTGTCCATATTCCCTCATCATGGGGATTCTATCTTGAACCAACAATGAATATGACTGAAAACACATTGATATTTCTTGGGAAGGTAAGAACATGATCCAAATGGGGGTAGCCAGGTAGCCATCCATTTTGGGGCGTTGAGAATCGAAAAAGCCAGTTGCGACTGTATGTTGCCTTTAGGAATCAGCGATGGACAACAACGTGGGCACACACACACATCCACCACTTGCCATCTGGGCTGATCAACCAAGCTGAGTGGACCAAAGCCACAAACCAAGCACGATGCATCTTGGCATCTTGGGATTGAAGCAAAAGCCGTGACATTGACCGAACCCGACAGAAATGTGGATGTTTTTCTAGCCAAGCAAAATGGTGAGACTATTATTGTGAGACTCTTGGAACAGTTTCTCCTGGCTGAATCAAGTTGTGACCCCAATCCATGACACCGAAAAACTCCAGAACTTGTTATAGGGTCCATGAGTAGCCCATTTTTGAGCCATGGCCAGGTAGTAAAGGGTGATTTTTACCTTGTGCAAAAATGACTTAACACCGCTTATCATTGTTCCCTACTATGATAGTTGCCATTTGGTGTATACCTAAGTTTTGGATAAGTTAAATAATGATATATCGACATTACTCAAAATGATGGTGAACGTATAGGGAACCATCCTGGAATGACGCAGCGTTCCAGGTGAAGTATTAGAATTTTGCTATTTCTTGAATTATATCTATGAATAATGATAGTGAATGTCCGACTATAGATATTAAATATCATATCTATATGAATATCTATTATTATCGAATAATTACTACTATTGCGAGTATAATATCTAATAATCTTACTCCAATAGTTATATCCAATATTCTATTCATATTACTGTGATTGAGGATCTATATGAATATTGAATCCCATTACCCATGTAAGCCCCAGTGATATAATATATTTGTATATACATATGTATTTATTATATATATATATATATATGTATTTATTATATATATATACATATAATATACAGTATCTATACACAGTCCAGGAATTTGTATATCTCCAATACAGCGGCAGGTGCAAGGGCCTAGCTCAGCTGGTGGCGCAGCCTGGTGGCGTTTGGATTCCGTGGTCAAGGCCTTTGCCTTCGTCTCTCGGCGACGCTTCGAGGGTTTTTTCGTTGCACGGTACCCTTTGGTAAACATACAAACAACTATGGAAAATCACCATTTTTAATGGGAAAACTCACTATAAATGGCCATTTATAGTTGATTTACCCACTATAGTGGCTGATAATGGGTGAATAGTGGTTGATAATGGGATTAATATGGATATACCCTCTGGTAATGACTAACATAGCTACGGAAAATGGACAATTTATAATTGATTTACCCATGAAAAACTGTGATTTTCCATAGTTATGTGAACGTTTACCAGAGGGTATGGGTATAGTGGGGATATGATGATCTGGGACGATCTGGGTAATAAATGTGGGAACATGGGGATTTCCTAAAATGGAGGTACCCAAAAATGGATGGGTTTATAAAGGAAATTCCCATTAAAATGGATGATTTGGGGGTTCCCCTATTTCAGGACCCCCCCATATCAATTATGAATTATTAACTAAAGGATTAAAGCGCAGTGATAATGAAGAAAATAGATACTGTATTCAACAAAACTATTAACTATTAGTTAATCCATGTTAATCCTATTAATCGTTATCATAGTTATCAACTAATATCAGCTAATTGGGATTTCATCATTTATGAAGGAAACGGATATATTAAGAAACGGAGGATTTTTGAGTGGATTGATTTTATCATAATAGTTATCAACTAATAGATATGAACTAATGGCTGGATGGTGGTTTGGAACATGTTTTTTATTTTCCATTTCATATATGGGATGTCATCCTTCCCATTGACGAACTCATATTTTTCAAGATGGTTAAAACCACCCACCAGATGGTGATATAGTCATTAATCAACAAGGTATCAACGGATGGGATCAATCTGGATTCGTGGTACCCTCTGGTAATTTCTTACATAGCTATGGTAGTTGGATGGCATTACCAGAGGGGAACTGGTTTTTCAGTTGGGGTTGAAATACCTTCCACCAAACTAACATATGTAATCATATATAGCTATGCTGGAGAATTGCCCGTTTGTAGATGATTTACCTATTGAAAATGGAAACTTTCCGTAGCTATGTTGCAGCTCTGTAGGTTATCGGAAGGTATCAAGATGATGGTTTCAGCCAACCAACATATGTATTTAACATGATTGAACCAGGAAAGACTCATGAAATATGGTAGTTTTGACCATGATTAATTAGCGATGATTGACCAGCAAAACATTGAGATTTAACAAACACAAATTGGGGTTTAGTTGGCAAACATGTGGGTGGTTTCACCACTAATCATGTGGCTTTAGCCATGAAACATGGTACTGGAAAACCAACGATGGGTTTACGATTGCAACAATGATGGATTTCTCAGCTTCACATCCTGGAATCAGCAGGTCGTCCCGATTGACCAGGATGGATGGAGATTTGGGGCTACCTTTCAGAGAAATACTCCAAGTCCCTACGGTTTCTCATTTCCCCGAGTTGTCCATGGCCAGAAAAAGATCCACATTTATTGCTTCACTACACTTAGTAAGTGGGTTATACAGTAACCTCCCCAATTATAACTAGACTAATCCCACGTTTCCGGGAGTGAAGCGCCAAGCCCAGAATGCTTTCGAGATGGCTTGATGACCACAACTATAGGTTTAGCCCATTCCTGTTGTCTATTTCCACCATGGTGGTTAGATTCTCCAGTTGGTGAAATACATGTTTTTTGTTGGTCAAATGACATGATCTTGTTGATACTATCCCTTTTTCCGTTTGCAACATCCTAATTTTTCTTGGTTAGAGTCAGATCTTGGTCGATGGACCTTGATTTTCTTGGATAACACAGACATGGATCGTTGATAGTCCCCGGATCTGAACTGTTCCCCTTTTTTGCTGTTTGTTGGGTGCCACGTATTACTTCGGCGATATTTTTTTCAGACTTCAGTGAGCCACTTTCCCTGGTGAGCCGGACATATGGTTTATTGATGTTTATTGGAATCGGTACGGCTCAATCAAAAGTGCAGATGATTTAGGCTCCAAAAGCATTGAACAACCTTTAGTGGGTCGGTACATCCAAATGTGACCCAGTGATAATCTAAGGGCAACAACACGCAGAAGCCCAAGATTCAGCCGCCGGGGCCCACAGAATTTCAGCACCTGATGGAGTTTTAAGCCAAATTGGGCTTTGAAGCACAAAAAACAGTCAATGGGTTGGAAAAAGAAGAGGCTTGCGAACTGTGTCGTTCTTTTTTATTTGAAGCTACCGATCCAAGTTGAGGGGTAGTGGTGGCTTATATTTGTACAACAGAGACTTTTTCAGTTTTTTCGAAAAAGTTGGGGCCCAAAAATGGCGTGGCCCCCACTGGTTTCAATGAAGATGGCATCCCAAAGCCGGATCTACAGCGATGACGCCACCGTTGGTCCCGAAGTGTCGATGACTCTCCCCATGGCTTCGTT